TTGGGTCTAATACAAAAGGCTTGAAAGCTGACTCCTCTCTGCCTGAATGACCATTTTTAGATTGTTAAACTCTGCTAATTTCAGCACAAAACGTTGAATTTAGGGAGAAACATTCAAGAAAGAGCTCAGTATTTCCCATAATCTTTTTACCAGGGCAAGAAAAGTATCCTCTCAACATTTCATTATTTCAAGCTTTTATTCAAGCAAATTCAACATTATTCTTGATTGCTTGACTTTTAATTGTTATTTACAAGGTTTCCTGAAGATTATCACAATACAGTCTGAGAGGAAAGATCACTGGGATTGCTACACAGCTATCAACATTCTCCAGCACGGCTCAGAGCAGCTGCTCATATTTCTGACAACATTCCTGCACTCAGAGTAGTTGTTTTCTCTGAACATCAACAAACAGCGAACAGAAGTAATTATTCTGAGCATTTTGCTTTGCCACATGTCAATCTCTATTGGAAAGACAATCCTTCTGTTTTACAGAGAACTGTTAACATCCAAGGAGACAGTGCATATGATCTTCAAGAACTTGGGGCAGCCAATGGCACTTGACAACAGCACAGAAGTGCACTCTCATAACATCATCTGCATTCTCCATAACACATAAGCAGCTCACAATGCAAGGACCTCTGGAGTTGCTTCTATCTCTTTCTATTCTATTGCTGCCAATCAGCACTACCCTTCTTGCCCTGGGGAAGGTCATCACTAGATCCATATTGGGTTTCCTGCTGTCCCTACCAACTATGGTTCTCCCCCACAAACTACGCTATGAGATTAACCTAGAGCAGGAGTCATGTTGCTTGTGACACACAGAAATGAGTCAGCAGGGTACCAAAAAGCCCACTTCCACAAGGTGGATTAGGTATTATTTACATGACTGCCTCAATACTATCAGATCTTTTTCCCCACTCACTTGAGCCACATTTGAGACTTATTTGTTCCTTATCTCTAAAGAAATTAAAAACTTGTTAGAGAAATAACTGTGTTCTCTATTCCTACAGAATGCTGCAGTTGCATTTTAATTTCAGCTTCAAAACACAGGCATTAACATCTCCAAACTGTATCTGTATTATAACTACTGTAATGAAGTGAGAAACTGTAAATTGAAAAAGCCTTGGACTGCTCTGTTCAGTAGACTGCTTTACTTACTTGTACTCCATTACCATTCTTCATCTAATAGAATTTCCTGCCAGCGATGTCAGACTTACTGGTCGTTGGAAATTTGTAGAGAAGAGTTTTGCATTAAGTAAATGGCCATGAACCATTCTGGCTGTACAGTAGCTGTTGTGCTCCAGTGACTTTTTTCCTGAATACAAACATCAACAGTTATGGGATTGATATTCTGATATTAACATACATACTTCTGAATGGTTTTACTCTCCAGAGATACTGCTAAGCATACCAACATAGAGGAGGTACACATACCTCACACATTCAAGGCTGAGGTCTTTCAAGTAGCATAAAGTTACAAAAACATCAATTGGAAGGGATTCTAGATCTCTGGTACAGCCTCCTACTTGAGGAGAACAGCCACTCTGCCCCATGCCCACAGTAGGAAGCAGCACACACGTGTAGTATAGAGCTGAGCAGTTCCTAATGTTTAAAGCTATTTGGCGTTATTTATCTGCATCTGAATGATAATGACAGATATACACACCTTCAAGTGGTTGTTACAAGACACACAGCAACAGATTTGCAGAAAGGAGCAACAGGAGTAAGAAAACACAGAAAATCTGTTCAAACTGAGGCTAAGAGTAACATGGCTAAGAGGGCTTTTACCACAGCAGAGAGCATTGCCTGATGGCATATACTGCATGCAGTAAAGACAGTTTCCCAGGCTGCATTTAGAAATTCTCTAGGTTCATACCAGTTGTGACCTGCAGTTTCTGATTTTGCCATTGTAATACGATGGAACGTGTAGCAATGACAGCATAGCAGCAAAGTCCTAGGCTACAGCAGGTGACTGAAGCTACAGACACAGAAGTAAAGGAAAGAAGCTGCTTACCTTTGAAAGGCCTCATGTAGGCAGGGATCTCCAGTAAGATACCCTCACCTCCACATCCAATCCTTAAATGAGGTCTGGAAGGGGTGGATCCTGGCTCCAGCCCTTCCTGCCACTCAGCAGTATTACACACACCTGAGCTCCCCTGGGCTGGTCCTGCCTTCCCACCAGGTGCTTCCCATCACTGCTTCAGGCCATAACTTAGCATTTCTGCTATTCCCATATTCTCCTCCTAACTATAACATAACCATGGTTTCTTGTTAACAGTCACCAAAGATCTGTACATACTTAAGATCCACCACCCACAATTAAATCCCAAATTATAGCCTAACTTTTCAGTCTTTTGGCCTTTCAGTAGTGTAGCCTTTCAGCTACATTATCTCCCATGGAAATCTTGAAGTGTGTGGATTGTTATCATTCTCTACCACTCTAAACAGTTCTTAATACATTTTTAACTGGGGCTATTACCCCTCACACTTGTTCCTTTTGGGCTCAATATTCTTAAGCCCAAGTATAGATTCCTCTGAGAGATCATCCTGCTGCATTTGAAATTGCACATTTACTGAATTATCAACAGGAACGTACATAAGAATTACACAGATCAACACAATGGAAAAGGCACTACAACAAAGGTGTGATGATGGAAGGACTGGCACAATAGAAAGGTGCCACAAAGGAAGGAAAGAAGATTGCTCACTTATATCAGAAGATATCAGGTTCACAGGGGAAAGCTTCACCAAAGACCAAGAAGGGATCTCCAACCAGACATCCTTCCCCAGTGGCAGTCAGCCCTTAAATGAGGTCTAAGAGAGGTGCAGCCAGGCTGCATCCCTTCCTGTCCCACAACTGAATTGCCTTCATCTGTGCTCCCAGGGCTGACTGGTCCTTTCCCCAGGTGCTCAATCAGTGGGTCAGCTGTTTCTCAGCAGTTCCCATACAACCTGCAACTTTCTAGTTTGATGCAGCTCTGAACACCATCTTCCTGGCTGTTCTTGCCTTATACACTGGCAGGGAACTGTTAGAAAGTCATACATCAGCTGCACACATTTGCCACAAATCCAGCAGCCACCTATGGTAACTAATCCAGGCCAGAATGTCTCACCTCTCTACACTGTCAGCTTCACCATAGGAGGAGCAGGAACAGCTGGAGGCCAAACACCTGTTTCCCATCCCACATGACAACTACAGCAAGAGAAGTTGTGCAGAGCCAGTGCAAATTAGTTGTCCTATACAAAATTCTGCAGATGTGCACTGACAGAGACGGGCTTGAAGAATGCACAAGATCATATATAATAGCACATTAAGCTGCTGGCCTCCAATTCAGCATCAAAAGTATCTACAGACAATTTCAGCTTCTTTGGTGAAACCAGACATGTAGAGCTGAGGTTGCACTACGACTCACTCCAGGCTGTTTAATATGATCCTGGTTCTTAGTGATACCACAATATCCAAAAGCAGCAGAGTAAGAGATTTAATTACTATTACCCTCTGCTATCAGGGAGTTCAGTAGCTCTAAGACTTACTGTCTTTTCCCAGGGAAAAGGCATTTGGCCACCAACTACTTAACCCCTCCGTTCTTCTCAACCAGAAGGCTTGCAAAGCTGCTGAACTTCCAGATAGACGTCTGTTACACAAACCTCCTGCACATCTACCAGGTAACAAGCAGGTCCCTCAGGAAGATGCCCACAGAAGCACACCAACATCCTCCTGAAGGACAAAAGTACTTTTGTTCACCAGGCCCACATGAGACAAACAAAGCGTGTCAGCAAGATCTGTTGTGGGTCCAGCCACTGATCTGCTTGGGGATGGCTGTGTAAACAGGAGTAAGCTAGGACAGAAATAAACAGCCTTTAGATAAACTGTGGCATGTCCTGTTTCAGCTCACTGAAAATATTGGCAGCTCTGCCTACACTGTAACTAACCCATCTCAGCTACAATAGCCCCATTCACACAAAGTGTGTCGGGAATTCATGCCAAAAGTTACTCCCACAGCGTGCAGAAGCAGAGCTGCTTTCCTCTGATCAGTTTATTCAGTTTGATAGAAAACTGTGTGTTTGGCATACCGCTTTTGAAGGGCAACAGTAACTGCACTTCAATACATATACATTAATATTTTGTTACAGAGGAAAACAGTCATAGAAACGTACTGTTTGAACTGTATCATAGTACAGGGCTTCACTCCTCAGCAGAAATGGTCATCTCAGAACTCACCATTTTATATTTGAAGCCAGGTTTGCAGAGGAGTTTTTACATATGAATGTTTCTCTTAGACAAATTCTTCCGTCAGGACTCAGCAGCCTGAGTGACTTCTGATTATCAAACCTGCCTCATTACTTGTGATCACCCTCTAAGGTTTAAGTAGCTATGCTTCTGTTGAGCAGCATGGACCTTGCAGAACTCAAACACCAGTCTGCCCCCACTGAGGGAGGTGACTATTCACATCACAACTTCTACCTGCCCATTCCTCTCGTTAACTTCTGCATACTGAGAGCTTCCTTCTTAGTCTATGGCCAATAGGATTCCTTAAACAGACTTCAGGGACTTTGACTTCCGAAAGATTTTGACAGGTAGCCTAAACCACTTACCTATGTTTGCTGACCCCTCCAGAAAACACGCTCTCTACAACTACCTGAAAGGAGGCTGTGGCAAGATGAGAGCCCTCCTCTGCTCCCAGGTAACAAGCAACAGGGCTAAAGGGAATGGCCTCAAGTTGCACCAGGGAAGATCCAGGTTGGACATTAGGAAGAATTTATTCTCAGAAAGAGTCAGCCGTTGGAGCAGAGACTCCAGAGAAGTGGTGGAGTCACTGTCCCTGGAGCTGTTTAAGGAAAGGGAAGATGTAGCACTTGGAGATATGGCTCAGTGGACAGTACTGGTGGCAGATGGATGATTGGACTAGATGACATAGAGGTCTTTTCCAGCCGTAATGATTCTGAAACCGAATACATTTGAAAAGTAGGATTTCTCTTTGCAGGAACAGTGGTGACTATTCTCAGTTGGGCACTAATTCTGTCCTTTATTATTATTTTACTGATCTGATCAGCAGAATTTACAGCTCGTTGATAGGCCTGCGATCCCCTGGATCCCTCCTGAGACCTTCTTTATAGTCTGGCATTGCATTTATCACCCCTTGCTCTGCAGGAAAAAGAAAAGTTTCAAGTGAGGGGATACATGTTGCTAATATTAATCCAGATACTTCAACCCTGAGATAAGAATTTTGAGTGAATGTTCCACTCCAATATGGCACCATGAGTATTTGTACCATAACCTCTGTCATGGTTGCTTCCAATTCAGACAGATCTTCAGCTCTCTATAGGTTGATAAGTTTAATTATTATTAAAATGCTCTGTATTATAGAAAATCAATGTTTGTACTGCTTTGCAAGGAGGGAGACTTCCATTCTCCGTATTAAGAAGAGTAACAGGTAAGCTAAGAGACCTCTCAGTTTAGGTTCCCTCTTTCAGTTACCCACTAAGAGAACAGTTTTCCCATCTGGAAGATGTATTCGTAAGGTCTGTAGACTCATGCTTCTATTCTCAGTAGTGATTTTAAGTTAAATTCTTTGCATCCAACAGATCCTTAAGATTGTTTTTCTTTTTTAGTGTTTGTATACAGAATCCTGGACAAATAGCTCATTATATGAATTCGTCATGCTAAATCAGAACCAGCTTTATTCTATCTCTTTTCAAGTATGAAATAAAAGATAAAGGTTAATGCTGATAAAGTAAAATAACTGACCTTTGACTTCTGAAGAAAACTGGGCCAGATGCCGGGTTACAAAGAGTCGCAGTTGCTGATTCAGATCGCAGGACAAAGGGTTAATATTCCAGGAGCGAATTCCTGCTCAACAGAGAAAGAACAATGAGTTGTCCACATAAGCTACAGAAAGAGGAGACAAAAGTAAACATGACATCCAGGAAGCAGCAATGGCCTTCTGAGAGAAGATGGTTAACGCTGAGAAAAAGTCTTCGAAAGCAAAGGGCCATAAGTTGTTTCCCTTCCATAAAACACCTACACCTGCAGCACATGCATCAAGCAACTCTTTTTACAGCCTAGGGTTCACATGAGTGAAACAGAAGAACCATGAAGGATAACGGCTAAATTGCTCTAGTTAAAAGTTTATTAACTTGCCTAAGTGAGTTAAACTACTAAACAGCTCAGACACTTCAGCTTCTGTGCTCTTAGAACTTGAGCATCCTTCCAGCCACAGAACCCCCCCCCGACCTCAGCTCCCTCTGCCTAATCATGCCCTCAAAGCCCCTGATCCTACTGAGACCCTTTGGGTTTGTTCTTTAATCTACATAAGCTTTGTAAGCTAATCGCCTTCATATCACAGCAGGAAACAGCGTCTGCTCCCAGAGCAAGTGGCACCAAGCCATGCTGGGAAGTCACCTTCAGACCTCAGCATCAGCAGCTGTATGTTCTGAATGACACCAAACACCACAGATCAGAACTTCACAGGCTAACAAGGAGCACCTTCTCCTTGGTGGTGCAATACTGCATCGTGGTGCCATGAACAATAATGGAATTACACTGTGAATCACTATGCTGGCCTCTTACACTGCTGGCTGCAGAAGGCCGCTAGCACAGGCTTCTAAGAGTTAAACAGAACAAGGATCTCAGCCCTAGTATTTATTTTTAAGGTCCTTGTTGAGAGTTATTCCACCATTTTCTGAAGACATGCCCTCTCTTACATAAAAGGATAACCAAATATCCACCTTTTTTTTTTTTTTTTTTTTTTTAGGAGTGAAGTGTGTTGACTTTTCACATATAGCGTTTCCAGTTACTGCAGTTCTGGTTCTCCAGCACAGCGATTTGATGTTGCACAAGAGCTTCTGAAGGCTGCTGGTGGAAAGTAGTATCTTCTAGGATACAAGCTAGAATGTATCAGCTTGTTCAACACAGATGCAGGATGGAATCACCAGGTCATTGCATTGCACTTCAGTAGTCTCAAGAACTCACAGCAACTCAAGAAAATGTTTGTCTTAAGATTTTTCCCTGATGACAGCTGAAACCATAGAGTAATAGCTTCACAGCAGAATATACAAAACAAACAAACAGTAAGCCCTCTGAACATCCAGAAACTTACCACTGCTTACATTGTCACAGAATACGTATTTCTTTTTGACTGCATAGGACAGGAACAAGTAAAGCACAAAACAAAACGTCAACACAACAGGAAGGAAAAAGATGAAAGGACTGTTTTCCTATGAAATAGCCTTGGAAAGCATGATGGATTAAATCAGTGGCCAATGCCTCTTAATGCAGTGCTTGTGAGCATTCCCACACAAGCAGAGCACGGCAGCATGCTGCAGGACACATCCTGCTGACTCGAGCTGCTGTGTCAGAGTCCTAGAGTCCTACTGCAGCAATTGATGCTATTTGAGGCACTGCTACTTCCTCCAGAATACAGACAAATATACTCTTTCAGAGCAAGGAAAAATGAAATTCTCATTTCACTCATTATTGCCACAATTTATGCAATGTCTTTTTTTCCCCTCCAGACAGTCTAAAATCACTTCTAACCTATCCCTACCTGCCACAGTTTCAATTTATGCCATCGTACAACAGCCAGAACAATGTCCTTGCTGATACCATCCTATCTGCTGATGCAGGAGTACAGACTATGCCATAACAAGGTTTCCAAACGTGCATATTTTTCACACATGCACAGTTTGGGTAACATACCATGGGTCTCATCAGTTTCCCATCTCTTTCCTTATACCCTTATAATTTTTTTTTTTTTTTTCTGTTAATTTCCTGCCAGGATAATTGGGTTTTAAGATTTGGTATTTTCATCTTATACTCTTTCTAATATTGTTTCAGAACAGGACAAAAGTTACACAGAAACAGAGGAATCAGACCAGTATTTGTGGACATCATTTTAGAATAGGTATTCAAGTGTTCCACAGATACAGTGACACTGCATCAGAAGCAGTAAGGGTGGGAACAAACAGGTTCCTGCAGCATCCCACATGCATTATTCAATTTCTCTGAATCAAGCTGTAAGAAGAAAATGGGGAAAGTGCACTTTCTGGTTCAGCCTGAGTGAGGGATACATTCATTTACTCTTCATAAACCTCCTCCTGGTAGGCTTTGTGCAGGCAGGGCACAACAGCCAGAAGAACAGAGGCAAATAAAGAACTGTTTTATTCTTAAAACAAACCTATAAATAAAAATCTAGACGTATAGCATGCAATGTTTCAGACCAGTTTTGTTTGCCATCAAGTAGCTGCTGCTAGGGGATGCTTATCCATGTGCAAATGGCCCTAAGGCCAAAAGCGTCTGCAGCTGACAGGACTCGGCAGGCGTCTGGCAGACTGCTGACTGCAGAACGGGGCACGTGCTGTGCCATTTAAAATCTGCACCGCAAAATCTGCGTTTATTTTTCCTGGTACTTAAAGTCAATGCATCTTGGAAATGGGTGAGAAAAGGGAGAAGCACATACAAACTTTCTGGAGGTATTACTTCATTTTTACAGGTGTAGGACACTGCTCATTAGAACAGGACACCGTCTCTCCCACCTTTGAGGTTCTGATGTCACGATAGTCCGTCCTTTAGGAACCATTAGAAACCTCCACGAAGCCGCAGCCTCCGCCCCACCGGCGGGTCCCATCCCTTTAAATAACATCACCTCCTCTATATAGAGACCTATCCCCGCCGGGGCGCCGGCATGCAAAGCACAACAGCAGAGCACCGCACCGTCCCCGCGCAGCAGAGCCGGGCTGCTCTTCGCCCTCCCGCGGCTCGCGGTCCCACGGGGCGCTCCGCAGTCCGCGCCGCCGCTGCCCCTCGCACTGCGGTAAGCTGCCCCGCAGGGCGAAGCCCGCAATCAGCCCAAGTTTGGGCAAGGCGGGGACGAGACCCGACCCACGGACCCACGAAGAAGGTGGGAATCCGGAGAAAATGTGCAGAACGGAAGAAAGAAAAAAAAAATCGTTTGCGGTCCGAACGTCCGCAGCGCTCCGGAGTGCCGCGGCCGCGCGAGCTCCGCCCGCCCCCGGGCCGCGGCGTTTGGCTCCGCGCGGTGCCGCCCCGCCTAACGGAGCTCTCCCGCCCGCCGCGCGCATCCCGTCCCGCCCGCCGCGCGGCCGCCGCCCCTCCGGGCGCAGGGCGAAGCTCTGCGGCAGCGCCGCGACGAACGGCGGACGTCGGCACGGCGCGGCCCGCGGGCACCGCTCCTCTCCGCGCTCCTCACCGCGCTCCAGGGCGCCGCGCAGCGCCCCGCGCTCCGGCTCCGTGCCGACCTCCCCGATCACCACCAGCAGCGCGTGCCTCCGCGCCTCCCTGCGGCGCGGTCCGCCCGGCAGCCAGGGCGCCGCCGTCTCCATAGCGACCGGTCCGGCCGTCGTCTCCATGGTAACGCGACGGCCGCCGCTGCAGCGCGCCGTGACTGGCGCGCGGCTCTTAAAGCGCACCGAGCTCCTCCCCGGTTGGCTCCGCTGCCGCGCGGCGCTGCGCTACTGCGGCGAACGGAGGCGTGGCCCGAGAGGCGCGGCTCTGAGGCCGCCCCGAGCGCGCGGCGGACGAGGCGGGGCGGCAGGCGCGCGGTTTTCTCGTGGCCTCTTCTCCCGTGCCGAGCCCAGCCCGCTCGGCGGAGCCTCGGCTTCGGAGGCGCCGGTTCCCTGCAGGCCCGGACCGGGCCCGGCCATGCTCTGGCGCCGAGCTCACGGCATTAGAAGTGTGGTCCTGGAGATAGTTCAGTTTGCGTCGTTGGTCTGATTAGGAGAGAGTCACACAAACGTGAAACACCACAGGGAATTTTAAATGCCTGCTGCCGGGTAACCGCGATATCCACTGTAACACCACAGAAGCCAGCAGTGCAAGGGATGCTCAGGCTTGCCGTCAGCATTTACATTCCTTCTTTCTTCTCTGACCCTCCGAGGTAAGCAGAACAGTGGGGTCTTGATCTCTTCTCGGTGGTTCCCTGCCCTCTTCAGTTACAGACAAATGCATTGGCACATGAGATCTAGCTTCCAGAAACACAGAAAAGGAAAGCCTCCGATTTTTGCCCACTCCTCATGTAGAACAGCAGTCGTGAGCAGCCCTACTGTGTCAACTGGGGCTGCGACACCCAGGATGAGAGAGGGTAGAGATGTGGGTGTGTGGCTGTACTTCAGCAGCACGTTGCAGACACAGCTTGGGGTGCTCAGTGCACCATGTGGGGAAACTGAGCAAGCAGTGTGTGAGATTTCATGCTGAGCTGGTGAGAGGCACCAGAAAGTAGCTTCAGATAGAAAATCCTGAATCTCTTCTGACAGAGAGATAGCAATCCACATTGTGCTGGCGTGGCAGAGTAGCAAAATAAGATTTAGATCAATAATAACCTGCAGTGTTTCTTAAAGCAGCACCGGCTTGTACCCCCTGCAGCCTGCAAGATTTCCACAGAACTGAGCTGCAGCAGGGAGGACTGATGGTTAGATAGCAGGGCCCAATGCTGCTGTAGTCCTTGGTGACCCACTGTTACAATCAGGAAGATTAACACAGTGGTAAAGAAGCGTCACAGCAAAGAGATTAGCACAAACACAACGGTGTTTCAAAGGAAAAATGCTCACCCATCTCTGAAGGCTAGGCACCCAGGGAAGACCCCACAAGAGAGAGATCTCCACCCAGACATCCTTCCCCAGTGGCAGTCAGCCCTTAAATGGGGTCTAAGAGAGGTGCAGCCATGCTGCACCACTTCCTGTCCCACAGCTGAACTGCCTTCACCTGTGCTCCCAGGGCTGACTGGTCCTTTCCCCAGGTGCTCAATCAGTGGGTCAGCTGTGACTCAGCAGTTCCCGTACACCCACCAAACCTGCCCTGCAGCCAAACTTTTGAAGGCTCAGAGAGTGGAGTTCTGACACACCTATGCGAATCTGACAGTCTGTACTGTTATCAACCTCTGTGAGAAGATAATCTGGGGAAAAAGCCAAATACAGAAAGGGAGGAAAACCCATCATTGTTCCTGTGGGCTCGTGCAGATGTTACCAGCTTACAGAATTTTCTCAAATTGAGATGTTTACTCAAAAGGTTCTCTGGCTCTCAACAAACAAACCAAGGGGTGATGCAAGAAGTCCTTTTCACACTGAAATGCAGTGACACAGCTGGACATGATCTGTAATAAGTGATCTTATAAACAGAGTTAGTGCATCAAAATGGAACAATTTATTTTCTGTGTGTTGTAATTTGCTCAACAGTGTTAATTTCATTGTCTCAAAGGACTGCGTGGAAGCAGGTAAATTTGTGAATAAAGGGAAAAGCCTGCATATAAACACCCAGAGAACAGTAAATTCCATTTTGAAAGTAAGACTTGAAAGTAGGATCATGAAGGGCAAATATGAAGATGCAAGATTTTCAAAGATTTTTTTTTTACCAGCCTTCTGTTTTCAGGTGAGTCAATCCAATACTTGCTGCTTATTTTTGACATGGTAGCTTTCCAGAGCTGCAGCTTTTCTCTGCAGTGCAGAGAGGCTCCTCCAGCTGGCTTTCTGCCAAAAGAAATGAAATGGAGGCATGCAAACCAGGAGTGAAAGCTTACAGAGAATACTAAAGCATGGTACTGGAGCAACGAGGATCTCTTGGGAATGTTGTTTACAACCAAGAGCCATATTTTATAATCTGATCTGTTTGCATTCTTCAGCAAATTTTAACATCATGGCATTTCTGTTGTTTTCTGATGTGATCAGATCTCTCTATGATCACAACAGAAATGATGTGGCTGTGCAGTCATATTGCTGTCACGTTTCATCAGCCCTACCATCTGGTAGTGAAAGGAGGGATATCTTGTCTAAGGGGTTCTTCCTTATTTCCGAAATTCCACAGTTTAGGCACACCTATTAGATGTGCACAGAGGTTAGCGTGCAGGTTTCTGCTCTCATGTGCCCTACAGTCACTGGCACTCCTATAATGTACCACAAGCTGAGCTGCGTGTAGACATTATGGATCCTGACAAGCATCAGGCAGAATGACAGGCAGCGAAAATAGGAAAAAAATATATAAATAAAATTAAAAAAAAGGGAGTGCCTTTGAACAGCAGTGAATCACAGGTAAATAGCTGCTATAGAAATAGATCTAAAGACTAGACTCAAAATAGCATAAATAGAATCTTAGTAATATCAAGGAGAGAATAATCTGTAGAATTTCAGTTTTTCAGACCTTCAGTCTGGAATGATGATTTTCTGTGCTCCCTAGCTAAGAATGTCCATGTGAATATGATTATTTCTGAGAACCAGAGATCTATGGCAGTATCTAAATAAGGCTAATGTCTTTAACCAAGGTAAAATATGAATTCATTTTGGGTGAGACCTTTCACAGTAGAAGAGAAAAACAGGTGACTTCTTTTAAGAACTTTGTACAGGCCCTGATCTCCTGCAGGATTCACAGCTGTCCTTGGAACAGAAAAGCCTAGCTTTGATAATGCTTCCTTGTTGGGATGAAGCTGTGTTGCCATCTATACTATCTCTTCCATCATAGGTTGTAAGATACAGAAACAGAATCAGACAGATAAGCCCATCTGATTTTTACTTCTCTGCAGCACTGTGGTTGATTTATCAGAACAGTACTCCTTTTCCTTCCACTTTTGCCTTCTGAAGGCTTTGCAAATCCTGAATGTCTCCTACGAAATACAGAACAACTGCATCTGTGATCAAAATTAGGATCTGACTGCCTATGAAATTGTCACTGTGTATTCATTGCAACATTTCTTGTAATCCTGAGCCTTAGAATTAAAATATATGCCTATGGTAACTGTTGACTTATGGCCTGACCCACTGATTGAGCACCTGGGGAAAGGACCGGTCAGCCCTGGGAGCACAGATGAAGGCAATTCAGCTGTGGGACAGGAAGGGGTGAAGCCTGGCTGCACCTCTCTTAGACTTCATTTCTATTGTGCCAGTCCTTCCATCATCTCATCTTTGTTGTGATGCCTTTTCCGTTGTGTTGATCTGTCCAATTGCTACAGTCCTATAGCACAGTTCACAGTAAGGAGCTGGAGTCTTGCATTTATGTATCCGTTTTACATTACTGTTTATAATTACCTCCCTTTTCCTTTGAAGTTTGATAGACACATAGTGTCACACGTTACTGGTTGGTAGGTCACTGGAGGTTCTGGAATCGCCTCCTCTGAGTTCGAAGTTTACCTTTGTCAGATTGATGTCAGCAGGGCACCCACTAGGGGCCGTTGTGTTGCTTTGTCGTTGCTATTCTGAAAACGATTTAACGTTAAAAACAAATGCCAGGTTGATAATCCTTAATTACTAATTAAGCCCAGACATGAACCCAGAGTGCTGGATGGCACTGCTGTGAGCTGGTGTGAGGATAGAGATGAGACAGCTGAAAAAGAGCTGAGAAGGAACTCTAGGTGGCAGCCATGCTCTTTAGGTACGGAGGTGATTCAATGACAGGATGGGGCTGGGATGAGCAAGAAATGTCTGCTCTCCCTGGCTGAGGGGATGTAGTTTCCTGGGACGACGGAGGCCAAACTGGCCTAGCTGTTGTTGACCGTCTGGGGTTCTTTTGCCGAGGAGAATCCCAGGGATGCAGTCTGCAACGTACAATGCCATACGTTGTGTTTTCAGTCTGGAGGCTCTGGAGTGAGCCCAGATGCAGAACAGAAACAGCTCTTCTAGAAGCCCTTCTCCCACGTGCCAGAACGCCTCCAGGCGCTGTTCTGCTGTCGGCTGCGCCCCTTTGTCAGCAGCGTTATGCGCGGGGCTGCAGGAACTCAAAACGTCCACAGGGGGGCGCTGTGGTGACGCGGTTAGCATCGGGGGAGCCGTGAGCACGGATGGACCCGAGCGCTGCGCCGGCTCTCGCTCTTCGGAGTCACCCAGAGAAGCAGAGCCGGGCCCTTATCTTGCAATCGGAGAAATAAGAGATACAGCGCTGAGGGCCGTGGCCGTAGACCGGGCCCCGCCCCTCTTCGCCCGGCGATTCTCGGCCCCGAGGAGCGGCGCGGGCGGAGCTCAGCGCGTTGCCGCCCGCTGATGTCAGCGGGGCGGGGATGGGGCTCCGGTGCCCCCGCTTCAGCCCGAGGAGGCGGCTCATGCTGCAGGCACCTGTCTGCGAGTAGGTAAGGTCGGCCGGGGAGGCGCCGCGGCCTCTTCTTTCCGCCGCTCCGCCTCGACGGGAGGCGGTTGCGGCAGTTCCGTCTCCCGCCGAGCGCGGCTCGACCGCCCCTCGACGGAGCGCGGCGCTGCGCCCGTCCTGCCCGGCAGCTCCTCCTGCGGCCTGGCTGCTCTCCTCGGTCCCGCGCACGGTGCGGCTGCCCGGGGCGCGGCTCCTCTGCGGGGGGAGCGAGGAGGGCTCCGTGCTCGCCGGCGGCGGTGCTCCGGGACGCGCCGGGCCGTGGCGTTGCCCGGGCCGGCCGTATCAATGCATCGACAGCTGTTCGCGGTTAGCTCCGGGCGCCTACCATTGTGTGAGGCTCGTGTTTAGCTCGGGGGCTGGCGGCGTTCTCGTTTGCCGCCGGGCTCGGGCGCTGTGACTGCTGAGGGCTGCGCAGCGTTTGCTCCCAAAGCGGAGCGGAGCACGGTGCGTGCGGACACCGCCGGCCGCTGCTATAATTCGTGTGGGAGTAACACCGCAACTGGGAAAATACCGAGTATTCAACATAGCTTGTCGAAGGCAGGTGATACGTTTACTCCTATGCTAAGCTGACGTTTCTCGTTAGGTACCTTATTTCGTGTATCTAACTCTGACTTGAAGTCAGGATCTAGCATTTGGTGCTCTGTGTGGATGCTGTGCTCGGGTCAGGTGCGGAGTGGAGGCTGCACTGAGATGGAGAAAAAGATTCACGGTGAAAGAAAGGAGGGCGAGGACCGGGAGACCTGGGTCTCATTTCCCATCCCCATCAGTAGACTACATTGGGAACAACTGTTCAGAGAACAAGAAAAGACAGCTTCCACTTTCCACTGCAAATTCTTAAAGATACACAGAATTCAGAGAAAATACTGCAGGTATGGAAAATCAGACAGCCTTCATAACTGAAGTCTCATGTCAGGTGCATTTCCCTATTTGAAGGGAAAATAAGCTTTTATCCTCATGTTTAGATGAAGGTGGCCACACCCTATTCGTAATTTATACTAAGGCTCAGGGAAAAAAAATGCAGTCTGCAAACTGAGGGGGGGAGAATATTTAGATCAAAGGTGCATATTGTAGAGAAAGCAGGTTGCTTTTCTTCATAGCATAAAAGTGATGGGGGGAAAAGAGAATACAGATTTAATACAAAAAAGGGAAACACAGTCAGCTTTAACACTAGCACTCACCTTTGGCATTAGCTAATTTGACTACCTGGACCAGGCTCTGAAATTTATCCCACTGGTTTGTACAGATGTATAGAACTGTAGAAAAAATGAGGCTGGGAGGGAAACCCAGAGATGATCTGGTCTAGCTACCTGCTTCAGACCAAGGACAGCTATGTCTGTTTGTTACTAGCTTTTTTTTTTTTTTTTTTAAAAAAAGAAGAATTATTACATGTTAGACTGCATGACCTTCGGAGCTTCATTAGCTTTTTAAAACATTTTTATTTTTGTTTGAATTTTCTGTGTTTAATTTCAACCTATTTGCAGTTGTTATAAGCCTGTTTGCAATTCTCCTCCTATGAATATGAAAAATTATTTGTTATTAATGTTTTTCTGTTTGAAGATTTACAAAAACTTACTCTTCTGACATCCTTTAATGCTCAGCTTTGGACTTATAGGTGTAGATTAAAAAAAAAAAAGGATTTCACACATCTAACGTATGCATGCTGTATAGAAGTTTGATGCATTGTGTTTGCACCTTTTGGCAGTAGCTTTGCACTGATGCATCACTTTTACAGGAACTGTGACCCACTGTGACAGTTCTTTTCTTCTTTGGACTGCTGTTATCTGTGCTGTATTTTGTCCATTTTCAAGACTTTTTTTTAGTTTTTCTTCCACTGCTTACAGTCCCTCTCAGTTTCGTGTTGCTTGTGCATTAGTAAGTGTACTTGCTGTTTTATATCCAAGGTAATAAAAGAAAACAATGAACAGAATAGGAGGTAGCACATTTGTTTGGATCCTCATTCTGACATACTTATGGTTGCATGGTAGTGTTGATGGCTGCTTTCTGAAGATGGTTATTCAACCAGTTTTATTCTTATATTACAGAAATTTCATGCATCAATTTCTGCTTATTAGCACCCCATATAGGTGCTGGCGAGTAACTTTTAGCAGTTTTTGTCTGCAAGGCCCATTGTTCTGATATGAAAATAAAGTAGGTATTACATGCCTTCTCTTTACAGAGGTATGTTGGCTGCAACTCGTCTCCTTGTTACCTTCAACGTACAAACCAGTAATTAGTTTGATGGTTTGTTACCAAAATTTTAAGGGATTGGAAAGGAATTTTGAGAGACTGGTGTGTCTGCCTACCTCTAGCCTTTGGTTACTGCATTGTCCTCTGAGTTCTGGGAAGTAACTGCCAAGACAACATAATTTAGGATGAAAACTCAACAGATTTTAAAACACTTGGCTTATATAAGCACTCTCTAATCAGTTTTAGCCTGGTTTCAAGGGTGAAGTCTTGTCTTATTGTTTTTTTAACTGGGTCGCTTTTGTTTTCTGTTAACCTTCTCAGAGATGGGCAGGAAATGCTTCAGCTTTCTTGACATGAACCACCCAGCGGTGTCCCTTCAGAAGAGCAGAAAAACAGTTCTTTTGGTTGTTGCTCTCCTGCTAGTGTCTGTAGGACCATTTTCTGGTTGTTTGGTATCTCTGAATGTTTCCATCTTTCAGCCTTAGCTGGTTTTGACCGTGTATGCTTCTGCCATTCTTTGAGAAAGGAGTAATGATTTTTTTTTCCCCACGTTTTCACATCATACCTGAATCAAATCGTGGCTTCTGATAGATTTCTATCCTTTCCTTGCATTAACATAGCTTGCACTTGCGCCTTTAATGAGACTGCCATCTCTGCGTAAATGCTCTTGTGGCGCAAGATCTATCCACCGGTTTCATTTTATTGATGTCTGTTGCTCAAGATCCACTTTTTTCCTTTTTCTTCCCGAAGGCCAATCATGCGCGGGCAGATGCACGGACCGCTGTTGTCGCTTTGCGGCCGTTCCCTTCCGCCTTTGTTGCTGCGCGCTGTCGGCACTGCAGGAGCGCCTTCGTTCGAGCGCGTCTTCCTGGGCGGTAATGAAGAGCTGTGCTCTCTAGAAGCAGCTGATTAGAAAATAGCTGCTGGAAGGATGGAGGCGCAGAAGATATGCGAAGAGAGATGCGGTTGTGTAATATATCTATCCGGCAATGAGCTTATTAATTACGAACTTAAAGGGAAGACGACAGCAAGCTTGGAAACAACAGTGAGCCCAGCAAAATCAGTACCGGAGCACCGCAGAGGTCAAAAAAAGCTATGAGCGAAATGCTCGTGCGCAGAAGGCAGCTGCACTTTCTGTTCTGCTGAACGTTCGGGATGTTTACAGCTCTTGTTTACAGTTCCATTTAATCTTGAGAGTGAACGTAAAGGAAGCCGAGCCCCGTTCCCCCCGCGGGGTGATTCTGCGCATGCGCACCACCGCCGCGCTTCTGAGCGGCGCCCGCGTCTCCCCGGTAACCGCGGCTCCAATCCGCGCGCTGCAAGATGGCGGCCGCGGGAAGCGCGGCGCGCGGCGGCGGAGGGGCGTGGGGTCGGGGCGTTCGGTAGAGAGGCGTTCGGTAGGGGCGGTCCCGGCCCTCGCGGCGCCGCGCATGGAGCCTGCCGGCAGCCCGCTGGACCCCGGGCTCTCGCAGCAGGGAACGCCGCGTCTGATCGTGGAGGACTCGCAGCCCGAGGGCGCGGGCCCGGAGCGGGACGCGGAGCGGGCCCGGCTCGGCGTGCTGGCTCGCCGGCTGCCGCTGCGGCGGAGCCCCGTGCTGGTGAGCGCCTCGCGCGGGGTGGGGGCCGGGCTCGGGCTCGGGCTCGAGCCCGACCTCCTCTGACGCGCCGCTGTGTTGCAGGAGATCGTCCGCGGGGCGGCCCGGGAGCGGCCCGCAGCTGGGAGCCGTGCGCCTGGCCGCGCTGACGGCGCGGTGCTCGCGGGGCCGATGGAGAGCGCCGCCGAGGAGGTGCCGCCGCCCGGCCCGGACAGCAGGTGGGCGTGGAAATCGGCCTTCGCATCCCGGCTTTGCCGCCCTTCGAGAGCCCTGTCGTGCGCCGTGAGTGACGGCGCGGGCGGCGGCGGACGCTCCGGGGCGGTGCCCCTTGGCGGGCTCGGGGCGGCCGGTCCGGCTGCAGCCGCCAGGCGGCCTCGTGGAACGCGGAGCGCCGTCGGAGGGCGGCGTGCGGGTAGACCTGAGCGATGCGAGCGGCTGTTTGTGTTGCAGTGCCCGTGGGAAGGCCGCAGAAAGATGCGAAGAGGACGATGAGGACAGTCCTGCCTCGCCGTACGCGGAAGGTAACTTGGCGATGTCGGTTACGCACCTCCGCTGTGCCGTCGGGTTTAGCCGCGCTGATGGCAGAACGTCGGGAATTAGCTTTCCTTCTTGCTGACGTTGCTTTTTATAATTTGATGCTCGAAAATCTATGACGGTTTCATAATGTAGTTACTAGGGACCCTGCAGACAAGAGGTGTTACAGGAGATGTATGCTGGCCACTGGGAGATCAGGTCTTTTTATGGAAGAGCAAAGAACTAGCGTGGTGGTAATGCTAAGTCACAGCCTGAAGCAGTGATGGGGCAGCTGGTGGGAAGGCAGGGCCAGCCCAGGGGAGCTCAGGGGTGCATGTAATGCAGTGCGCTCAGTGACAGGAAGGGCTGGAGCCAGGATCCACCCCTTCCCAGAAATCATTTAAGGGTTGGCAGTGGAGGAGAGGGCATGTTGTTGAGGGTCTCTGCCTACACGAGGCCTTCTGAAGGTTAAGCAGCTTCTTTCCTTAATTGCTGTGGCTGTTGCATTTGAGTGAATCCTCTCTCACTGCAGCCTGGGTTCTTGTCATTGTTGCGTTTTCTTTTGTGTTGCAACCGGCATCGTGATTGTCCTCAGAAGTGCAGGATTGTTTTCAGGTTGTGATCATCAAATGTATAGTAGTACTTAATAGTACCATGCAAGGCTTTGCTGGTTAGCGCTGGTTTTGGGTGTAGTGGGCACAGTCACTGTGCTATTTGGTCACTGTGCTGTTACCATATTTTTTTAATTAGTACAGCTGAGATGAGAGTATCTTAATTTATTCAGGGCTTTTGCAGTCCCCTCAATTTGTCTTTTGCCTTAGTGTGTCCCCTGCTCTTGTGATTATTTCATATTTTGTTTTGTGCATATGCTAGTTATGGGTGTTTTGTGTTAGATACAGGAACATCACAGCTGCAGTTTGGAGTTCTGGAGCTCTCACAGAGCCAGGACCTGGAGAGTGATGTCGCACCCGATGAAGATGTTAGGAATCAGCTTCACTCTGGAGCTGCTATCTTTTCTTCTTCCAGAACTGTGAAGAGTGATATTAAGGATGGTACGTGAAAATTTTCCATGTCTCTTTGTTGCTCTGTCACTTTTTTTTCTTTCTCCTCAATTTAGACGTATTATGTGTCTGTGACAGGAAATACGGTATTAGTAGCGTGCAATAGTGAGTTTGCAGTTCAGAGCTGAATAGTTTTTTGCCTTGTCTTTACTTCGGGCTAGTTTCATGTTTCCTTAGTGCTATCCAAGTGTCATCATTGGTTCTTGAACCTCTCCCAGTGTATTTTCAGAACTTTCAGATACTGAATTGTATCTCTGGTAAAAACCTCATTTCATCTTAAAAAAACAAGCAAACAAATTTTGTTATCCTTAATAGTTCAGTATTAATGCTTTTTCATGTAAAGCTTATCTTGATATAATATATGTAACTTACAGAACTGTATGTGCTTGTCTTTGTGTATTAATCTAGATGACCTGAGTGACAAGTGTTGTTGGTTTTCTCCACCTTTCTAGAACTGAATGTCAAAAGCAGGGAAACTGTCACCAGCATAGAAACACGTTCTGCTTTGGAGGGTCAACTGAAGGCGTTTAAAGGGTAAAATAGTCAAAAGGTTTATTTTTGAAGGCAGTGTGCATGGGCTTAATTAAAAAAAATATACCGAAATCTTTCTTGTAAACAACTGAAATACGTCTTAAAAAGAAGCTTCAGTCATAAAAATTCAAAACCTTAATTATTACCATATGGACATTAGACTCAGGAGATATCTAGAGGCTAAGTGGTGGTTTCCAGGATTCTGTTGAGTATTTGCTATTGTAAACTTCATATTTTCAATTATTTTAAAATGAAAATGTTCATTTTGCTAGAAGGTATTTATATTCTATGCCAGATACAAGGTGAACTAACTGTTATTCTATTGTTGCATTCTGCAACAAAAAAAAGAAGGTGAAACTAAATTCTTAGAATTGAAGTCAGTAGAACAATCTGCATTGTGTTCAAGCAGCACTTACAGTGGAAGAAAACTTAGCAAATGTTTCTGGAAATTTAATTTGTCAAGGATAAAGATGGTTTCTGTCAAGTGAGAGAGATCTGCCTGCTTTATTCATGCTTTTTTCTTGCTGTGCATTGTTGAATAGCTTTCACCTATGCTGATTGCAGTTGATGCATTGAGTTTCTTGGGTCAGGGACTGTGTTGTTTTCCCAGAACACTGCTGGATGCAGAAGAACATTCCAGGAAAGAGATGCCTGTCTCTGATTCACCTAAAACTGAGAAATGTGCTGACTCTGGTCACGAGGAGTTGGATATCTTGTCGACTCAGGAAGAAATGTTTCCTGAAAATAATGTAACAGGTAACAATAGACAGTTGAAGCAAGAATGACCATCCCAGAGATAATCATAATTATTCTTGCTTGGTCTCTTCAGTCATCTAATATTTTAGAATGTGAATACTGTGACCTTTTTTCAATTAATTTTTGCTAAAATTGGTAACATCTTGGAAATGAAAGGCTGTAACTGTGCTATAGACCACAGTTTCCAGTGGTGGTAATAATGCTCATCCTTTGTAGCAGCACACAGTCTAAAATGTGAATAAGTACTGTAGGCAAATATTGCAGGCTTTCTTACTCTGAATAACTTGGGTAAAGCATTGACTAAACCATGTCCCCTAGTACCATATCTATGTGTTTCTTAAATACATCCAGAAATGGGGTCTCCCCCACTTCTCTGGGCATCTTCCCAGTACTTGACCACCCTCTCAAATACCTCATCAACTCTCCTCAGTGCAACTTAAGGTTGTTTCCTTGTGTCTGATCACTTTTCACTTGAGAAAAGAGGCCAGCACGCTCCTTGCTGTAACCTTCTTTCAGTTGCACAGAGCAGTGAGGTCTCCCCTCAACCTGCTTTTCTCCAGACCAAACCTCCATTTCTTCCATTATTTCTCACAAGTCTCTTTATTTTTTTTCAGTCCCTTCTCCTGCGTTTTTGCTCTTCTCTTCATGTGCTCTGGCACCTAAATGAAGTCTCAGTTTATGCTTTAGTTTTAGTTTGTGTACAACTGTGTTAGTACTGGAATAGTCTTGTATAAATCCTCTGTACCCAGGAGGTTCAATAGTAGCTTAAGCATACTGAGTCTGTGCTGTCTTTGAATCTGCAGAGGTAATGTTGGAGCCACTGCGGATTTTTCTTCTAAAATCCTCAGATATGAAGATATGTATAGTCAGATCTGATTTAAAAAAAAAAAAAAAATCTATTCTGTAATTAGGAGCTATCTTTATCATCTGATTTATGTCTTGCTGACATTTCACATGCTGAACTTTCACATGCTGTCCTTCATCCAGTTCTGTGTGAAAACAACCTCAGGTAGACAAGGACAAGCTGTAACCTTCCAATAAACAATAATTCACGTTGTTGGACAAATTTCTAATCTTATTTCCTTTTGTTTAAAATTGCTGCAGGGAGTGACTGCCTTGTAACCAGAGTGGAAGAGGGAAGTTCTCTGGCATGTACCCCTGCCCGCAGTCTGCACCTCCTGCAGCTCTCTGGACAGGGATCCCTTGTACAGGAGAGCTGTTCCACGTAAGCAGAAACAAAACAAACAAACAAAAGCAAAAGTAAACAATGAAAACAAGAACAAAGCCACAAAATGATAACCAGGCTGTATTACGATAGTTTCTGTACCATTCCCACCACTTCATTTACCTTAATTTGTACAACCATGACAAACTACCTTAGTTTGGGCACCATGTCACCTGTTTGTGTTTGCACCCCCCGAATTTGGAACATCCATATAGGGTTCTATTCACCTGGTTTGAACAGGTATTATATTCATTATATACTCATTAAATCTCTGCTTATTTAGGTGGTGTTAAATTAGAGATTGTGAGCAATTTTAAAATATTTTGTTTCAGTCCCTAAAGGAAAGGATGTTTGCACGTGTTTTCTTAGTCTCCTAGTATCCATCTGTCAGAAAGTGTCCGTATGTGCATGAGGCAGGTTTTCCTCCTGCTAGGTATGGGATGCTTCAAATAGGAAGCCATATGGAGAATATTGATTTGTTTGTATTTTTGTATAGTGTTGTTTAAAGGCACCACTTATTCTATAAAGAATGATAATGTAATTCTGTTGTTATGACTCAGATATTTTCCTTTGATTGTGTGTGTGATATATGGGACTTCTGTATAGAACTGCATATGTAATTTAGGGTGAGAGTTCACAGGTTGCTTCTAGAGTGTCCCTGGTTATGTTTGATGTTGAAAGGCTATATACAGCTGAATAGGGAATGAAGTTGCAGTTTCTAGCTTGTAACCTTGGGCTAATTTTTGAAAAGAGCTCTTAGCTTAACTGGCTTTTGCCTGAGAGACTCCTCCTGAGCTTATCAGCTCTATTCCAGCACCAGCTGTCTGCTGAGAGTTCTTTCTTTGACTTGCCCTACTGTGATGGCTCCTTTTTTTGTGTATAATGATACTGGATATGATGTACTAACAGTTCCTGCTAGCTCTGTTGTCTGTTTCCTTTCCATGCATACGTATTGTCTTAGGTGAAAGTTATCAAAACAGACAGCAGTTCAGATTGTGTTCTGGCAGGGTTTCTTTGACCTTTGAACCTGAATTGCTGACTGATTTTTATTTTTATTTTATTTTGAGAAAACTGGCCAGAACTTTCTGCTTCATGTTTAGAGTGTTCACAGTCTCCTCTGCCCACCCCACTAACAATAAAGCATGAATAATTTCCCTTTCTCTCTACTCCCCTGCCACGTGGGAATCCTCATTTTGCAGTTTCCCTGTCAACCACATTATTATCAATGTATGCTTTTGTCTTTCATATCTTAAAACCATGTCCTCGACACTTTTGCTTTCTTAGCTACTGCATTATTTATCTCTAAATGGACTGTACACTGTAGCAATTATCTGTAGATGTTTTGTACTGCACAATACGAAGAGCAAAAAACATGCTCTCAAAACAAATGGGTTAGGTGACCAGGTTGTGGTCTATTTGTTAACCAGTGCTGTTGCAGGCAGTGAAGAGGAGACTACAGCCTCCCTAATTTTCCATTAAGTATGCATTGTCAGGTGACTTTCCAGTCATATTTTTTTGTGGGCAAAGCTCAAAGCAAATACAGTTTAAGTGTAAAATTTCTTCTACAAAGGGGGAGTATGGCTTTATTTTCCAGTAAAATGAAATAATTGTGCTTGTGTAGCCAATGACTGTTTCTCAGGTCTGTTGCTAGTAAACTGCTGTGTGTGGGAACTCTTGAGGCATGACCTGACCCAATGATTGAGCACCTGGGGAAAGGACCAGTCAGTCCTGGGAGCACAGGTGAAGGCAGTGCAGCTGTGGGACATGAAGGGATGCAGCCTGGCTGCACCTCTCTTAGACCTCATTTAAGGGCTGACTGCCACTGGGAAGGGATCTCTTTCTGGAGATTCCTCCTTGGTGAAGCTTTTCCCTGTGAACCTGGAATCTTCTGATGCAGGTGAGCGGTCTTCTTCCCTTCCTTCAGGCACCTTTCTGTTGCCAGTCCTTCCATCATCACACCTTTGTTGTAATACTTCTTCCACTGTATTGATCTGTCCAATTGCTCTACCCCTGGTACTTTCCTCTTGTGACAGGACTTGTATTGTGGCAAGGTACGGTTGTATTTGGGGAGGAGTTAATACGTTTTCTAGTGATGTATTTCCTTGTCCATGTTACCTTTTCTTGGTCTGCAGTGGCTCTCAAGGTGTAGTTGTTCCTTCTCCTGTTGGCCTAGCATCCAATGCTCTCATCCCTGGCAGTCCTACTGAACAGGACCAATCAAAAGGTAATTTTTTTTTCTGTATGCTCACCTGCTGTTGTGTTTCTTTGCTCTGTAGTTTAGTTTGGGCATGCAGCCTTTTCAGGACTTGTTCAGATTGCTCTTAAAGTATAAAGCAGGATTGAGGATGCTTAAAGAATGAGATCTGGGGAGACCTGTAATTGTGATTCCTGATAACCTGTCTATTTCTTGCATAGCTATCATAATAAAATTGGTTTTGTTGGCTAGTTCTCTTTCCATATGAAGGATGAGGAATACTTCACATGGAATAAGGATTGCTGCTTGCCATTGGTCTTCTTTCTTAGGGGCAAGCCATTCTTTTGCTATAGGTAGATAGGTGTCAGTCTTAAACATATGCTGATAGAGCAGTAAGAAAGATGGAAGAGAGCATCTTGCCTTAAATGACCTTTTCAATACTTAAGAGTTTTTGTATGTTACGTGTGTGTATTCTAAAAGGTTGTGCCAAGACTGCTTGTTCTCTGTAATATCTTGGTTATTACATGTTACCTGTTCACTATCAGGGTTAACATAGCCCCACAGACTCTCAGTATTATGGAAAATTCCTGTTCCTTTCTGTGAGATTTCCATCTTGTTTGCTGCACAGAATCTGAAGTACCTCTAGAATATATGTTTAGTTAGTGGGGTTTGAGTATGGTTGCATCTTAATAGAAGTAGCAAAAGAAAAAGAGTCCTCAGAAAAATGTTTTACATAAATTTCAGGTACTTTTTTCTAATTGTAGAAGTTTTGGACCTTAGGTAGCAAGATGGTTATGTGAACTCTTAACAAAATGCTTTCTTCTCCCTCCTCTCCCTTGCAATTAAGGATAGTGTAGCAGAAATGCTAAGTTACAGCCTGAAGCAGTGATGGAGCAGCTGGTGGGAAGGCAGGGCCAGTCTAGGGGAGCTCAGGTGCATGTAATGCAGTGCACTGAGTGACAGAAAGGGCTGGAGCCAGGATCCACCCCTTCTCAGAAATCATTTAAGGGTTGACAATGGAGGTGAGGGTATCTCTCTGGAGATCCCTGCCTACCTGAGGCCTTCTGAAGGTAAGCAGCTTCTTTCCTACGTTTGTGTCCATGGCTGCTGCATTTGGGCTTGTCCTTATTTGCTGCAGCCAAAGACTTTGCCATCCTGCTATTATTGCTGTATTTTCCATACATTATAGTGTTATAGATAGTTTTGTTGATTTTCCCGCCCTTGCAATTTATTTATTTATTTATTTATATTGAGATATTTATTTATATTGAGATATATCAAGTTCACCCATTAAAGTATGAGAATGTTGCATAGGCTGCTAAAATAAGTTTTTTAACAGTAATGTTGGAAACTAGGTACAACACAGGTATCTGCTAGTAATTTTTCTGTTCTTTAAAACCAGATGAACACGTGGATGTTTCTACCGCTGCAGAAGGAAGAGAGCTGGTGCAGAAGGGACAGAAGGAAAAGAGACTGATGCAAGAGGAGCAGAAGGGAGTTGAGCTAGTGGAGATGGTTATTCCACCAAGGCCTCCTGTCCTGCCACAGGCTTCAACTCCAGTGTCCCAGAGTGCCCCAGCCTTCTTTCCTGAATCTTTACCTATACCATCACAACCAGTGTTTTCTCATGTGAGTGTTCATGTAAATATCTTCTTGGATATAATTTTTTGTGCTTGTTGCAAAAACGTAATTTGAGTCAACCCTCTGTGCTTCTGTATTTGGCTTCCCTACTGAGATGATTCACGTGAGCTTCCCTTTTCCCAGCAGTCACGTTTGTACATTAATGATGCTCTTCTGTATGTGTAATTATGTGTAGCAGTTTAGCCTGCAGAGAGAATGCATAACACCTTAAGAGGGCTTAGTTACTGAACATAGTATTAGTTATCTTTCCGTCTATATTAGAAACTTCTCCTGTGCTTTTGTGTTATTTCTTTAAAAGGCTGCTGTTTTTAGTACTCAACTGGACATTCTGCTTCTCAAACTGTGTCAGAAGCTGAACTTTATCAGGACTTTCACATTGATCATCAGTTATCATGGAGAAGCTGAAACTGTTCTGCCTTTGTATTCTACTATGAATATTCTACTATGGAATGCTAGAATTTGCTTACTGCAAATGTATTTTGAGTTGCTTATTCTTACTGTCTCTTGTTTTTCTCAGGATTGCAGAGGGCTTTAACAGATACTCGGTGGCATTGTAGCTCAGTGTAACAAATTTAATCAATTTAAGGCAGTAAATAGAAGTTGTGCTGGAGATTTTAGTAGTTGAGGCAGGGGTTTCTTCTTAGCTGAAAGTGGCTTTCATATTAATATGATAGATTATTACAAAGGCTCTTTCCAGAACTCTTTGTTGTTTAATTAAAAACAGCTGCTGATTTACCATAGTTGCCTTTGCTTCATAGTTTGTTAATAGAGGGGGTGGACTAAAGACCTTGTGTGACTGCCACAGAGTTACTGGAAAGTAATTTTTGTCAGTGAGGGTGTTGCAATTGGCACTTGTGTATATGGATTAAAAATCTTTTTTATCCATTGTTTTGTTCTGAGCTTGCTCTGTTTCATAATCCTTTGTTATCTAGAAATAATAAATGGCCCTATTCGGGATACCCTGATGTTCAGTGTCCCACTTCTTAATTTTTTTTTTTTAATTTTAGGATATCTTTGTTCCAACTCAGAGTCCAGAGAAGAATGAGGGAGAAGAAAAAGCTGCTGTTTCAACCTATTCATGTGTACCAGGAGACCTTTCTGGGCCCACAGATGCTTTGTCAAAGATGCCTGCAGAAGACTCTGTGTCACAGCCTTCTGAGTCCTGTAATCTGATGCTTTCTGCAAGTGGATGCAGCCAGCCCACAAACATAGAAATCAGTTCAGACTCTCTGAAAACTGGCCATGATAATGAAGCTACACAGATCCAGGTAACTTCTGAATGTAGTATTTCAGACTTGAGACTGTCTTCTGTGGAGAATGATGACAGAAAAATGAGGCTGGATGCAGGCCATCAAGCCCTCTCTGAGAACTGTGAAAAACCAAAAAAGGAGGATATACGTTCTTCAGGAAAGCCTGTAATGCAGTTAGGTAGTACAGAAATAGCAGGAGATGAGACATCAGGCCCTGCAGCCCATCAGGCTCAGGGGTGTATTTCTGGAAGTCAGGCTGCTGCGGATCAGTCTTGCCCTGAGATTTCATCCTGTGGTGACAGGAGAGAAGCTCAGTTAAAGGGTTATTCACTAAAAGAGAGTTCTCAATATGAGGCAATTCCTGAGACTCAGCCTGAAGAACAGGAAGAAAAGATGCATATAGAAGAGAAACAAATGAATGAAGATGAGTCTCTTGTTAACATGACTGTTTCTGAGAGGTTCCTTCTTGAAAGGAAGGTAGAGCACCATGAAGAGATGGAAGTAGAATTTGCTGGTGGTTCTTGTGAAAATAGCAAAAAACTGCCTGAGACTCAAGAACTCGGAAAGATTAGACCAGAATGCTGCCGAAAAGAAACTTTAAAAGATGGTACTTCTGGCACTGGAGAAGCAAAGAATGTAGATAAACTGTCCTTTAAAGCTGCTTCAGAAAGCATGCCAAAGCTGAATGAAGTTTTATCTAAGCCTTCTGTAGGGGAGTTATTAGAACAGCACAATTTGTTTCCTAAATTAAAGATTGACATTCCATCTGAGATGGCATTGTGTGCCAAAAGCCATGCAGAAAGGTCAGAGTTACATCAGATAATAGAGACTCAACCACCGCAACAAGAGAGGGAAGCTGACATACTGATGACTCAGCAGGAGAATCAGGTGCCAAAGAATACAGCGATTACTGCTATGACAGTGAATCCGGAGCAAGAAGAGCAGATGCAGCAAGAGGAGCAGGCAGCTGCTAAGTCCCCCAGTCCTTCCAATGGTAAGTGAATTTTGGTTAGTAATTCATGAGGCTTTGAATAATGTCAGTGTGTGTACAATCCTCAGCACTGGTCCTCAGTTCAAGTTAAAACAGTGAACCTTCAGAGCAGCACTGCAAGTTACTCTTACATGTGTAACATGCCTGTACTTTTTTCCCCTTTGTAGCACTATTGCAGGCAAAAGCGATGAAGTAATTAATGTTTCTAATAGCTACTCGCTGCTTTATGGTTGAAGCTCTCAGCAATTTTGAAAATTCTGACCTTGGCAATGCTGCTGGATTTTTTTAACTACTTTTTTTTTTTTCTTGAAGCAACAAAACTAGTGTTCTTAAAAGGAAAAGAGCGTGTGGCAGTCTGTGATTCTTATTTTCATCTCGTTGGTTGGTTCATTTAGTTCTTAATTTCTTTTTTTATTTCTTTTTCTTTCATTCTGAGGGGAGGATTTTCTTTCTGGAGTTGCATATGCATATAGCATCAAAAACAACAAATCTATCTTGAGAGTATTTCTTTAAAGTTGAATGGCTTTTCACAATCAACCTGTTGATCAGCAGTGTTCCTTCATGCATCCCTTGTTTTTGTTTTTTTTTTTTTTGTTTGTTTGTTTGTGTTTTCTTGAACTGGGATGAGGTCTTTTGCAGTAAGCTAAAACAAGGGATGGTTCTGGCTGAAACTTAACATACAACAGATTTTGAAGAAATAAAGCCATCTTTTCACTGTTTTGCTGTGCAGCTATGCACAGGGAGGAAGGAGGACCCAGGGAACTACAGGCCAGTAAGCCTCACCTCTGTACCTGGGAAGATTGTGGAACAGATCCTCCTGGAAGACACTTTAAGGCACGTGAGGGACAAGCAGGTGATTAGACAGCCAGCATGGCTTCACTAAGGGAAGACCGTGCCTGATAAATCTGGTGGCCTTCTATGATGGAGTGGTGGTATTAGTGGACAAACGGAAGGCAACTGATAACATTTACCTGGACTTATGCAAGGCCTTTGGCATAGTCCCTGCCACATCCTTATCTTTGTGTTGGAGACGGATTTGAAGGGTGGACTATTTGTAGACAAGGAGTTAGTGGGAAGGTTGCAGCGAGGGTGTTGTGGCAGTGTCCTGGTGGAGGCCAGTGATGAGCGGTGTCCCCCAGGATCCATTGTGGGACTCTTCCCTAATCCTTCTGGGACCCTAATCAGGGCCCTTCCAACCCAGTCGTTACGTGATTATTTAATACGAAGATGAATGTTGGATGTTTTTGATGCTATATTCGTAGCTTTCTTTAACGAGAAGAAGGAAAAATAGCTTTATTGTGTAGAAAATAATACTCTGGGGGAATCTGGTCAAAATGCTGTTAAGGAAGTTCATAGATCTCATTTTATGGCATTTTGAGATCTCACAGTAATTTTCCTGTGAATGAGTCTAGGGCATTTTGTATGTGGGGAGTGGGTATTTCTGATAGCAGTTTGTCATAGTCAAGAGAACAGTGTTGGTATTTGAACATGAGAATAGAAAAATAAGCCGTATTTGGAGAAAATGAACTCAAATTGATGCTGCTGGTTGTAGCAAAATATAAATGTGTAAAATAAATATTTGTATTATGCTATTTGGTCTATGTTAGGAGGCAGTTAAAGCTTTTGAGATGTTCTGCCTACTGTCTCCTGAAACACACTGGAAAAGGATGCAGTGGTGTTTTTTTCCTTAACCATTGTTCAGTCATTAAGGTGTGAAGAGCTGTAGATCATCCAGCTTCTCCTAATGCAGCTTTGTTCTAGCAACACTTATTCCAGTGGAAGTCTGATTGCTTGGCAGCAGACCATGAAGGACACATAAGTACACAAAAACATAGCGTGAGGACTAAAAGGATCTCAAAGAATAGTCCAACAAGTGGGAGTAGGAACAGTGATGAAGTTTGGTTTTCTTGGCTGCAAGCACATACTGCTGACTTCAGTCTGCTGGAACCCCAAACTCATTTTCCACAGGGCTGCTCTGTTCACTCATTGCCCAGTATTTGTGCTTGGTGTTGCCCCTACCCAGATGTAGGGTCATGCAGTTGGCCTTCTTGAACTTCACAAGGTTCATGTGGCCCACCTCCCAAGTCTGTCAGGATCAGTCTTACTGCTCAGCTTGGTGTTGTCAGCAGACTTGATGGGAGTGCACTCGGTCCCACTACCTGTGTCACCAGCAAAGGTGTTAAGTAGTTTTGATCTCAATACAGCCCCCTGTGGGATACCACTTATCACTGTTCTCCACCTGGACACTGGGCCACTGACTGACTCTTTGAAGGCAATCACCATATGATTCCTCCTTCTGAGTGGTCCATCTGTGAAGTCCACCTCTCATTTTGGACACAGGGGTGCTGTGAGGCAGAATAAAGCTTCTTGGATGAGTCCAGCTAGATGATGTAAATTGCTCTTCCATCGTCCATGATGGTAATGGATCGTTTTGCATGAGGTCAGATTATTAATTCAGGCAACGTGTAGTTCTAACGATTTATTCATGCCTTAACCTTAATTTCTATTTCTGGCCGCCTTCTGTGCAAAATCCTGAGCGTTTCTCAAGCAAACCTACGTTCTGTGAAAGTTCGATTCGTATCTCTGTATTTAGTCTCATCTTTGTCTAAATTCTGGGGATGATTCCATCAAGGCCACTGCAGTCTAGTCTTTAACCAAGAGAGAATTTCTACACAAAGTGTGTGGAAGATCAGTTAGAGCAGCAGTCCTGAGACAGTAACTAATTGCTCAGGATGATTTTGTACAGCATAGCACCTGAGTTATGCTTTTTCCTCATTTCTACACTGCAGTAAGTTATGCTTTTGGTACTTGAACTGGAACATCCTCCTGAAATTATTAATGCTGGCTCTCCCTGACTTTTAGGAACACCATTTCATTTTGCTTTGCCAAAGGAGGGTGATACCATTCAACCACTGACCAGTGTAACGCCACCTCTCACTGGCCAACTTAAAATGGGACCTAGAAGACACAGCACACCAATTGGTAAGTTTAATCTGAACAGTTCTTCAGTAAAAGCCTGTTCAGAAGCTTTTGTTTCTAGATGCAGAATGATTGGATAACTCAAATGTATCATAGCAAAAAAGACATTAGTATTCTATGAGGAGGGCTCATCCCTCTAGTGCAGCTTGAGTATTCAGTTGTATGAAGCACATCCTCCTTATATTCATTACATTTATGTATGCACCTCATTAAAGGATACAGAAGACCCCTCTGAGTAGAGGGGGAGAAAAGTTAGATAACAAGATGATCCTTTTTTTTGCAAGACTTTCTCTGCCAAGGTCATATGAAACAACAGCTTGTAGTTGCTGAACAAAGGGGTGCTTTGGTAACAGTAAATTATTCTCATCACAAGCTGAGTGGAAACCATGGTGGCTACTTGCATATGTACTTTTTTGTTTTTTTCCTGTTTCCAGTGGATGATAGTTGCCCAGACAGCACGATAGCAACTAGTGACGTTACAGCAGAGGGCACAATGGGGACCAACAGTGTCACTGTGGAAAGTGCAGTGGTGTCAGCAGACGTGTCAGAAGTGTGTGAAAAAGGAGATTCTTGTGCAGTTCCTGAGGCTGATGTAAAACTCTCTCTACGAATGAACCTTGTTACCCCCATGAATGATGGGAGTGATGAGTCCCTACCATTCAGCTTGGAAAGTAAGAGCATGAAGCATCAGAATGCACAGGGTATACTAGATCTTAGCCTTAACTCAGAATCTCTGTGGTGTTCCCTGATACAATCTCTGTAATCCTGTTTTTCTTCTGGGACAGCATCACTTAAATTTGCTTCTGTGTACAGTGCTTTAAGCAAGGTTAGAGTGAGAAGAGAGGCCTTTGGAGAGGCCTTTGTTATGAGGAAAGGTATTTCAAGCAGACTGAAAATTGTGATGTATAGTGGCGATGTCCCTGGACGGGAAATAGATTACATTGATGGAAAGAAAAATTATTGGAAGTGTAATTTGAATACACAAGTTTGACAGTGTTTTAATCAGAACAGCAACACAGTCTGTTAGTCTAGAACTTGATATATTTATATGAAATACACGCAAGCTCAAGCTTTGGTGAGTTGGGTGGGGAGGTCTGGGGTCACTTGGTCTGACCTTATGTGACCCCTCAGCTGAGTATGGGGTGCTTGGAAAAGCAGAAGAGACTGGCACTGAAATTCTCTCTCCCTTCCTTCTTCCTTCCTTCTTGTTTCAGAGCCCACAGCCAGTGACAGGAAAATTGGATTCTCTGCTGCTGCCAGGTAACCAGGCTCATTGGTGTGCAGAGTTAATTCAGAAATCTGGTTAGATCCCTTTCCTACTCATTACCAGAGACGGGTTAAAAAATTAAAGTGAGACACAGGAGCTCTTTTAGAGGCAGCCATATCATTAACTCTTTAGTTCTCCAGTCAAGTTTAACTATGTAGGCATGGATACAGGGTGGGTGCCCCACCTGCTGTTTCACTGCAGGCTTTATGCTTCCTGATAGCATCAGCATTTTGCCTCATTTTGATTATAGTCAGAACAGAAATTGATGTCTTGTGCAGTCCAGAATGCAAGTCTGCACTATCCAGCTCTTATACTTAAACACATGGTTTCCTCTTTTCTTACTGTCAATTTTCTACAAAGAATCTCAGCTCTGAGGAGTTCTGAAAGAAAATTCTTTTTGGTGTGAGGCTGATAGAAGAAACATAACAAAGTCACTGATGTACTGAGATCACAGTTTAATTTGTTGACCAAAATGTAAGTTACTCCCTTGATCTTTTCCTCTGTATGTATCTATTTTATCTCTTATGTAAGAAATACAGTTTCAGAGGCTGGTTGCTGTGTACTGTATTTCAACAGTGCCTAGCACTGCTTGATTGTAACTTTTGGGCTGTATGTTTTTTTAAGTACTGATAAAAATGAGTTGGAGGACCCTGTCTCTAGTTGTTGAAGTGAATGTAATGGTTTGAAGCAGAGAAACTTTTTGAAGTAAACTCTTTTTGAGGATAAGTTGCCTTTCTAGGTGTAGATTGAACTCTCAGGGTCTGCGTTACGACTCCTCATATTTTTGCTGTGTTGTGAAGATTTTAAGTTAGACCATAAATGATCTAGTGGTGTTCCCCAATGGCTACTGGAGGTAGTGGTTGGTGAAACTCCTGATAATGCTGCAGTTTTTGACCCTCCATTTTCTGCAGTCACTAGATTGCTCTTGGCTGTGAGGTTGTTGGCAGAAATGACAAATGCTTATGCAAGGTGTTTCTTGATCTTTGAGTCTGACCATCTCATTTGTTCTGTGACTGTATAAGTCAACAAAGCCAGTTGTTGTCTTAAGGAGCTGTAGTTTTGCTGTATTTTCACACTCTCCAATGTGCTTTTTTTAAAATCTGCATTGCTAGCTCCCAGAAAGCATCATCTGTATTTAGTCGTGTCTGTGAAGTTCGGCGAGAGGAGGAGACTAGAGACCACAGCCTTTCAGCTTCTCCATTTAGGTAACTATTTACAGTCTTTGCCTGCCAGTCTTATTTGGATTTAACTCCACTTGTGTTTTTTTTTCCTGCATCAACAAAATTATGTTCAAAGTCATTAGCTTAAGTCTGGGTAACTTAAAAGGTTGGGCATAGTGGGCTGAATATAGTAAGTATTGTATGTCTGTATGTCACTTGATAATCAGACTTTTTGACTGAATAGTGATGTGATTCCAGCTGGCTGAAAAGCTTTGTTAGATCTGGAGCTTGGGAGGGATGAGATAATACTGTTTCCATACCTTTTCTTGCTCCCTTCTCCAGGTCTTGTGAGCTATTATTGTTTTTGTTACTGCCTGTCTTCTAATTTCGTATATTTTTGCTGTCTGTAGTCCCTTTTAAAAGGGCTGTACTCCTGCACTGCTGATAAGGATAAGGCTGCCTGACCTACTATAGAAATCTGCTGCTTCACTGTTTTGCATTCTATCTTCTGATGAAGGCAACGAGGTTTTGACCTATGGAGAAAGAGTAACCTATAATTGAATGATTACTCTAGATATTGTGATGACTAGGGTATTCCAGTGCTGGACAGTGTACAGACAATGTAAGACAGTCACACCTCAAAGTATGAGGAAGGCCAGGTGTGTGCTTCTACTAAAACTCAGTGCATAAGTTTGATATAATGATCAATAGCACCATTGACAGGGCAGAGGAATTCTAGTGGAAATATTGGAGTTTGTATGGGTGCCCCTGCCTCTTCTTGGTGGGTGTGATTACCTATTTCAAACTAATGGAATGCCAGAGCAAACTGTAGCAGCAACATTAGCATGGCTTGACTTCGAGAAACATTTTGCATAGATGATGCCTGTTATGTGAGGTGTATGTTTTATCAGTGTTTGTAAAAACTCCTAATTTTTTGTAGTGTCAGCCGTTCTTCCAGCAGCCGTGTGGGTCAACTGAGAAATGTTGAGGTTATTTGATAATTTGAAAACTCACTGAGTTCTATGCAAACTTAAGAAGCAATTGGATGATTACACTGCTGTTTTTTCAGTAGTATTTTCACCTAAGTGGCAATATTGGACTTCTTGCTTTTTTTCATCAGTAATTTTGATCTGCATATAACTGGTTTGCAGGGGAAATCTATTCAGCTTTCCTGGCGCAGAAAAGAATGCTGAAATATGTGAAAATCCTGGTAATCAGCAACACAGAGCAGATGACAGTGGTGGACAGCTTCTAATACTTCAGAGACTGCAGCAGGGCTGCCATCAACAACCTTCTTGTACAGAGCAGAAAGAGTCAGCGGAGGCTGGTATTGTAACAACGCAGGTGGAAGAAGGGGCAAGAATGCAGCAGAAACCAAGTAAGGTGGTTGCAGTTGATGAAAGCCAAGGGAAGCAGGCTGATACCAATACTAAAGGGATTCAAACTGCAGCAGACTGTCTTTTTACCCCAACAACTGTTACAACAGCAACACAAACAGCAGAAGGAACTTGCAGGCGAGTGGATGTGGGAACCAGTATGTGTGGGCAAAGACCTGGGCGACAAGATGTAAACATCCAAACTGAGGAGGGTGGACAAAAGCTTGTGAATACCTCTGCAGAAGACACAGACTCTCTACACAGTCAGGTGGGATGAAGGCTGCCTGTATTACATTTTTACTAGCTTAACACACTGAAGTATTCCTGCAGTCAGTAAACTCAATAACTTTTTTTCTCAACCAAAAAAAGCCAGAAGACTATTTTAAAATGTTAATATCACAAGATTTTTTTTTTTTTTTTTAAATCTCAGCTGTAGACAACTGCTAAGGTAGCAGTACTCACCAGATAAGTTTGGGAAGTAAATGTCTCAGTATTCTCAAGGAAAATATGGCAAGTAATTTTTTTTGTGTGTATTTCTGTCTAGAAGTTGATAATATTTAAAAAATTAAAAATCAGCTTTTGTTGGAGGAAATAGTATGAAATTTTTACTGTTTGTGTCAGTAAATTTCAGGCAGCTGATTCTGCCGCTCCATTTGATGACAATGGGTAAGCACGTTAAGGAATAGCTCTTCTAGTTAAGTATTTTAACAAGATTAATAATTTCGAAATTAGTATTTCAGAAAGTTTCTTGAGGACATAAAGTCACTGCTTTGAAGTTATACTTTGCAGGTTTCTTGAGACTATAAGGACTAGAAAATCATCTTTTCTTAATTTGAATTAAGAATTGTGTGTCCTCTGGGAAATAGGAGATTAGAGGGCCATAAATACACTGCATAGTGGTTTTGATTTTTGGCTCTGAGAGTATATGGAATTAATATCAAAACTGTTTCCTCGTTGGACTGTTGTGATTTCCCTTACCCCTCAACAAATGAAAAAAATGTTTGCTTCTCCCTTGTTCTAGGTCTTTCATGTTGCCCAACAAGGTGGTGCAAGGTTTCCTACTACAGTGCTTGTGTGTGGTGTGGGGAGAAAACCGTACTGCAGAGATGGCTGTACACAGAAATTGATTTTGGTGGTTGTCTGTTTTTATTTTAATTTATCCTCTTTATTACAGGGAGAGGATGAATTTAACCTTCATCCTCCCAGAGGTCAGGTTCAGCGTCGACACGTGCGAACTATTCGAGAGGTGCGCACTGTGGTTACCCGTGTTATAACTGATGTTTACTACATAAATGGTGCAGAGGTGGAACGGAAGGTAGTTGAGGTAAGTTCCCATTTCCAGGGTTAAAATTGAATAACATGTTGGCTGAAGAATGAGGTAATGAAAATTAAAACATTATGGCTGCAGAAAGCATTAGCGAGTGAGCAGTGCAGTGTGACAAACTGGTCCCGTGAGCAAATGTGTAGACCACCCTATTTACATGGAAAGCTGTGTGGTTTTATGTGGTGTTGGTGCATTTTGTGCCTGTTACTGTATTCTCATGAGATGCTTTCTATTTTAATTACCCAAGAAAGGAACGGAAGACTTCACTGAGCTTCCAGCTATTTCAAAATTCTTTTTATTTTGTCAGTGGAGACTTCAGAATGGGCATAAATTCTGTTAGCAAAAATCACATCTTCCTGTAAAATTGAACTATTTCAGACTGTTCAGTATATTCTGCAGCTGTGTTACTTCTTACCTGTGGTCCACAGACTTCTGAGTCCTGTGGATCAGATTCTAGAAAACACAAAAAAATAAGCCAATTTTTAGTATGGTTGTGTTGCTGTACGTGCCATTCATTCATCAAAAGATCAAAAAGGGAAATTCAAAGAATAGTCAATAGATGCTGATTTGATATATATGGTAATCTTATTGGCCTGCTAGCAATAAAACTTTACTGCTTATTACTGTTATATTTTATATAGGTAAAAATCATGTGTCTTGTGCTGCATTGCTACAATGAGTAATGGCATAAAGAGCAAAAATTATTTCAGTTAGTTGTGCCTTCATACTTGTCACTACATGTGAAATTATTTATTGTAATATTAAAATACAGAATTAAATTTCCTTAAATGTGTTTGCATAGGCTGTGTGAACACAACTGTATAACTGTTCTCAATTCATCTGTCAACATTTGGTATCAGCATTTTGTTGACACATATCCATGGAACTTGAATAGCTCCAAATGACTAGCTCTCTGGAAATTGATCTTGGCTTAGTAGTATCCAATCACTATTAGGATCTCAGGTAGTTGTTACGCTCTCCCACTCTGAAAGGGTGGAAATCATTCAAAGCCAGACTAATTTATGGCTTTGAATTTGTAGTCATTCAACCTCCTATCCTGATGACTTTTCATCTTTTTTTCATGTGATGTCTTCGTACAGGAGCAGCTACATGGTCAGAGCTGCTGTCTGCCATAGATCAGTCCAGATTCAATCTGCATGGCTGTTTTCAGTCTCGTGAACGTGTTCTTAACTTGTCTGTGCTCTTGCCTGGTGATTGCAGAGCTTTCATCTAGCAAGTTCATCACCTTCAAAGTGACTGCTTTTTTTTTTTTTTTTCCTCATAAGGAAACTGAGGAGCCTGTAGTGGAGTGCCAGGAGTGTGAGACTGACACGTCTTCCTCTAGAACTACAGTTGGCTCATCGCTGACTTCAGGGGACCTTGGTGATGTCAGCTCCTTTTCTTCTAAGGCCTCAAGCCTCCACCGCACATCCAGTGGAGCAAGCAGCAGTCTCTCTGCCACACACAGCAGCAGTTCAGCACGAGGAACTGGAGCTGTCAAAGGGAAAATGTGTGGTACAGAAAGTGGAGAGTTTGCTTTACCCATTGGCAGAGGTGTCTTAGGAAAACTGAGGTACGTGTAGAGCCTTGAGAATGGAAGATAAGATATTTTACAGAAGTGAACAGCTGGCTTGGGTGGAATTTGAAGCAGGGTAGACTCTAAACCAGGGATTTTTGTGTTGATGAACAGAAACAATGCAACAATCTTTGTTTTTCCATCTTTTTTTTTTTTTTTTTGAAAAAGTAGCGGTTGTTTCCTCATGATGCATTGCTTTTCTTAAACTCTCTAGGGATTCAGAAGATAAGCAAAATCTTTGAGTTTTTAAGGGATGTGGGTGTAGTAGTGGGTGTAGAGTATGGTGAAGTTGCATCTCTTTTTGGAATGGTTAACTGAACTCATGATTTCTCTAGTCCTAGGAAAGGAGTTGCACAACCAGTATCTCCTCTCAGAGTTAGTCAGGCAGGAGCAGCACTTCTGTGTGAGGAAGAGGAGGACTCTATGCTTGGTACTCGCCAGGGTGGCAAAGCACCTGTGACACCTCGTGGGCGAGGAAGAAGAGGCCGCCCACCGTCCCGAACAACTGGAACAAGGTACTGTGGGAAAAGGAGCCTGTAATCTTAACTTACTGTTGAAGAAGAGAACAGGGAACTATTGTCATAATGTGATGGAAAATGAATTAAATGTTTCAGGAGGTAATTTTTGGTGATAGTGTGTAGCAGCAACAGGCATGTAGCACAAATATTCTTTGGTAAATTTCTTGTTCCTTCTGGGACTGTTTTTGTGTTTTCTCCAGAGATTTGGCTGGAATTCCTGTTGTGGAGGATCTCTCAACTACAGGATCGCCTGAGGAGAAATCGTTTGTTCGTACAATTCGCCTACCAGATGGAGGGGAGAAATCTGACACATCTGGCTTCTGTGCTTTACGTCGAAGTGATTCTCCAGAAATCCCATTACAGGTGGTGGCTGGTCCTTCAGACTGTGCAGACTCATCTGCTGGGAGCAGCTTTGTGGGCCTCAGGGTTGTAGCAAAGTGGTCTTCAAATGGGTACTTCTATTCTGGGATGATTACTCAAGATGTTGGAGCGGGGAAGTACAAACTTCTCTTTGATGATGGATATGAATGCGATGTACTAGGAAAAGATATTTTACTCTGTGACCCTATCCCACTGGAGACTGAAGTAACTGCGCTCTCAGAGGATGAGTACTTCAGTGCAGGTAAGGGTAGTCCTTGAGCTCAGCCCACGAGTTCTCAAGCTGCCCAGTCCAGTGAGAAATGAGTGCTCCTCAACCTGAGTGTCTTAGATTAACAATGTCATTTGCTGTCTTGTCAGGTGTAGTGAAGGGGCACCGGAAGGAGTCTGGAGAGCTGTATTACTGCATTGAAAAGGAAGGCCAGAGGAAGTGGTACAAGCGAATGGCTGTTATCCTGTCTCTGGAACAAGGAAATAAGCTCCGAGAGCAGTTTGGACTAGGTCCTTATGAGCCTGTCACCCCCCTGACTAAGGCAGCTGACATCAGTCTTGGTAAGCTGTGATGCTTTTTGGTTCTGTGAACTACAAACCTGTCAGCCTGACCTCAGTGCCGGGGAAGGTTATGGAACAGATAATCTTGAGTGTGATCACATGGCAGTTACAGGACAGCTAGGGGATCAGGCCTGACAACCACAGGTGGGTTTATGGAAGGCAGGTACTGCCTGACCAGCCTCATCTGCACCTTCTGTGACTGGGTGAACTGTTTGGTGTTGATGTAGTCTAGGTAGATTTTAGCAAGGCCTTTGACACTGTCTGCTGATTAAGGCTGCCTGATTGGTTGGGATTAGAGGAATGGGAAGCAGCACTGCACTCTGGTTGGACTGATGGGGGTGGGAAGTAGTGCCATGCTCTGGTTGGGCTGAAAAGTGAGCAGCAGTGTTGTTCAGATTGGTTGAACTGTAAAGGGTGGGAGCAACACTGCACAGTTGGGCTGTAAAGTGCAGGAAGCAGTGGCACATGCTGATGGGTTTAGCTGAGAGGAGTGGAAGCAGTGCTGAGCTCTCATTGACTGAATAGGGTGGAAGGCAGCACTGTGCTCTGGGCTAAAAAGGCTGTGAAACAGTGCTGTGCATGGATTGGTTGGACTGAAGAGGATGGGAAGCAGTGCTGTGCTATGATTGGTTGGGATGAAAAGAGCAGGATGCAACAACATGTTGTGATTGGTTGGGCTTAAAAGGGTGAGAAGCAGTGTTGAGATGAGCAAAAAGTGACACTGTGCTCCAGTTAGATGGACCAAAAAGGGTGGGAATCAGCACAATGCTTTCTTTCTGCTGAAAAGAGCAGGAATAGGCACTGCACACAGGTTGGTTGGGCTGAAAAGGGTGGGAAGCAGGACTGTACTGTGGTAGGTTGGGATGAGAAAAGCAAGAAGCAGCACCATGCTCTGATCACTTGAGCTGGAAAGAGTGGTAGGAGGTGCTGTGTTCTGGTTGGTTGGGCTGTAAAGGGTGGGATGCAGCACAGTGCTCTGGTTAGGTTGGGATCAGGGGAGTGTGAAGCAGCAGCATGCTCTGAGTGGGTTGAAAAGGGTGGGAAGCAGTTCTGTGGTATGATTGGGTTAAAAAGCATAGATGCACCTCATCTCTGGGCTGTAAAGGGCAGGAACAAGTACTGTGCTATGATTGGTATGAGAAGAACAAGAGGTGGCACTGCACTCTGGTTGGACTGAAAAGGGCAGGGTGCACTGCAGTGCACTGATAAGTTGGGCTGAAAAGGGCAGGGAGCAACAGTGCACTCTGGTTCAATTGAAAAGGCAGAGAAGTAGGACCACACTATGATTGGTTGGGCTGAAAAGAGTGGGAAGTGATGCTGTGCTCTGGCTGGGCTGAGAAGAGTGCCATGCTCTGGTTGGGATGTGAAGAGCAGGAAGCAGCGTTGTGCTATGATTGGTGGGGCTGAAAACTCAGGTAGCAGTGCCATGCTATGATTGGTTGGGCCGTAAAGGGCAGGAAGAAGCACTGCGCTCTGATTTGTTGGGATGAGGAGAGCAGGAAGCAGCACCACACTCACTGGTTGGGCTGAAAAGGGTGGGAAGTAGTAGTGCTGTGCTCTAGTGGAAATGAGAAGGATGGAATGCAGTGCCATGCTGTGATCAGGCCAAAAAGAGTGGGAAGCAACACCGTGCTCTCATTAGCTGAACTGAAAAGGGCTGTAAATTATCGCCTTCTGGGTAGGGCTGAAAAGGGCAGGAACAGCGCATGCAGAAACCCAGAGAGCAGGAAGCCATGCTGCTTGTTGCTTGGTTGGCCTAAAAAGAGTTGAAAGATGCGTGAAGCTCTGATTGGCTGGACTGAACAGAGTGGGAAGTGAGAGTTCAGCCATCTTTGGATGAACAAAGGTCACAAAATTAGGTGGCAGTAGGTGACTAGTTTAATTTTCACATTCTATTACAGATAATCTTGTGGAGGGGAAGCGGAAGCGACGCAGCAACCTTGTCTCTCCCAGCACCTCCAGCAGTAGTACAACTCCCACTCGTAAAGGAATGGAAAGTCCGCGTGTGCCACCAGGTGTGCTTTCTGGCAAAAGGAAACTTGTTGCTTCTGAGGAAGAGAGATCCCCAGCTAAACGTGGCCGTAAGTCAGCAACAGTAAAGCCTGGTGAGAATCTTTTTAGTTGCGTCTCCTTTCATAACTTATTGCTTAGTAAGTCATAAAGTGCCTTCAGACTTAATGCTGTGAAGGATCCCTTTCTTTGGCAGCCTATCAGTAACCTGAAATGTTGTCCCATTAGTCACTACCTAGTTTTGATTTGAGGACTCTTTGCAGCTGTAAGGATAAAAGATACCAACCTATCCTAGCCTAATCCTAACCAAGACCTGTCTCCCTGTCTTCTCCAGTAAAGTAACTGAAGTTGAATGTATTCTAAATCCTCCTGCAGGTCTTTGTGCTGAACCTGAATTGAGACTCATGGTGCTTCCATCTCTCCACAGGGGCTGTGAAAACAGGAGAATTTGTGAGTACCTGTGAAGGTGTAGATCCCCCAGTACTGGAGGACCATCATGGACCATTGCCACAGAATAAGACCCTCTTTTTGGGCTATGCCTTTCTCCTCACCATGGCAACACCCGGTGACAAACTGGCCAATTGCCTGAAGCCTTCAGATGGTCCTGCAGGGAGTAGTGAGGAGGAAGAAGGTGAGGTGAACCTTACCCACTGTATTTTCAAGTGGAATGCTGTGGCTGTAGGAAAAGGGCTGGATGCAGTCTGGTCAGGCATTTGTGAGTGCTTGTTTTATTCTTTTGCTCTTTAATGCTTTGCAGAAAGGAGCTAAGACTCAGCCTGTTTTAGAGAATTTACAGCCTGAAATGTATGATGTTGTATCAGTGATGGTTATAAGGCTGAGCAAACTAAGAAAGGTGAGACCAGCAGTCTGAAAAAAATGTAATATGAGAAGCAGGATTTTGAGAGATAAGCAATGGAAAAGCGGGGACTTGAAAGTATGAATGGGTTGCTGCCTTTTGGGTTTGCCTTTGCTAAAGTAGGTGTGTTCTACATAGTGAACTTCAGCATAAAGAAAGCCATGAGGTGCTTACTTGGCTAGTTAAGCTAATAGTCATGTTTCCCTTTGTTTTTTTTGCGAATGTGAGTGAATTATAGCCAAAATCTTTACTTTCTATTTCTGTTTTAGAATTCTTAGAGATGACTCCGTATAACAAACATTATATAGCACAGCAGCTGCGAGCAGGAGCTGGCTATATCCTGGAAGACTTCAATGAAACACAGGTAAAGGCTTGCTCGCTAATTTATAGAATGATAGCCAAAGTAATTGTGATTGGAAGGAGTTTCTGTAAATTGTCTACTCCAGCACCTTACTGTAAGCAGAACCAATTCGAGCAAGTTGCTCAGGATCTTGTCCAGGTGAATATCTGAGGCTGGAGATTGCACAGCCTCTCTGGGCAGAGGTGTTTGACTGCTTCTAATTTAAAAAAAAAAAAATATATATATATATATGTATATTTAAATGGAATTTTCTGTATTTAAATGTGTATCTTGTCTTAAGTGGATATCATCAAATATTATTTGTCTCTATATTGTGTCCTCCTGTCAGTCATTAATACGCATTGGTGAGACGACTTAGTCTCTTCATGTGTCTAAACAAGTCCAGCTTTTTCAATTTTTTGTATGCCATGTGCACCAATTCCTAGACGATCTTAAAAGCAAGCCCAGCCAAGAGAGCTACTTTGGTGTCCGTGTCTTTCTTGTACTGTACAACCTAATTCTACAGATCTGGTCTTGCCAGTGCGGCATAGAGCAGCAGGATAACGTTCCCTGACTTGGGATGTGGAGCTGGGGTTGACTTGTGACAGGAACTGGGGCTGTTCAATCTGGGGAAAAGGAGGCTGGGGGAGACCTTACTACTCTCTTTCAGTATCTGAAAGGTGCTTACATCTGGAGCGGGGTTGCTCTCTACTCACTGGTATCAGGTGACAGGAGGAGGGGAAATGGCCTCAAGTTGCGCCAGGGTAAGTTTAGGTTGGACACTAGGAAACACTTTTTTGCAGAAAGAGTTGTTAAGCACCAGAATAGGCTCCCTGGGGAGGTGATTGAGTCACCATCCCTGAATGTGTTTAAAAACCATTTGGATGTGGTGGTCAAGGACATGATTTAGCGGAGGGTTGTTAGAGTTAGGGTAGTATGGGTTAGGTTGTGGTTGGACTTGATGATCTTTAAGGTCTTTTCCAACCTGTGTGATTCTATGATTCTGTTTTTCCTAATGCAGCCAATAATACTGGTTGGTTTGCTGCAAATACACTTTACTTGCTCATGTTTAATTTCTCTTCCACCTGGAGCTCCATGTTCTTCTCTCTAAAACTACTTTTCACTTGATCAGTCCCCAGACTGTACTTGTGTTGGAGTTATTCCTACCTGGGTGAGGTACTGAAGATTTGCCTTTGTTAAACTTCATGAGACTTGTCAGCACACTTTTTCAGCCTTGAGGCTTCTCTTGAAAAGCAGCACCATCCACAATGGTTTTCAGCATCACAATGAGAAAGTGACTTATTTTAGTCAAGATGTATGTTAAGCATTTTCCCTTTTATATAACAGTTGTTTTTTCTGTGTCAGTGTTCAGCTGTGTAATGGTAAGCCGAGGTGGTGGATGAGGTGTAGAGGAAGGAGCTCCTATAGAGCTCTTTCCCCTTTTTTCATTTCCCTTTTCCATTTTTGGCACTTCCTGATGAATAGCAGGTAAACTAAACACAGTTCTTATAGGAGGGAATAATTAAACTTTTGTGATTTAGTGCTTTGTGATTTAGTGGTGATAATTCTTACGTGTTACCTGGGAAATCTGGACAGCTAGAGACAGTCCTTGTTTCCATGAGAAATGCTGCCTAGTTTAAGTGGGAGTCAAGTAGAATGGGATGGGTAGGATAGCTCCTGTTGAAACACACTATGGGGTGACAACAGTTGAAACAGATTTACAATTAATAAATGACTCATGATGAAAAACAGCTGTCAATCTGACCAGGCATCAAGAAGCAGCTGAAAGTATACCCTCTGATCTGAGGAATGATACAAGGTGGTTAGTCAGTATAGATTGAGGAAACTTCAAATTGCAGAACAGACAAATGGAATTCATAGACTCATAGAATGGTTTGGATAGGAAGGGACCTTTAAGATCACCTAGTTCCAACATCTCCCTCCAGACCAGGTTGCTCACAGCCCCATCCAGTCTGGTTTTGAGTACTTCCAGGGAGGGGGTACCCACAACCTCACTGGGCAACCTGTTCCAGTATCTCGCCACTCTCACAGTAAAGAATTTCTTGTTGATACCTAGCCTAAATCTAAGCTCTTCCAGTTAAAGCCATTGCCCCTCATCCTGTTGTTACGTTACCTTACAAAAAGTCCCTCCCCAGCTTTTCTTTAGGCCCCTTTCAGGTACTGGAAGGCTGCTATAAGGTCTCCCCAAGCCTTTTCTTCTCCAGGCTGAGAAGCCCCAGCTCTCTCCTCCCCTCCTTGTAGGGAGGTGCTCCAGCCCTCTAATTAATCTTCGTGGATCTGCTCCAACAACTCCATGTCCTTCTTGTGTTGGGGGCCCAGAACTGGATGCAGTACTCCAGTAAATTTGTTGTCTTGAGATTGCCTGCCTATAAAGAAGTGACTCTTAGTAATATGGGCCAGTTAACTTCAGAGATTCAAAGTAATGCTACCAGAATACAGATGCATTTTAGAGCTGATGAAGGCCTTAAAAGTGATATTGTAGTTGTACCCATCAGCAGTACTGTAATCTATTAAACAAGTTTTGTCAAGTATGACACTTGATAAACTGGATTTATTCTTACATATCCAGTAAATCAAGTAATTGAAGTTTACTATTGAAATTTATACAAGGGATTTATCCTAGTCTTGTGTGAAATTCAAGGTTGATGTAGTGATACTGGCAGAATCTACAAGTAATGATAGCACCCAGAATAAATCTTTAACTTCTTTGTTTAGTTTACAACTCTTTTCCTGGAGTTTTATTTAGAGAGCATAAGATTGCAGGCAAAGCCAGAAGACTGTTGTGCAGACTTCAAGGCAAATTATAGACTTATTTTTTATTTTTACTTTTCCTCATAAAAAATGCTGATTTCTAATAAAAATGTAAACTGTTTTTGGAGCGTCTTGCCTGAGGGTAGAGTTGTCTTTACTGACTTAAGTCACGGTTTAAAAGATGTTTCTCTTCCTTTATCTGAAATCGAAGAGAGAGAGATGATACAAAAACAATAGGTGGAGTTTTTACTATGTGCTACACATCTTGGAATAGGTTATTCTGGTCTGTGAATTGAATTCACTTCTCACATAATAAGGCTGTGAAAAGTGTTTTGATTGTTTTCTTTGTTACTGTTCAGCTGCAGATAATTTCAAGGCTTTTTTCCAAGCACTTTATTTCCAGTTTATGTGTTTTTTTTAATCTCTCCTGAAGTGTAATGCAGCATATCAGTGTCTTTTAATTGCGGATCAGCATTGTCGAACACGGAAATACTTGCTGTGCCTTGCCCGAGGGATCCCTTGCGTGTCTCATATCTGGGTTTATGATAGCTGTCATGCTAACCAGCTTCAAAATTATCGAAATTACCTTTTGCCAGCTGGTTATAGCCTTCAGGAGCAAAAACTGCTAGAATGGTAAGTGCTGTAAGTAATAACCAAGATGTAAGTGCACAGGCTATGGATTTAAGGAAGAGATCTTACGCATGGTTAGCTTTTGAGTATTGCAAGTTCTGAAGGTGTCTGTAGTACTGCTCCCCATGTTTGCCATTTATATAGAAATGCATTTCCATTCCTTTTCCTTGGATGTGGCTCCAACACCAAGGTGGATTTGGTTGCTGTATGTACAAAAAGAGTCTCCCAGGAAGAGAGATTTTGGTCTCTTAAGAAACGTGAAATTCATGCAAGACATCCCACTCACTTAGCTGGTCTCTCTAATAGCTCAGAGAGCAATACTATTGTAACTTTTTCACTATGGCATGTTTTGAATTCAGGATACTTTCTTGGCATTTCTACAGAACTTGATCCCTGTTCTGTTCTGAGACTCCTAGGAGACAGTGGTGAGCAGACAAAAGCAGACTTCAAAGCCCTGGAATCTCTTGGTCTGGGGACTGATGCTAGATTGCTTGGCCCTATCAAAACTGAGGTGTTTTGGGTATGCACAAAATAGGTTGTTCAGGATCAGAGATAAGCCTAAGTGCAGTCAGGTGGCTGCATCCATGCATATGCGTACCCACGTGTATGTGCGCGCACACTGCCAGTGTGGTCTAGCTCTGACTATCTGTAAATAGAGGAAAATTGTTCCAGGTATTTCAGGAATGTGTGCTGTTAAGATATTAAAAGTACTAATATGGGAGCCGATCAGTTGATGTGGGGAGGTAAATAATGGTCCTCAAATAAAATCTGGGGTTATCATAGGCTCATGGAGTGGCTTGGGTTGGAAGGGATCTCAGTGATCACTAGGTTCCGACCCCTGTGCTGCAGGCAAGGTTGACAACTGCTAGATCAAGTACTAGATGAGATTACCCAAGGCCCCATCCAACCTGGCTTTGAACATCTCTGAGGATGGCGCATTCACAACCTCTCTGGACAGCCTGTTCCAGCACCTCAGCACCCTCCCCCTGACATCCACTAAACCTTCCCTCCTTTAGTTTAAAACCATTCCCCCTTGTCCTATTACTGTCCACTTATGTAAAAAGTTGATTTCCCTCCTGCTTATTAGTTCCCTTGAAGTATTGGAAAGCCGTAAGATTGTCAGATATCTTTAACAGTCTGCAATTGTTTCTTCCACAGGCACCCACGAGAAAACCCATTCCATAACCTGAAGGTTCTCCTGGTATCAGATCAGCAGCAGAACTTCCTGGATTTGTGGTCTGAAATCCTTATGACTGGGGGAGCATCTTCTGTTAAACAGCATTTTTCAAATGCTAACAATAAAGGTACTCATTGGCTTTCTATAGTAGCTGGAAATCCTATGCTGCTCTGCTCTCTAGTATGGTTTTAAAAATCATCTAGGATGACTTACAAGCATGTCTATAAGCATAAAGTAAGGCAAAATGCCAACACTGGCTCTCTGCATGAATGTAATCTAGATTAAATACAGAAGCTTTACCTTCCAGTGAATGATACAGTGCAGCAATTCAGGATACAGACTGTCAGCCTTAAAGAACTGCTCCTGGGCCTTCTGTAGGCCACTAGAATTGTTTCCATGTTCTTCTGAATTCCTGTATACATGTTCAACTTGTTGCTTCTCTGTATGGCATGTAGGTCCTAGTATTGCAGCCTGAGGTCAGAATGCATGGTTATCTGCTCCCGCTTGTAATCTCTGCTACTAGTTTTCTGTTCACTTCTGTCTGCGCTAGGGGGAATCCTTTATTTTCCAATGCCCAGTGTTGTTGTATAGCTTGTCTTCTAACAAAAAGAATTCATAGGCTAACAATGGGAGATGCTGAGGAGATTCATGATAGTATGGTAGTTAAACAGACTTATCTGTTCTTGCAAGGAAGAGTCCTTTTTGGTTTTTTACCTGACCAGTACCTCTTTCTTCATACGCAGATATTGCATTGGGTGTTTATGATGTGGTGGTGACTGATCTTTCCTGCCCAGCTGTTGTCTTGAAGTGCGCGGAGGCATTAAGACTCCCTGTTGTCTCACAAGAATGGGTGATCCAGAGCCTTATTGCTGGAGAGAGAGTAGGCTACAACAAGCATCCAAAATACAAACATGACTATGTCCCTCATTAAGCTGAAACTTTGTCCTGCTGTCCCACCATTGTGCAGACTGTTTTAATCAGGTTTTAAATGTTTGTGGAATTGGACAGCGTGCATGATTTATTGTATATAGTTTTATCTGCTGAACTTTTATCATGAAATAAATGTTCAATCTCTTGTGTTAGCTATTGGGTCTTCTCATTTATCTGCCTTGCCTAGATGAGGGCAGAGGGAAAAGAAGTGCTTATGGTTGTCTGGGCTGAATAGCTTAAATATTCTACTTTCTGTAAAACCTGACCCCAACACAAAAAGTCAATTACAAAGGGATGGAAAGATGGTAGGTTTTCGTTACAGAAGGATGGACCTATGACTGAGTTCAGGGCAGCAGCACCACTTCTGTTTTTTTGGAAGAATGGAATATTGTGTACTGCTACAACTTGCTGGAACAAGATACTGCTGAAGCAACTGGTAAGAAATGTGAGGACAAAGTACTGTTTTGCTTTGGCTACTTTTTATTTTTCTTCCCTCTTGTTTTGACTTCACAGGTATTAACCTGCTTCAGCACAGACTGGCAATACAAAAGTGGAAAAGAAGAGGGAACTAGGACAAATAAACTGCTGGGAGCCTGAGGTGCAGGGAAAAAAAGTGCATGCCAAAGACTTATTTTGGTTCAGTACATTAGTAACCAGCAGCATTCTAAATAGCCTTGAATGAAAACAGGGTACATATACAGATGATGTCTTAAGTTTCTCCCTAGCTTTAGTTTTAGCACCTTTTTCTGTCAGCACAGGGAGATCCGCACTTTGAACAGTGCGAATATTTTGAATAACTTTGAACAGGTGTGAATAATTCCAGCATGTTAAAATACATTAAGGACTGGGCTAGCAATGTCACATGCTTTCTCTGTAGAACTTAAATATACTGATATGCTGGAACAGTGCAATGCAAAAGAAAAATATTCTTAAACTCTGTTCATTCTAGTCTACCTCAAAATGCTATTGGAGTTGTTTCTTTTACATAAAGGTATTTGATTAGCAGATGCGATAAACTGGTTTACGACAGACAAGTCCAATTTCTGAAGAAAGCTAAAACTTCATTTATGGTCAAGAACAACAGACTACTTCCTGCATATTCCAGCTTGCCAAGCATCGCAGTCCAACTGAACAGCCAAGACATTCTTCGTTTTTTTTTCCCCACTTCTTGAAGAAGCATAGACTGCCTCTCTGGAAGCATTTATGAGCGTATGAAGACTGCAGAAAGCATATCTGTACTAGTTCTGAACAAATGGAGAAGCTTTCTTAATCACTAGGCAGTTGCAGGTAGGTGGCACTTCCTGCCAGTTCTTTTTGACAGTGCTTCACTAGGCAAGAGCCAACTGCACAGGCTTCACTGCTTGCTCTGCTGTTGGTCGCAGTTTGAAGGAAAGGTCTTAGTGTTCAAACCCCAAAACTGCAAGAAAAGGATGCAATATTAACAAATTTCAAGGAGCACCCCTCTATTAATGTATATCATCATTTTTCAGTGAGTATTAACTAGCAGGTAGCTCAAAACAATGCACATGTGAAAACCAGAAGCCAAGTCAGTCTGGTTTTTGTTACTTCTCTATCATAGTACTTTGCAGCATTTTGCTTCCAGTGATTTTGGCTTATGAAATGAACATTGCTTAATTACGATTGTTTAGCATGCTTTATATTTCAAGTGTCTCAAGATAATTGTGCGAGCACCCCGAAGTCATGCCTACCTGCCCAAGGTTCCTCCAGCCTGTGTGTAGTATTTGTTATAATCCAGACGTAGTAGCAGCTGAGCTAAGTCAGAGTTTATTTGATGGTTTCGAACACTAGAGAGAATCTTGAAGAGCAGTGATGACTGACGACTGAACCCCTACAAATAACAGGAAACCTGTTCAGGAAAGCCTTTTCAATCATTGAGTAGCCTGAAGAAAAGTATCACTGCGAAAGATTTTTGCTTGTGGTCTACTATAAGGTAACCTGTCAGCCAGAAGAATTAGGTGCTAGGTAGCCAAAAGGAGAGGTAAAACCAGATGATCTACATCCTTTGTATTTCAAGAGGATTATAACTTCTGTGTATCTGTGCACATACCTCCCCTCTGTGCACGTGGAGATGTGGAGTTTTTCTACCCAGGAGGTATTGACTAATTCAAGTAATTGTAAGCATTCACACAGGTCTGATCTCAGCTTAAAACAGCTGTAGAACAGGAGTAAAGTTAAAGTTTAGACGTTTGCAAGGGAGATGAACAAGACCATATCAATGGAGAATTTACCTTCACCAGAATGCTGAGTTGTGCAGCTCCACGCTCATCTAACGGTCCCAGATTCTGACTTACCAGAGAACAAAAACTATGACAAAGGTCCAGGATTTCATTTAAACAGTGGAAAACCTGTATGGAAAAAGAAGTACAAGTTACCAGTTATATCAGAGCTCAGCCTCAGAGGAAGTTTTTTAGTACCTGAAAATTAAAAGCATTCATAATCAAAATGATACACCATGTTTTACAGCAGTCACTAAGGAAGATGTTAAAGCAGCTGTGGCATTTCAAAGGCCTTTTTTCTTAAGGAAAAAGCTGCATGCTTCTACCTCTCCCCGAAACAACTTGTAGGAAAAAAAAAAGTGAAAACAAGATCTACTTACAGGTTTTAGGAGGATGAAAGACTGAGCCAACAGATTACTTAAGAAATGATCGTGAGCCAGTCGTATGCTCTCAAAATCTCGTGTGGCATTTATTTGCTGGAGAAGCTGTGAGAACTGAGATTCCAGTACATCCACCTGAATGGATGAACACGCAGAGAATTTTCATTAATAGCTTTCTTGAGGAACAGGAGTACCTCAGACCAGCTAGAAGTTGCGTAAGAAATTTGCTTTCCCTATCCTTACTCTTACAATAGAGGCTGAGCATTAACTTCTATCTGCCTCATTAATGGAGCTCTATATACAACAACAGTAGAGTAATAAGGGAGAAAAGAACTGATCCCTGAATATTAACTAAGTAGACAGACGAACAGTTGCTTTCTAACTAGTGAAAAAGTACTTAGGCTGCTCCAAAAGTTATACTTCCTATTTGTTTCTGTAGTAGTTTCCCTAGAAATAAAGAACACAACACTATTTGATAAATCACATTCTTAGCTACAAAGCACTATTTTTCAATATAGTCACCACCATTAGCTATGAATTTTCACCAGCAATTAGCAAAAGCCGGCATGCTGTACTCATCAGGGCAAAGGCTGCAGAACAAGAACTCAAGCCATTACTCTAGGAAGTCAGAAAGTTGGGCCCCCCTAGATTCTGTTATAGCTATTAACAAACTGATTCTCACAAAATTATGCTACTAACTATTGTTTAGGTTTGAAAGTGAGAAAGTGGCTTCTTTCAATTAAAAAAAGAAATCATAACTAAAAAAACACAGAATACCATCCAAAAGAACTCCTTGTCACTGAACAAAGCAGAGCTCATTTCAAGGGGCAAAGGAACAAGACAGGGTGGCATCTTAATGATTCAGCTTCAGGGATAAGCGGGGCTTCTCACAACTCCTGAGTAGTGCTAGAGAGCCAGAAACATTTGCATTTCCATTAACACGTAAAACTATACTGATTCACACATCCATTAACTGTATAATTGTAGCACTGAATCTGGGAACTCAAAAAAAAAAAAAAAAAAAAAAAAAGTTTAAAACTTCAGTGCTCTCCATGAATTTCTATCAGTTCCTGATTAAGCGATACAAATTCAACTCTGTTTAGTCCTGACCTGGAGGTAATACTGAAGATTGTCCACAAGGAAAGCCATGTGGTCCCTCAGACGCCACTTGATGGCATCAGTTCTGTTAGACTTCAGGTGTTTACGTTGCATCTGGAGAGCCCAGCAGTGTTGTAGCTCTGCCTGAACCCGTCGCACGCTGAGCAGGTATTTGAACACAACGTTGTACCTACAGTCATAAAAATAACAAAGTTGTTTTAGTTCTAAACTACCTTGTTGTTCTTGGGTACAGGTACTGGAGAACAAAACAATGCAAGAAAGAGAAATGGCAGGCAGTTGCCTGCCAACAGACAGGGTAGATAAAGTAACAGCCCATCTCAGAGTAACAGATTTCTGAGTGTATTGGTTATTGATCTAAAAAATACTAAGTAATTCTAGCATGAGCTGACAAAGTTTTGACAGTTTTGCTGACAGATTTCCTATGATCTTATTTGCAACAAGTAACCTCAACACGACTAATGTGGAAAGAGTAAGGTTTAGGGAGCAAGCTCAAATGCTAAAGCTCTACCTTTCTCTCTATGAGGGGAAAAAAATACTGGATGCCTGATGTCAGGTAACTTCCAGACACAAAGGCAATACTAGTACGTACTTCTCCAGAACAGCAGGAGTAAAGAGAATATGTAGTGGCCACTGAACTTTGTAAGAAAGGCCCAGAGCTGCCCAGCCAGATGTAGGGGCTTCACGTGGAGATAGCTCTCGGGAAGGCCCTTCACGAGTCTGAGAAGAATCTGAAAACAGATAAGCAGATAAGGTGCTTAGTTAAGACATCCTCTCAGTCAAGGCAAAGCTTTCCAGAGGAGAACGAAAAGGGGAAAGAACAGAACAGGAAGAGGAGAAGCAGGCTAAGGTATGACACAGGGCTGTTAAGGAAAGCAATTCAGTATTTCTTTACTCTGCGTGAGGGTAAGAGGATTTGAGAACAAGGTCATTGTCATAATCCCTCTTAACTCATTACTAAAAATGCAAATAGATACCTTTATGCTCCTTTCCGTGATACTCAATGGTCAAGTGAAGCAAAGGAAGAAGGTTGTCATCATCTAACAGTACCTTATGAGCAGACTGCTGAAATGCAACATTGACATCTGACAGAGAGAGAACACAAATATTAACAGAATACTCAAGATGTAGATAGTGCTTATTTTACACCTATTAATTATTTACATTGGGCCATAACAGACTAACATTATTTTCACTACTTTAACTCCACTCTTTGATATGGAGAAAAACCTATTATCTGAAAGTTACTGAAAGATTATTTTTGTTACTGAAAGTTTTTTTGCCCAATGTGCATTATACTGTAATTTAGAAGTGCTGCTCTTTCAAAACCAATGAAAACATCCAGAGGATAAGATGGGGAAATCTGCATTGGATTTAACTATTTTCCTGCCAGAGCACGGAGAGGACATCTTGTAGATGAGTAACCAGCACTCACCATGTTCTGTTACGGCTGTAGGTGGTGTTTTTAACATGTGCTGTGCAGTGTCAATGAAGGCCTGAAACAGTTCGCCTCTTCCCAGAAGGTAAAAGTCTTTTATAATCTGTTTAGGTAAGTTTTTGTATGTAAGCACATAAAAAACTGAGCAGAAAGAGTAAGCATTCTAACTCATAACATTTATTTTTTAATTACTTGGACAACTTCTGTCATTTCAAAACAGAGCTGGAAAGCTCTGAACTTCATCCAGTGGCCTGAAAGTCTACAGTGCAATGCACTGCAAGCAATAAATGATCTCCAAGATGCAAAGCACAAAACCACATACATTTACTCCTCTAACTCTGCCTCTGCCCAAGTTATATAACTGTACTCATGCTTGCGATCTTGAGAAATGAAAATAGAGTTACCTAAAAGAAGAAAGTACAAAATATAAGATATAAAGCATTTACTGGGAAAGGGCTATTAAAAAAATGAAACAAAGCAAACAAACAAAAAATCCCCCACCACTGATTTTAAGCTACTTTTGCAAAAACAAGTTAGCAGTAACATTACCTTCAGCTGTCCTAGTAAGTCAGATTCCTCCACCATCAGTTTCCAAAGATGCTAGTGAGAAGATGGAATAAAACAAGAAATCTCTTCTCAGATACATCTGAACTTACTGAATTTTATTGAATAACTTTAATGTCTAAAAATACCTGTGATACATTTAAAATGCACATATGTAAAACAAAAGAGGAACACTCTAACATGGTTCCTGTGTAGGCAACCCGTGTTACTAACTAGAATACTCTTGATGCATATTAGTAAGAAATGTGAAGGGAAAAAAAAAAAAGCAAATTCTTATGAATTCAATCAAATCCTACTTGTCCTCACTTTTCCATGTTCCTATGTTCTCTGGTTTTTAATCTTTTTTCCCCAAATTAAAACAAGACAAGAAAACAACCCACAAAGCATTTGTCTAAGTAAAAGGCCAACTATTACACTGAAATCACAGCATAACGTTTTGAAGTTGTCATAAGTGATACAATCAGTGTTTTACAATCCCCTGCAAATTACTGGTATTAGTTGAAGTCTTTGTATCATTAGAAGTTGGAATAACACGACAATAAGCCTGATAAGAAAATGAAAGCTACCTTTTTTCTTTTTTTTTCACCTTCCTATTTTAATTTATTGTAAACAGCTTCCCTCTTCCTGGTCATTCACAAAACTCAAAAGCTCCTCAGCCTGTATAGTTATCCTACTGGGATCCTTACCTCAGCAACTGTACTCCGTATCCAATCAACCACAGATTCAAAGTCTACCAAACTAAAGAGTGGCTGCTGCTTGAGTCGATGTAGTTCTGCTGCGAAAGTATCCTCCTGGTTTTTTAGGATGGAGCCTGTGCAACAATGAGAGAAGTTCTGGACAATAACAAATGCTATTCAAATAAGTGCAGACCCTTTCCAGCACAGTGGGACAGAGAGGCTGCCCAGGAAGCACAATGTCATGTCAGACAAGAGGAGTGTAAATTTGTGGAGGCCCTGAAGTACCAAGTACAAGATAGTACTGCAAATACACAATAGACACTTGATGTGGCAGTGCTGCAGTATCAGACAGAAAAAAAAAAAAAAGAAAAAAAGACTAAGTAGAGAGAAGAAAAGAAGGAAGGAAAAGATTTTCTATGCAAACAAACAATCCTTTTTCCTAGGACTAAGCTAGATCATTGAACCCTGAACTTTTCTGCTGCATTAACCAGTTAGTTGGATTCTCCCCATGCTCTGACCCTTTCAGTTGTATCCCACTGCTTGGACTTGGGAATTTGTTATTTTTGAAACCATTCCTCACCTCTACAAACAGAAGAAAGCAGTCCAATTCAATTGGTTCTTTGTTATCTGCACTGGCATTAGTCAGTTGAGTGTTTTTACATAGACAAGCCTAAGCTGAGAATCCAGAACAGTCCTCCTCTCTTATTGCAGTGTATTTCTAAAAAGCATCTTCCAATGTAAACCCAGCAGGCTCTCAAAGAGAACAATCAGTTGGAATTGTCTTTGTTTTGCTTTTGTCTTTGAGGCTCCATCATGATCATCTGTCCCACTGGCCGCTTTTGGAACTACACTGCAATAAATCTCTCATGCTTGTGCATGCATTCTAACTCTGTGACGCCATTCTGCAACACACACACACTCAGAGCAAGATGTGCTCCTGCAATTGTTTGAACCCTTCAGGGACAGAAATTCAAAAGGCAACATGACCTTTACAGAGGCTTTATTTCTCCAGAGTAAGTCAGATGGTAACTTACAACTTAGTATTTTTTATTCTTATTATTACTTATAACTATTTTTTTACTCATGCTGTACTTATGTCCTTCCCTAGCTCTCAATTAGAAGCAGAGCACTTGGACCATCATTCTGATCTGGCACAGCCATTTGTATTTTCTGAAGCTGACAGATGACACCAAGTTGGGAGGTGGTGTTGATCTGCCTGAGGGTAGGGAGGTCCTTCAGAGGGACTTAGATAAGCTGGATAGATGGGCTGAGGTGAATGGGATGAGGTTCAACAAGGCCAAGTGCTGGGTCCTGCGTTTTGGCCGCAACAACCCCATGCAGCGCTACGGGCTTGGAGACGAGTGGCTGGATGATTGTGAAGAGGAAAGGGACCTGGGGATGTTGGTTGATGCTCGGCTGAACATGAGCTGACAGTGTGCCCAGGTGGCCAAAAGGGCCAGCGCCATCCTGGCCTGCATTAGAAATGGTGTGGCCAGCAGGAGCAGGGAGGTGATCATCCCTCTGTACTCAGCACTGGTGAGGCCGCACCTCGAGTGCTGTGTTCAGTTTTGGGCCCCTCACTACAAAAAAGACATTGAGGCCCTGGAGCGTGTCCAGAGAAGGGCAACGAAACTGGTGAGGGGTCTGGAGCACAGGCCTTATGAGGAGCGGCTGAGGGAGCTGGGATTGTTTAGTTTGGAGAAGAGGAGGCTCAGGGGAGAGCTCATCGCACTCTACAACTTCCTGAAGGGAGGTTGTGGTGAAGAGTGGTTTGGCCTCTTCTCCCAGGCAACGAACAGGACCCGGAGAAATGGCTGCAAGTTGTACCAGAAGAGGTTTAGGTTAGACTTAAGGAAGAACTACTTCTCTCAGAGAGTGGTCAGGCACTGGAATGGCCTGTCAAGGGAGGTGGTGGAGTCGCCATCTCTGGCAGTGTTCAAGAGGCGTCTGGACGAGGAGCTGCGAGATCTGGTTTAGTAGCTTGTGGTAGCAGTGGCAGTGTGAAGACAGTTGGACTAGACGATCTTATAGGTCGTTTCCAACCTTGTGATTCTATGATTCTATGAAGCTGATCATTTTAACAGTGACTGTTAAAGAATTCATTCATACAGTATTTTGGAAGATACTTGTCAGTCTTTCACAGCTGAGTGAAGGCCATAAGAAAGATGCTTCTTACCTTTTCTGGTCAGGTTAACATTTTGATTCTCAAACATTTGTACAGATTCTCCCACAAACAAGATTTTTTCAGCAACTCGCACAGGAATGTACGATGGCAGCATCTCCACTCGCAGAGAAAACTGTTTTAGAGATGGAGCTAACATGTTCTCCTCCTCAATCAAGCGCTGTCAGAGACACGAGGGACAAGACAGAAAGCACAAGGAGAGAAAGAGGTTGAGAAAACCAGGTTTATATAGGAAAAGTAATAAATATCAGACTATACTAAAAGTAACTGGTTTTCCGTGGCCTTTTAAAGCTTTTTCTTGTTTTGGCTGCGTGCAATCTTCTCTCAGCAAAGACTGTTTATAGAAGGCACTTAATTTTATGCAATGTGAGGTGTAACTGCAGTGGATCTTTTGTGCATTCACAGAGTTACGTACAACATACTAAAACCGCCAGTACCCAGAAAAAAAAGGAGGAAAAACAAGCAAAAAGCAGATGGAAGCATAGAGAGAACAATTATTCTCTACTTCCCATCAGCAAGCAATGTTCAGCCACGTCTTGCAGAACAGGGCCTCAACAGGCATCAGTTATTCAGGACACATTTTCATTATAAAAGCCCCTCCTCCTTGCCCAGCTTTTATTGCCAAGTGTACTTTATGGAATATGCCTTTGGTAGGTATAGGTCAGCTGCTCTTGCAATGTCTCCTCCCCACCTCTTGCCTACTCCCAACCCAGTGGCTCTGGAGTGGCTGGAGTGTCTTGATACTATGCCAACACTGCTCAGTAATACACAAAATAGTGGTATGATATTAATGCCATGCTAGCTACAAGTGCAAAGCACAGCCCTTTATGGGCTGCTGCAGGGGATTAAACTCCAACCCAGCCAGACCCGGTACATCAGGTCTCAGGAATGACTGGTCATTTGTATCATTTGTACTGAAACTGAAGACAGTACTTCCTCTTCAGTCACCTGATGCCAAGCTACAACTTGAAGTTTTACCAAGTCCTGCAGCTCTCGTAGCTGTTTTCCTGTAAGTCCTCCAATTCCTAGGTCATCATCATCATCTTCAGGTTGGCCAGAGATATTCCCAGAAGGCCCCTGTTTGATAAAGAACTCTTCATGTTGGTCTAGTAGCAATCCATGCAGCATCCAGGCAGAGAGCTGCTTATACATGACTCCATGACACACAGCCAGAATCCTGAAATCAAAAGAAACAGACAGTGGGTCCACTGCACACAGTAATCAAAACCTCATTGTACATTATTACATTATTCTGGAAAGTCCTGTTGATCAGCTGAGCAATTTGGCACTTACTTTCTTCCCAAGGGCACACAGACATAACAACATTCACCAAGTGAAATTTATTTTTCTAAAGGATGAAAAAAAACCTATAACATGTCTGCTACATCCAAGGCATTTTGTGTAGACTTCCAAATATGGAGAAAGCCTTAATTCCTGCCATGAATCTGTTTTAGATAAATAAAGCATACTGTGACAGTTTGCCCTTTTAAATCATGCAGGCCCGATTTGAGCAGCATCATCTGCTTTCACAAGTAAGAAAATACTTTGATACTAACGTCAGGTATTACATACAAACAAAATAGTTTTGTTGCATCTACCTACTTTTCAAGAGCACTGCGAACAGGAGGCAACCCCCCACAGCTATGTTTGTGGACAGTTTCCAGTATCTGACATCCATGAATCTACAGAAGGAAAAAGTGGTTAGAATAAGACTATTACTTGGATCTGTATGGGCTATTTCAAGCATTTAAATGCTACATTTCCAGCTAACATGAAGAACTGTGCAGGTCTGACAGAAAGAGAGATTAAACACACTCCACGTAGTGAAGAAAGAAGTCTTCTATGTAAGCTTCTCTCAAAAATTTCCCTAGATGAGAACTAAGCCTCTTAAGACTTTGAAAACATTAGCTACTCCTTTTTTTTTTTTTAATTCAAGTGAGCATGGAAGAAAACAGAATAAGAAAAGAAGAAATTCCAACTAGCAACATCTTGTAGTTTGAAGTGTGTTGTGATTATAAAATGCATCTTGCTAATAATGAATGAGAAAAAGTCAAATCCAGTGTAAAGAGATTTATAAAGCATTCAATACTTAATTTCCTAGCATTCATGCCTGGGATGAAAGCAGGAAATACTTTATCAGCTAAAGAGAAAACTTATTAAGATTTTACACTAGCTAAAATTTTACCATACCTTCTGAGTCTTGATCTGTTCCACCACAACCATCACAGATGGGAAGAGTAACTGAAACTGCAGCACAAGAAAGAGAAAAGTTACACTTAGGTAAGTGTGGACAACAGGTGATTGCAGTAGTTCAAGCAAACTGTTAGCATGCTTTCCACTCGAATTGGAAACTATTGTCAGTGACCCTAAAAATCACTGGAAACAAGGTCCATCCTCCCCTGGACCAAGGATCATTATGCCACTGTATTCCAGCTGCAGTTCAGAATAAACAGAAGTTGTGAGGAATATGCCAGGGTAAAGGAGGAGGACCTATGCATTGTGTCAAAGTGCACGTGATCCTCTAACCATGATTACAGGACTATAAATTTGGAGATGTTAAGGAGAAATGACATAGGATGAAAGACTAAACCTTGTTTACACCACTCACATTCTCATTAGTTGAGAATGTTATGGAATGACAAGAATAATCATTAACATAAACAGGTTCATCAGCATTACCTGGTCCAAGGAATAATTAACATGCGAGATGGAAAGATGTGGGTCAGCCAGAAACTGTAAGAACAACAAAGCAGTTAATGAAAATTAAAATATGGCATGGATACGTAAAAAGGCAAGTTTGGCTCTATGCTTCATATCATGTTATGTCCCATATAGGCTGTAACTTTTAATGAAACCACTGGATGATAACAGTACCTAAGACAGAACAGCTGCTAAGCCCCGGAGGATTTTATCAGAACCTTCACAACTGAAAACAGAAGTCATGATAGTGTGAAACAGCACCAGGTTCCAAAGCTGATGGGACACTCATTGAATTGTATGTGGAGGGGAATGACAGCTTATAAAATTAACAGTAATTTACAATAGCATCTCACAGGAGTAATTTGAAAGCCATTCCCAAAGTGAGAAGGAAACGATCTTGTCTCTTTAGCTACTACCACTTAGTCAATACAGTAATGGCAAAAATGACAAGCTTCCACAATGTGCCAGCAGCAAACAGCCTCTTGCCCCAGGTCCCTCTCCTTTACCTCTTGTTCCAGGTCAAGCAGTGCCTGTCGATACGGCTGCAACACTGAATCAAGACCTGTACAGAATGCTCGCAAATAAATGCCATGCAATCCACTCTGGTTTTGCTGAGACAGGTGATGGTCCTGAAACAGAACAATGAAATCCTCAGGTCCTCAGCACAGGTCTGATGAGTAATGGAACTTCCTGCAACACTGCACCAGCAGCCAGTGGTCACAACACTCTGAAATGCACCTTCAGCAACCATAAAACATCCAGGAAGAAAACAAAACAAAACAAAACAAGCAGAGCTGTTTAGCTCTTCTGTGGATGCATGCAGGAGTGGGGAATGGTGCACATGCAGCAGCACTATTAAATTCGTTTGTATTTATGAATGCCTCCCGAATCCCTACTCTCTTCACAACTCCTGATGAACCGCAGGGACCAGAAATTGCAACTGACGTTCCCTTCCCTAGGAATGATACTTCTGCACTCCGTTACGTCTTCCAACACAAGCAGCCGTGCACCCTCCCTCATTTACACCGCACAGAACCACACGGAGCCCTGCTCGGGGCGGTGAGTTTGTCTGCGCTGGCGCAGAGCCGCACCGACGGCTTCGCGTGACAGAAGCAGCAGCGCAGATCATCACCCGCGCCGCGCCGCTGCGGCCTCACCTGCTGCTGCACGTGTCCCGTGTACTGCTCCACGAACTCGGCGAAGCGGATGTAGTCGGTACCGAGGCGGCAGAGGCGGTTCAGGACGCTGGTCTCGCTGGGGTGTAAGAACGGCAATTCCTGGGACACCTGCAGGAAAAGAGAGCGGTGAAAGAGCAGAGAAGCGAAGGGGGCGAAGAGGGGAGGGGCCGGGCCGTACCTGCAGCCCACCGCGCTTGCTCCAGGTAAAGGCCGCGCCCGGGTACCCGCTGAGCGCCAGCAGCAGCTCGTGGATCATCGCGCCGCCGAGCGCCGCGCAAGGGCCGCGCAAGGGCCGCCGGGAAGGGCGCGTCTGCGCGGTGGTCCGCAGACGGCGTGGGCGGCGGCTGCCGCTGTCGGGGACGCCGGGCGCGGGGGAGGACGGGGCCGCGGGTTGCCGGAAGAGCCTCCGGGAGCCGCCAGCCGGGCCCTCGAGTCGGATGCCGGCGGTCGGCCCGGCCCGATTCCATCCTGCGCTGCTGGTGCTCTTATTTGTGTGAACATCTATCACGTATTTAACCTGACGGAGAAATCTTGAATCTAAACGTACCGGTCTTCTGTAGCCAGAAACGAAGCTTGTAGTAGCGTTCCTTCACAAAAACGGTGAGGATCCCAAGGGTTCCTTGCAACCAGGGCAGGGGCGAACAGGACGTGAGGGCCGTGAGGCTGAAGGGCCGCCTGCTGGTCGGAGCTGGAGGCGGGAGGAGCCGATCTTTGGGAAAGTGAAGTCAGTGAATTGTTGGCAATGAATCAAAGCCATTCGAACAGAGGTGTGGTATTGGGATTCCTTCCTCGTTGCTGAGTGTTACCATCTGATGGATAGTGTTAGGTAAGACGCTGTTTTTCTAAAAATGCATTTTTTTTGCTGCACAGCTCAGAAAAATAATCTTTCTTATAAAGGAATTGGACAATAAACATCTTCAAAAGAATGTAACTGCAGTTTAAGTAAAGGCCTGAATTTTGGAGCTCTTTTTTTCCCAGTGCAGCCCTGGTGATTAAGGCCAAGCACTTTTTTTTTTTTCTTTTTCTTTTTTGAATGGAATTGAAGGCTCAAATTCCCAAATGTACTTTGTGAGGCTCCTGACTGATCAACACCTTAAAAAACAAACAAAAAAAACCAGCCAGCAGAAGCAATAGAATAAACACAGACCCTAATGAACTTTAGTCAGTGGTGACAACAGAGAGACCAGAAATGGTAAATATAATCACTGAAATACAACCTTAAAGACTTTCATCCAGAAACTGCAATTATGTGAAACAATAAACCTTACAGAAGAGGGTAAGCGTATTTTTGTTTGTTTGAGGAAGGATGGAGGAAGCAAAGAGGTAAGAATAAGGGGGTTCCAAATGCCTGTACAAACAATATTACAGAACTTTTAGGGGAACATAACCAGTTCTGCATGCCATAGTCTATATGCAAATGGTACTTAATATGTCTTCTCATCACATAACTGCAAGGTACTCACGTGTATAGTAACATAAATGTTATTAGAGCTGTAACTGTTTATAATGTGAGTTTTGATGGAGTGCTTGAATGTTGAAATCTTCCAAATTTGTTGGCAGATTCTGTTTTCAATAATAAAGTCTATTGGTTATATTAATTTTTCTCTTTTAACGTGATTTAATAGGAACATTTGTTTTTCCTCAGGGTTGTTACGTGCGTTCTTAATAAAACCAGGTTAATTGAATCAAAGCCCAGGCCCTGTGTGTGCTACTGCTCAGCTGAGAGCACGGGGCAGCAGAGAATACAAACAAGGAAAAGGATCCCTTCTTGCTCAGTGGTGTGACCCCACCTGAGCGTTCAGCTGCTCTTGATCAGCATCTGATCAAGATGCACGGCGATCTTTCCATCTGGTTTGTAAAGCTGGCCTTAATAATGGTACTGGTAATAATGTAATTATTACATGGTAACTGGTAATAATGATATGTTTCCATCTTTCAATCCTTTGGTGTTGAACCTATATATTCTTACAGCCTTATTTCCATATGACTTCGTATTATCCCAGCTTTCCTTTCCTCTGAATAATGGACAGCCGGTATTACGTTCTGTGTTAACTGTACAACTTGGAACGCTCTTAAGGTTTGGCTGCACAGCAGAGGCAGAACGGAGTTGGACGGTGACATCGCTGCCCGGCGATACGCGCGGGGCGGGCGGGGCAGAACGGAGCAGGGCAGAGGCGGCTTCCCAACCGAAGCCCGGCGGATGGAGCCGGCAACGGAACGAGCGGCGCGGCTCCTCCCCCGCCACACCCGGCACTGCAGGAAGAGGAACAGCCGTGCCCAGCTCCCGGCCGGCCCCGGACCAGCGCAGCGCTATGGCGGCGGAGGAGGTGGACGGGTTGGGCATGTCCCGGCCGCACTACGGCTGTGAGTACGGGGGCTCGGGCTCGGCTCCGGGAATCGGCGGCGCCACCGCCAGGAGACATCCTGACCGGCGACGCCCAGCCCGGCCTGCGCGGTCCGTCCCTTCCCGGGACCGCTGCTGGGCGCCAAGGCTCCGGGGGGGAGCGGGGAGCCTCGTTCCCTACGGCGGCGCGGCGAGGCGAGCCTCCCGCGGGGCGGGTGCCGTGGGTCGCGCGAACGCGCCCGAGCTCGGCGGGCGGTAGGTGGAGAAGAGCGCCGGGAGAAGGCGGCGGGCGGGCGGCGTGGGGCCGTGGCTGGCCTCCCGCCTAAAGATCGCTCGCGCGTGCTGTGGGCGCGCTGCGCGCCTCGCCCAACATGTCCGCCACGGGGAGGGGAGCGCGGCGGGGCGGGGGCTGCGCTGGCGGAGCGATCTCGGCAGGAGGAGGGCGCGGCGGGACGCTGCCGTGGCGGGCCGTTCTGGCCGCCTCCCTGCTGTTTCGGCGGCGGTCCCTCGCCTACCATCCGAATCGATCGGAGGCGTTCAGGCGGAACGCCTTCGTCTCCTCGAAAATGCGCTCGCTTTGGAGAGGGAGGCTTCGATTCGACGTTTCTGTGGCGTACGGTCGCTTGTGCAAGGCAGCACGTCAAAAATGAGCAAAGATGGAGCGGGCGCTGTGCGGCGGATGGGAGATGGCGAAAGCGGCGGTCGGGGCGCGGCCGCAGGTGGGTGTGCGGGAGGGCGGGGCGGCAGCGCTGCTCCTCGCTCGGGGGCGTTACCGCGTGGCGGCAGGCCGTTGTCGGCTCTTGTAACGTTGGGAAAGGCTGAAGTAATGGGAAAAATGCGTGTGGGGACCTCAGACGGGTTTCTGAAACGTCCTGGCCGTTCTTACCAAGGCTTTGCTTGATCGCAAACGCTGTGGTTGATATCTCAGTATTTCAGGCGTGAGCTAACCTTTGACTAACAACGGTACAAGGTGTTTCCTATTTGTCACGTTCATCCATAAAGCCTTAAAAAAAGAAAGTGGCTTTTTCAACATGAGAGCATGGAGGAGGCACTTAGCAGTAAGTGGGAAGAGTGTTTGAACACACAAAAATCGGAAAGATTTAGGCGCATAACTGTAGGATTTTGATCCAAAGATGATATGCAGGTTGTGGATCTAAATTATTATCCTCCAGGTGATGGCTGAGAGGAGCATTTCTGTCATTCTAGGGATGAAATATAACAGTATAGAAGAAATTACATGGTGTGAAAATATGCAGCTGTCCTTTAATCTTTGACTGCCAAAATCAGTAGGTAGCTGGAGAGATATGTGTCACTGATGTGCTTCTGAGAAAGAGAAAGGCAAAGCTAGAAGGAAGTAAGAAAATAATGGATGGTTTCAGAGAAATTGGCAGATGAGGAAAAGCTGAATCAAAGTCAAATTGAGAAATCGGGGAAGATGGCAAACTTACGCAATAAGGGTGGAAGGATAAGGAAACCGTGTCTCTTGTTATTTGCAAAGAACATGTGTATTTGTTTCTTCATTTTTCTGAAACAAATTATGCCTGGGATGAGTTCCTGTGAGGAAGGTTGGATATGATTTTTGATGTTGTATGGGAACTGCTGAGTCACACCCTGAACCACTGATTGAGCACTTGGGGTCAGCCCTGGGAGCACAGGTGAAGGCAATTCAGTTGTGGGACAGGAAGGGATGCAGCCTGGCTGCACCTCTCTTAGACCTCATTTAAGGGCTGACTGCCACTGGGGAAGGATGTCTGGTTGGAGATCCCTCCCTGGTGAAGCTTTCCCCTGTGAACCTGAAATCTTCTGATATGGGTGAGCAACCTTCTTCCCTTCCTTCATGGCACCTTTCTATTGTGCCAGTCCTTCCATCATCACACCTTTGTTGTAATGCCTTTCTCATTGTATTGATCTGTCCAGTTGCTACAGATGTTCAGTCTTCTTCTATCTGACAGTATTTATTTGACTATTTGCAGCTGTCTTGGATAATGAAAGGTTAACAGCAGAGGAAATGGATGAAAGACGACGCCAGAACGTAGCCTATGAATACCTTTGTCACCTGGAGGAAGCAAAGAGGTAAGAATAAGGGGGTTTCAAATGCCTGGAACTTCTAAAGTCATGATATTTTGTAAAGGGAATAATTTGGATGCAGATTACCTCCTGTGTGTTTCTGAGTTCCTGGATAGATTCATTGTAAAAAAAAAAAAAAAACCAAAAAAAAACCCAAAAAACAAAAGAACCCCTCAAAAACTAAACTCTGTGATCCTCCAGACTTTTTCTGCCTAAGAAAGTAAAAAAAAAAAAAAAATCTATGCCTAGTAGAAATTCCTGTTATGCTTATCTAACAAGCTCTTAAAGATTTTATTTATTTATTTAATTATTGGTGATGACTTCACTGCTGTAGTGCTTCGGTATTCTCAGCGCTAAAAGGTTCCTACTATTACCTAACTTGTATTTGCCTTGGTGTAATATTACCTTACTACCTGCTTATGGACATGAAGAACAGATTATTCTCTCTCGCATATCTGCAGCCTTTTACACATTTTTATTTGTAACCTGATTTTTCTTCTCTTATTCTCTTAAACTGGAAACCCAGTACTTCCATGTTTCTTTTTGGGTCCTGTTTAATAGATCTGTGGTCCTTTTTCCCTGGATTGTTCTGACTTCTCTCAACTCCGTGTCATTTTGGAAGTGCAGTGCCAGAACAGAGAGAAGCTTTCAAACTGGGGCATTGATGTTCACACTTCTAAGAGCTTAAGGTTGCGTTGTGTACTCTGACAGAAGTGCTGGCATCATACGTTACAACATGGTATCTACATTTTTGTAATGATGTCAAGTGGTAAAGTTGTGCTGAGTTGCCATCTTTTTACTTGAAATTGGGTCCCTGTTCTATGTTTATGGAATGTATTCTGTTTTCATAAGCATGTTAAGTACTGCCAGATTTTTTGTTTTCTGACCTTTGATTAATATGTTGAAATAATTTTGACCTTCTACTGCAAAGGAGGACGTGGGGTTTCGGGTGGATTAAGGGCTTGACGTTAACCAGCAGTGTGTGCTTGCAGCCTGAAAGGCCAATTGTATTCTCAACTGCATTGAGAGGGATGACAGCAGGGTGAGGGAGAAGATTGTCCCCCTCTACTGTGCCCTCATGAGACCCCATCTGGAGTACTGCTTCTAGGCCTGGGGTTCTCAGCACATGAAAGGCATGGAGCTATTGGAGCAGATCCAGAGGAGCACCATGAGGATGATCAGAGAGCTGGAACACCTCTCCTGTGAAGAAAGACTGAGGGAGCTGGGCTTGCTTGTCTTGGCGAGGGCTCTAGGGAGGGGAGACCTCATCATGGCTTTCCAGTACTTGAAGGGAACTTAGTAAGTTGGAGGGAGAGAGACTTTTAACATGGCCTAATAACGATAGGACATGGGGAAATGGCTTTAAACTTCTTTAAATTCAAAAGGGGAAATTCAGGTTAGGTATTAGAGATGAGCTCTTTGGTCAGAGGATATTGAGGTTCTGGCATAGGCTGCCCAGAGAGTTTGTGATTGCCCCATGTTCAAGACCAGGTTGAATGGGGCCCTGGGCAGCCTGATTAAGCGGATGGCAATCCTGCCCGTGGCAGGAGTTTGGAACTGTGGGGGTTTTAAGGTCCTTCCAACACTAACTGTTAAGAGGAACTATAATAGCACCATTAAATGAAACAGAAGGAAATAAGATATGGTAAAGTCTGTTGTTATGAGGAAAGTCAAAGCTTTGTTATTGAAAGTCAGACCACAGAAGTGTGTGTTCCTTTTCTGCTTTTGTAGTAAGGTCGGGTAAAATATATAGGCCAGGAGTGTAGACTTGATGACAGAATTGTAAGAGGTCAGCTAGAGGAGCTTGAATCAGCTGTAGAGTCTTGAAATAACTTCATGGGATCAGATGGGCTTCATTCTAGGGTGCTGAAGGAGCTGGCGGGGGTGATTGCCGAGCCACTCGCTGCCATCTACCGGCACTCCTGGTTATCCTGAGAGGTCGCAGAGGGCTGGAGGCTTGCTGATGCGACTCCTATCAACAAGAGGAGTTGTAAGGAGGATCTGGGGAACTGCAGGCCTATCAGCCTGACTTTGGTACCAGGGAAAGTTATGGAGCAAATCATCTTAGGTGAGATCATGTGGCATGTGCATGGTATTCAGGGGATCAGGCCCAGCCAGCACAGGTTTGTGAAAGGCGGGTCATGCTTAACCAACCTCATCTCCTTCTATGACTGGATGACCAGCCTGATAGATGAGGGTAAGGCTGTTGATGTAGTTTATCTAGACTTCAGCAGCGCCTTTGACACGGTCTCTCACAGTATTCTTCTGGGGAAACTGGCTGCCCGTGACCTGGACAGGTATACTCTTCTTTGGGTAAGGAACTGGCTGGAGGGCTGTGCCCAGCGTGTAGTGGTTAATGGAACTAAGTCCAGCTGGCGACCTGTTATGAGTGGTGTCCCCCAAGGGTCGGTAGTGGGGCACATCTTGTTTAATATCTTTATTGATGACCTAGATGAAGGGATTGAGTGTACCCTCAGTAAGTTTGCAGATGACACCAAGCTGGGATGTGGTGTTGATCTGCCTGAGAGTGGGGAGGCCCTTCAGAAGGATCTAGATAAGCTGGATTGCTGGGCTGAGGTGAATGGGATGATGATTAACAAGGCCAAGTGCTGGGTCCTGCGTTTTGGCCGCAACAACCCCATGCAGCGCTACAGGCTTGGGGCTGAGTGGTTGGATGACTGTGAAGAGGAAAGGGACCTGGAGATGTTGGTTGATGCTCGGCTGAACATGAGCTGACAGCGTGGCCAGGTGGGCCGATGGCATCCTGGCCTGCATTAGAAATAGTGTGGCAGCAGGAGCAGGGAGGTGATCATCCCTCTGTACTCAGCACTGGTGAGGCTGCATCTCAAGTACTGTGTTCAGTTTTGGGCCCCTTACTACAAAAAAGATACTGAAACCCTGGAGCGTGCCCAGAGAAAGGCAGCGAAGCTGGTCTGGAGGGGTCTGGAGCACGAGTCTTATGAGGAGCAGCTGAGGGAGCTGGGGTCGTGTAGTCTGGAGAAGAGGAGGCTTGGGGAGACCTCACTGCACTCTACAACTTCCTGAAGGGAGGTTGTGGTGAGGGGGGGCTTGTCCTCTTCTTTCAGGCAACAAACAGGACCTGAGGAAATGGCCGTAAGTTGTACCAGAGGAGGTTTAGATTAGACATAAGGAAGAACTTTTTCCCTCAGAGAGTGGTCAGGCACTGGAATGGCTGCCCAGGGAGGTGGTGGAGTCGCCGTCCCTGGCAGTGTTCAAGGGGCATCTGGATGAGGAGCTGTGAGATACGATTTAGTGCTTACAGTAGCAATGATGATGGGAGAACGGTTAGACTAGATGATCTCACAGATCATTTCCAACCTATGATTCTATGAACTACCAAAGCTTTTATGAAAGTTGAATAAAAAGATACTTGTTAGATGAGCCTATACTTGAGAAGAAAATTTAAGTGAGTTACAAAGACAGGTTGGCTGCTTTATGTAGACCAGCAGCAGCTAAATTGTGGGCTGGAGGAAGAATGTGATGGGGAGATGGTATCTTAACTTCTGAAGCACTGACTGCTGGGCTCTGTACTTAACATTTTTTTTGCTGAAGCATTACTATTATCTTAGTGACATAGATTGTCTGATAGTACTGTACTGATGTTCAGCCTCTAATGCTAAATAAATACTATGCTGGAGAGTGATGTAGCAGTAGCAGCATGGAACTTACTTAGCATGGAGTTATGTTCACAAATTGGAATTGTACTTTGTTCTTCTTGCACTTATAGGTGGATGGAGGCCTGTCTGAATGAGGAGCTTCCTCCCACAACAGAACTGGAAGAAGGATTGAGAAATGGTGTCTACTTGGCCAAACTTGGAAACTTTTTCTCCCCCAAAGTGGTTTCTGTGAAGAAAATCTATGATAGGGAGCAGACTAGATATAAGGTGAGAGCTGCTGGCTGTAGGTATTGGGTTTGGTAGACCTCAAATAGGAAAATGTGCAGACAGAGGTGTGGACTGAATAAACAGAAAGTTCTTTTATATTATTATTTACTGAAAAGCCAGTCCAGAGGAGGGCCACGAAGATGATCAAAGGGCTGCAGCACCTCCTATGTGAGGACAGGCTATGAGAACAGGGGCTCTTTAGCCTGGAGGAGAGAAGGCTCTGGGAGACCTTACAGCAGCATTGCAGTACCTGAAAGGGGCCTAGAAGAAAGCTGGGGAGGAACTTTTTGTAAGGTCACACAACAACAGGATGAGGGGCAATGGCTTTAACTGGAAGAGGGTAGGTTTAGGTTAGGTATCAACAGGTTGTCCAGTGAGGCTGTGGGTGCCCCCTCCCTGGAAGCATTCTAGGCCAGGCTGGATGGGGCTGTGAGCAACCTGGTCTGAAGGGAGGTGTCCCTGCCTATAGCAGGGGAGTTGGAACTAGATGATCTTAAAGGTCCCATCCTACTCAAACCGCTCTGATTCTATGAGAAACATCTCCTTTGCTTGAGAATATTGGGTAAGTGAGGGCTGTGGACTCTTAGCTTTATGTCTGAGCTTACAGCTGTGAAAGAACTTGTGGTGTTATAAATAAGCATTGTAATTGTATAGATATATAGAAGAGTTCTGACACCTTTTTTTCTTTGGGTGTACTTTTTTTTTTCACTGTATTGTCAGCTGTGATATTTTGCTTGTCCTCTTATTTCTGCCTATTTTTATTTCAGGCAACTGGTCTGCACTTCCGACACACTGATAATGTAATTCAGTGGCTAAATGCCATGGCTGAGATTGGCCTTCCTAAGGTAATTTCTGTGTTGTATATGCAGACTGGTATGTAATCTCAAAAATAACTTTACATTCTGTGAGAGCGTTTCTTGTTGCAATAAAATCAGCAGAGTTCATATAACTTTTTCATTCTTTATATTTGTATTTGTATAGAATTTCTATCTAAGAACTTGATGAAATCTTCCATCCTGCTGTGAGTGAGAATGATTGTAATAGTTACTTCTTCTATCCCATATTACAAATCTTGCATACTGTCTACAGTGTGTTGTTTGTACTCCGCATTCTATTGCGCAGTATCTGAGCTGCAGTTAGATTTGTTCAGATTAACTTGAAAGCTTCATTGGCAAATTTGAAATAGGTTTCAGGTATGGCTTAAATATAAATTATTGGCTACACTATGGGAATGGCCCAGTATCTCAGAGGAGTTTAATAAACACGGTTGCCTGAAAATACATGGACCTTGGTAGTGTTGTGTGGGCACATGAAGGAAGGGGAATGTGCTTTCGTGCACGTGGAACTTGGGCAGGAAAAAAGGAGCTTTGATTTGGATGGAAGATTAAAAAAAAAAAGTGTGACTTTAAGCAGGAGAGATGTGCTAGGGTCGGAGAAGCGTGAGAAGTTTTGTTTTTGTAGATTGTTTCATTAGTGTACTGCAGAAGATTTGGTCTTAGCACAGTTAGGACATCTGATTATGTAGTGGGTGTATCATTCAGACTGCTAATTTTCTTTTATCTTCAGATATTCTACCCAGAAACTACAGACATCTATGATCGCAAGAACATGCCGCGTTGTATCTATTGCATTCATGCACTCAGGTAAGGCATGTGAGGCACAAATCTCCAGTTCCTTCTGAAATTTGCCTGGAAAGCTGAAAGGTGAGGGAAAGAAGGCTGGGCTGAAGGGTGAACGGGGACTAGCAGAACTGCTGTAGATCTTCGCTCCAATCTGTAAATAGAATGGCTTAGGTTTGAAGAGACCTTAAAGATCATCTAGTTCCAATCCTGCCATGGGCAGGTTGCCCCCCCCTGTGTCAGACTGCCCAGGGCCCCGTCTGACTTGGCCTTGAATGCCTCCAGGGATGGGCCATCCACAATGTTTTCCAGGCAACCTTTTCCAGCATCTTGCCACCCTATGATAAAGAATTTCTTCCTACTATCTCGTATTTGTCTTTAATGTCACAGAATGATAGAATCTTTTGAGTTAGGAGGAACCCTTAAAGTCCTACTAGTCCAACTCCCCTGCAATGAACAGGGATGTCTACAGCTAGATTGAGTTGCTCTGAGCCTGGTGTGAACATCTCCAAGGACAGGGCTTTTAGCATCTCTCAAGGCAACCTGTTCCGGTGCCTCAGCACCCTTACTGTAAAAAGAAAAAAAACAAGTCCCACCAAACTTTTTCCTTATATTTCACCTAAGTCTACTTTCTTTAAGTTTGAAATCATTTCCCCTTCTCCTATCACAACAGCTCCTGCTAAAGAGTCTAGCCCTTTCCTTCTTACAGCCTCCCTAGATACTGAAATTTAAATGCAGGAAATTTAGATATTGCATGTTGAGGTAACATAGAAATGTGAAATTGTCTGCTGTTTATTTTCCATGCAGTTAAAACCGAGTTCCATCTGAGACACAGGTTTTTTGTTTTTTTTTTTTTAGTAATTTATTTTTAATGATCAGATATTTTACTAGAGGGTACGGGACCATGAGTGCTGAGCCAGTTTGACAGACAAGCAGAGAACTTGCTTCTCTTTCCCCAGTCCCATTTGTCTTAGCTTTATATCAGTTCCATTTCTCGCCAAGCTTCTTTGTTAATCAGATTAATTCACTAAATTTACGGGGGGGGGGGGAAATGACCAAGTGAATGTGCTTACATCATATTAGTAAGTCACATCACCTTATTAAGACTATTTTGACACAGCACTGACGAGGTTACACCTGAAGTACTGTGTCCAGTTCAGGACTCCTCAGTGCAAGAGAGACATGGAGCTGACAATAAGAGTCCATTGGGGCTGCTGAAGTGATTCAAGGTCTGAAGCATCTTTTGTATAAAGAAAGGCTGGAGAGCTGGGGCAGTTTGGCTTGGAGAAGAGAAGGCCTGCAGGGGCAAGAAGGATCCAATCTAATCAATATATATTAATATTTGAAGGCATTGTGTAAAGACTGAGCCAGGCTCTATTTGGTGGTTTCTAAGGACAAGGCAGGAGGTAATAATAGGTGTAAACTGAGACACAGGAGGCTCCATCAGAACACACTGTATTTCCTGTGAGGGTAACTGGTGGGATAGGTTGTCTGGTGAGGCTAGGGATGCTTTCCTTTGTAACTGTTCAAAAGCTGTCTGGACATTGTCCTGGGCAGCTGGCTGAAGGTGATGTTGCTTGAGTAGTGAGGTTGGATGAGAAGACTTCCAGAGGTCCCTTTCATCTTCGTTCTATGAAGATTTCAGGGTGGTGAGCAAGTAAAGGAGCAAGCTGAGGAGGGAAGGAGATAGGAGGATCAACTTGTACCTGATTGGTAGTTGTGAGCTGTTATATGGGTTGGTATTCTTGAATGGTTCCTTTGATCTTTTTATCTCTTAAATGATGATATCTTACAATTAACCATGAGGAAAAATTACTTGTTCTCATTGCTTATTTTCTTTTGTAGCCTGTACCTGTTCAAATTGGGTCTTGCCCCCCAAATTCAGGATTTATATGGGAAGGTGGACTTCACAGGTAAAAATAAAAAAATAAAGTTTGTACCAGTATGCACTGCCTTTATTTCAGCTGTAGGAGATATTGTCTAGGTCAATGAAAGGATTGTTAATGTAGGTTTCCTAAATGCAAATTAAATTAGATACTAATGGTTGTAAAGAGTTCCAGAAGTTAAAGCGGAAGGTTTGCTTTGGGTGCTTATTAGCCAGGTTGTTAATTAGTCATTGGCTCGCATTGGTTCGCTACCATTATTTTCACAAATAACAGCCCCTTAGTTCTTCACTCCTGTTAAAAGATGATTTGATGTCACCTTTATCCCCTTGGGAGAGGTTTCACTTCAGTACTTGGTAAGCAGTTCTGGTCTCCTTTAAGAGTTTAAAGTTGAGCTGCGCGTGCCCACAGAGATACCTCCTCAAGGTTTCAGTTGCTTGATTGTTGCAGAAGTGCCTGATTTGTGTGTTTTGTGTTGGTGTGATTACTATCTGAGGACATACATAATTTAAAAACTTTGTTTTCCTGCACAGCATTCACTGATTTCACCTATGTAAGGCTAAACTTAAAGTGCACTGCTTTTGGGTTATTTGGCGTTTATCAGCAGCACGTCTCCATATTCTCCATCCCTTTTTCTGCAGGAGAAAAAAACCAAACATTGTTTGTGCATTTTCCTGTTCGCCACCATCTTTGAAGCACCTCAGAGTAATGGAGTGTATTTCTAGATTTTTGAGTTACGTGATGATTTCTCATGGGAAAGAATGCAGAATACTTCTGTATGAGTTTCTGGGATAAATACAAATTCTAGGAAGGTGTGCAAAATGACAGCAGTTCCTGTTTATTTTGCTTACTTTTACAGAGTTATACTCAAAGTATAAATGAAACAATGATTTGTTATTTACTGTAGTTATTCCAGCCTTTCCTGTAGCCACAGCTAATACTGCAGAGCTGGTTCCTAGTGTACTTTAGATTGTGCAACACTTTTTTTTTGATATGTTTCAGAGGAAGAAATCAGTAATATGAGACTTGAACTGGAGAAGTATGGCATTCAGATGCCTGCCTTCAGCAAGATTGGAGGAATTCTAGCAAATGAGCTCTCTGTGGATGAAGCAGCATGTAGGTTTCATTTTTATGTGATTATTCAGACCAAAATATTGTATACTAAATGTCTGTTTTTATGCCCGTTGCTATAAGAAAATACAGGCCTTCTGGAAGATGAAAGAGGGTTGATATGCACCCGCCCCACTGATTTGGTTAGCTGATGTATACTACTAGGAAGTAGGCCACCATTTTTTGTCAGGAGCACTGAACCCTGCTGGTTTTGCTTTCTACTAGAAACTTCCAGATAATTTTTCACTTTTCAGTCAAGTTCTCAGTGTTTAACAAGACTGTTATGTTTGTGAGTAACTAACAGGCTTCTTTTTCAGTACACGCTGCTGTCATTGCCATTAATGAGGCAATTGACCACCAGGTTCCAGCTGACACTCTTGTGGCAATGAAGAACCCTAATGCCATGCTAATCAATCTTGATGATCACTTGGAATCTACTTACCAAGACACTCTCTACAGAGCGAAAAAAGACAAGATGGAGAATGCTAAAAACAGGGTAAGTAAATCTTTTTAAACAAACTGTTTGTATTGCAATTTTATGTTGTAGTTTTAAACAATAGGGGAATGCTGAGTGAGTGTGTTGCAGTTCTGTGAGAGTACTATTAGGGGGATTTATTCCTGCTGATATTCTGATATTGGCCCCAGTAATCTGTTTTCCTATTGTAGAAGACAGGCAGCAATAGTTGCGTTACTCTGTTCAGCTCTCTGAATTATGGGTTGCATATGTACATGCAGCATTCATATCATCCTTCATACGTCAGGAATTTTCAGGCAATATTGATATATTTTTACAACAATGAAATGGTCAGAATAACCAACTGATCCTCAGAAAGGTTCCAGGTAATTTTAGAACACTGCATAACAAATATTTGATATATACTGTTGGCCTTCCATGTTCCGGAGCTCTATTGTATGTTTATATAAAGCCTGTAAACTGGATTAAGGTGTTTCTGTACTGTTCAAATTGGAGTTTATGTAGTTTTAGGACTTTTTGCATATGTAGGTGTATAGTCAACGAATATTAAGATGTTATAATTATGAAATAAACAAGAGAGTTAAGCAAAGCAGGTTATAATAACAAAAAGAGAATAGATAGGACCCGTATCCTGGGCTCACTTATGAAACTCCAGCAGAGTGGATCTTCAGAAGAGATCCTTCCCCACTGATAATCAGCTCTTAAATGGGTTTAGGAGAGGTGCAGCCAGGCTCCACCCCTTTCTGCAGCACAGGTGAATTGCCTTCACTGTGCTCCCATGGCTGACTCATTGCTCGCCTCAGGTGATCAATCAGAGATTCAGGCTGTGACTCAGCAGTTCCCATACAGTAGGTCACAGATAGGTGAACTCCCTCTCTCAGAACTCTGTATAGGTGGTGATGGTCACCGAATTTTTTTAGGGGATGATCATAAATTGTCGTTGTCAAGATGGAGGAGACTGATTCATTTTTATTTTATCTTCAGATTTCCTCAGAAAACTTGGAGAGAGAGAGAGATGTATATGAAGAACTTCTGACTCAAGCTGAGATTCAGGGAAACATCAATAAAGTGAACAGTAGGTATCATGTTAAAATAATAGTTCTGATTAAAAGCATAGTTAAAAATTATACCTGTGGTCCTCCTTGCTTTCGGTATCAAGCAGAAAGCTTCTGGAGTGCTAACATAAATTGAAGGCAGCTCTTCTGTTGTGTTTTTTGTTTGTTTGAACATGTTACCCATATGTATGTAGTTGTAAGCTGTATTTATTTTGACTTCTGCTGCCCTTCCTTAAGAAAATGGGTTGTCTGTGTTGCTGCTGCAGCTTCATTGCCATCCTCCTATCCCACTGAGTAACACATGTTATGTCCATCCTTCAGCCTCTCGTCGAAGTACTGCTTTGCAATTGGCTTTGGAAGTCTTCCATTCAGATTACATGCCTAATTTGACACCCATCAGATCTCAGACTGTTTCTGAGCAGTAGGTTATATAGGTGATGGGACTTATTCATTTAATGTTTCTCTGAAAATTCTGTTTCACTATTGCTAGCGTGTGCAGCCATATCCAAGATTGACCTAGCTTTGGAACAAGGAGATGCATTAGCTCTGTATGAAGCTTTGGCAACACCAGCCCTGGGACTCCGAGGATTGCTACGAGAAAATTGTGATTGGTATTTCAAGCAGTTTTTGAGTGATAGACAGCAGAAACAGGAGGTATGCAAAAGCCTGGATCGCTGTGATTGATGACTTAGATTTTTATTTATTTCCCTTTCACCATCTCATTGTCCTTCGTATGCTAATTGCTTGCAGTATACGTGCATACCAGTTTAGTGTTGCTTTGGAAAAACTTTATAGACATAAGCATACATTAAACATTGTTTAGTTTTCATCTCTGCATACGAAAGGTCAGTATAATGCTTATACATATAGGTAGGTATATGTAATTAAAATACTTTGACCAAACTTTAAATTATGTATAGAACTATACAATATAGGCACATATTTCCTCTTATTTTACTATTTTCAGTGCTCAGACAATGTGGATATTTGTGTGTTAAGTATCTGTTGGATAAGCACTGTACTACTTTCACTGTGGAAAATCCTGATCATAATCAAGGTTGACATTAGCTTTTCATTTCAGGCCAACTCTTTGGTGGATTTTAGATGCGTGTTGCTTATGTATGCTACTTAAAATATTCATGTAGTAGATTTAAAAAACAGTATTGACTCGATTATTACAATGTCATACGCATTAATGGGGGAAAATAGGGTGCTATGAACGTGGTTACTTCTATTATATCTCTTCAGTGAATTATTTTTTGAAAAGGTACACCCAAGCAGAGGCGTAAGGTACTGTGTGCCTTCAGACCCAAGAAAAATGTGGACAAATTAGTTGTACAGTTTCAGCAAACTAGATCTTGGGCACTGTGGTGGATGCATATGTACGTTATGGGTATAAAATACTGTGACTTGATTGCATTACTGTGACTAAGCGCCTTAAGGAAAGGCTGTTTCCTTCCGTTTGTTTATTCCTTTTGCTGAGCTATTTGCACTGAATGAACTGATGTTGTTTCACTCTCCCTGATTTTTTATTTATTTATTTATTTTCCCCTCAGGCTGGCATTGCAGGTCTTCTACAGAAGGAGGATTTACAGTTGGGAGTGGATGCTGCTAACAGAGCAGCACAACAATATCAGCAAAGTAAGGAGTGGCAAAAACGATAGTGACAAAGTATCTGTGGGATGTGATCAGAAGGTTAAGAAGGCATTTGCGTTCACATGAGGTTATACCAGGGCTACCTCAGACTATTATGGATGTTTTTTAAGTAGTTTGAGGCTATTGAAATGTGAAAAATAATCATGACAGCTGGCTCTGGTGTCTTCTATCGAGCTCTTTGCTTGAGACAACAGCAAATCAGATGAAATGCTGAGCAATATGGAACTTCTGTCCACCTTAAATAATTCTTTTCCTAGGCAGTTTGTGTTAGATTTTGTTCTGTGGACCTGTGAAGGAAGTCTGGATTGCTCCATGAGGTGTTAAAACTAGCTTACCTGTTGACTACTGCCATAAGTCGTACTTGATTTGAGCTATGGAACTTTTAGCTGTTTTTTTTTTTTTTATGGCTGTTTCTAGGTATCAGATAGCAAATAAAATGTAAATCAGTGGCTGGATTTTTTTAATCAGTTGCTTCTGATACCACGCAAAACTCTCTTCTGGAGAAAGTTCCAGAAGCTTTCAGTGTTTAATTCTGGCTGTACAGTAGCAATTAGTTCAATTTATAACACATAAAAAGAAAGCTAATAGGGATCTGGTTACGGGCGGTTTGAATTACAAGTGGGAGATTGTGCAGGTCTAGTAACAATGAGGTTACCTTCAAAGTACCTTACTGGTTCCCCGTATTACTTGATGTTTATTTACCTATTTTTGCTATGTTTAAGTGAAAATGCTGTAGGGTGTAGAGAACACTGTAGAATGTAATAGATACTGGAAGGAAAAGTTGTTATGAATTACCTATGAAAAACATTGGCAGTTGTGAGGCTGCTTACTGGCAGAAGTTGGTGAGACAGTCCTCTGATAATCAGACAAAAGGTAAAGTGGTTTAAAAGTGGGTCTTACTTTAAAGAGGGCATTATGTAGTCTGGTTGTTTACAGTAATGCAAGACTAGTTGGGTAAATAACTGATTGGAAAACCTGTAAGGGAATTACTCTTTTTTTTTTTTTTTTTTAGTTTAGGGATCTTATTATTGAATATGGTAAAAGTACTTGCATTACTGGGAGCCCAGCTGTCTGCCTTCCTTGTTCTCATGCTGCCTCCTTGACGTGCTGCCTCTTCAAACTTTTAGGGCTGGCAGCAGTGACCAGAATTAATGCTGCAATTAGAATGGGTGATGCTGAGAAGACTGTGGCAGAAATGATGAATCCAGAGGCCCAGCTACCAGAGGTTTATGCATTTGCTGCCGATCTTTATCAAAAGGAGCTGGCCACCTTGCAGCAGCAAAGCCATGATGTAAGTAATACATTCTTATTTCTGTAAATTGATATGGATCACCAAATCTACCTTGTCTGTTTCACTAAATGTGCCTGTCTTCAGTGTTCGTAGAACTGCATTGATGCTTAGTCTGTTCTGATGTGATGCTCAATCTTTAAGTCTTGAGCTGCTTGGCACTGTAAGATTCTATTTTAATCTCTTGTTGTTCTAGCAATAGTTTGTGAAGAGCAAGTGTAATTGATCTGTGTTCCCCTTTGTATGCAGGGTAACCTCACTCATGCAGAATTATCTGTTGCTGTAGAGATGCTCTCTTCTGTGGCTGTGATTAATAGGGCTTTAGATTCGGGGGATGTGAGTACAGTATGGAGACAACTGAGCAATCCTGTCACAGGGCTGACAAACGTTGAGGATGAGAACTCTCAGAGGTGAGTGTTTTGAAGGTTAATCTTTGATATTGGGTCTGTCTTTGATATTGCTTACATTCATGAGAGTTTGTGTTTTTTTTGTTTTTTTCCCCCTTACACTTCAGGTTCTTTCACTGCTTACTACAATATTAATTTATTCTCTCTTGGTTCTGGCATCTTGTCTTTGCATTTACCATTTCTTACTAATCTGATTTAAGTACTGTCAGTCAGACCCTTAGCAAGGTTTCACAACAAAGCTATGTTCTGGTACTACTAGGTTCTCAATTGCACTAGGCCAGCTCATCCACTGTGTTTTTTTTTTGTCTGAAACTGTCATTTGGTGTTTTAGTGCTTTTCTTGATTGTTTTGCACTGGAGCTGACCACCTTGCTCACAGTCTTTTGGTTTTTTTTATTCCCTCTTTCGTATATGTCAGTTTTAACCCTTGTGTTACTTCTTCCATTTTGTGTCTAGTTCTCATTGCTGTCTTGTGTGTTCCCTGGCCAGTTTTTTATGACATGATACTTGCTGGTTTTGATTTTTGTTCTTTGACAGATATATTGATGATCTGATGAAGCTGAAAGCTCAAATGCATGCAGAAGAAAACGAATTTATCACGTGGAATGATATCCAGTCATGTGTGGATCGTGTGAACTTAGCTGTGCATGAAGAACATGAAAGTAAGTTTTGCTTGATTAATACTAGGCTGATCCTAGATCATAAGGTGTGCTAAAACTAAGTGCGTGCCAATAAAAAATCTTGTTGATTGATTCATATAGACTGAGATAGTTGCCTTTTGCCACTGCTTCTTGTGTAGCTGAGTTCACCTGAGAAGGCTATAGTGTAGTGGGGGTTAAATTTTAATGTCAGAGCCTGAAATCTTGAATAACTTGCTTCCTGGATCTCCAAATAGACATGGGCTTCCTGTTTGGGTCACATGATTAGATGAATTGAAGCCACACGAGCGCACACAATGTGCATGTGTGCACCAAAGCACTAGTTTTGCAGCCTTTTATTTGTAAGGCATCACAGCAGAAGTCTGGAAGTTTGTGTAGTCCAGCTCCTTGTTTCTTGTAATACTCCCATAACCCATAAAAGAATAGAGACAACAGAAAACCCATACCAGCAACCATAAAATGCAGAAAATCTTATAATGATGTAAGTTGACATCTTATGATGATGTAGGAAACTTTTAAATTCTTTCACCTGCTAGTGTTTCATGGAGTCATAGAACGGCCTGGGTTGAAAAGGACCACAATGATTGTTTAGTTTCAACCCCTCAACTATGTGCAGGGTTGCCAACCAGCAGACCAGGCTGTCCAGAGCCACATCCAGCCTGGTCTTGAATGCCTCCAGGGATGGGGCATCCATAACTTTCTTGGGCAACCTGTTCCAGTGAAATATGTTCCAGTTTCTTGTGTGCCCTTATGCATGGATACTTTTTATCTAGTGTCTAAGGAAGTCCTCAAGCCATACCAACATGTACCCTTCTACTGTCCTGATATTTGGTTTCAAATTCAAAAATGCTTTCTAATGAGGAGCTGTAACATATTGTTGTTTCACAGAGTAGTCTTTTTCTGCCCCGTTGGCTAACAAATCAAGGTTTATCTTGATTTGCTTATCTTCTGTGCCGTTTCCTAAGTCAAGAGTTGCTGTATCTGTTTTTCTTCATTCTTCATGAGATCGAGTAGTGTCAACCTTAGGGTGTGTGTTTTTCTAAGAAAGGCTTTTCTTTTCCTACTTTCTCCCAGCACTTATGGGGAGAGAAGACGTATAACAGTGTACATATTGTATATGTACACACTGTAGGAGGAAGCAAGCAGTCTGTACCATAGTCTGCTAGGTGACGGAAAGTTGTCAGTTTAAGGACAAAAAAAAAGGAAGGCATTCTAAGGGCTAAGATAATACTGAGAGGGAAGTGCAAGTGATGCTGAGACAAAACATGTTATGGCCTAGACATCAGTGTGAAAAGATACTCTGAACTCACCTGGTTGCTTTCCTGTGCAACCTACTTTAGTGAGCCTGCTTATAGCGAGGGGTTTGGTCTACGTGATCTCCAGAGGTCACTTTTAACCCTTACGATTTTGTGATTCTGATTCTCTAAATGAACTGCGTAACAGTTCAAATTAAACAAATTTCATCTAGTTGTTGGTGATGTGGAAACTTAAGATGAAAAGTCTGGCGTGCTAGCAGTCATGGAAGCAAATAATGTTAGATCTTTTAATAGAAAGCCTACAATTAGGTATTTATGTGTGTTAGACTGTGAAATCACTAATAAAGTAGAATAGGGAACAGTAAGAACAAAAAAATCTAGCACTACTGAAGGAGGGAAGAGGAAGAATGGGCTGACATTTTAAGTGGATTTTATTAAGCAGCTCATTATTACTACTTGGACGTGTTTAAAATTCTTAATTTCAAGTTTTCTGTCAAAAAAATAGAGAAAAAGCATAAATTGGACAATACCTAGTTGTTGTTTCCTATCTTACTGTGTGTTTCGGTGTAAAAACAGTGGAGTTCTGCCTACAATCTATCTTACCGTGAGAGACAAATAAATGAGAGACAAAGAAATGTGTATTGGAAGCCACTCTGATTGCATACGTATGAGAACAGAAGTAGATATGTGGATATGTAAAATTTACACACAGCTTATTTTTACTAAACAGATAATTTACAGATTATGACTTCTGATGTAGAAGAATAAGGACAATTCAGAATGACATGAATTTCTTTCACTACATTCTTGAAAGCCAGGTTAAGAAAACAATCCAGTGGCCCAGTTTCACGGAAAAAGTGAAATTGTGTGCATTTAAAAAATAGAGTACAGGACAGAAAGAATTCTAATGGTAGTCTTAGTCCACTACCAGCTATAACTTTGAATAATATGTAAAAGGAAGGCTTTTTATGTGTCTTCATAATGTTCTTGAAGTATGCCTCTGTGGATTGATGTAGATAACAAATTCCATAGAATCACAGAACATCCCAAGTTGGAAGGGACCCACAAGGATCATAGCGTCCAAATCCTGGCTCCGCTCAGGACCACCTAAAAATCAGACCGTATGTCTGAGAGCATTGTCCAAGTGCTTCTTGAACTCTGGCAAGCTCATTGCTATGACCACTGCCCTGAGGGAAGCTGTTCCAGTGCCTAACCACTGGAAAAAGAAATCCAACTCAGATCTCCCCTGTCACATCTCCAAGCTGATCCCTTGGGTTCTGTTGTTGGTTGCCAGTGCCTGCCCCTCAGTGCCTGCCCCTCTTCATATGTCTTCCCCTCTAGACCCTACACTGTCTTTGTAGCCATCCTTTGGACACTTTTTAATACACTTTTTAATAGTTTTATGTCCTTTTCATACTGTGGTGACCCAAACTGTACACAGTACTCAAGATGAGGCCACAGCAATACAGTGTAGGGTAGGACAGTCCTCTTCTCTTGACCTGCTAGCAGTGCTGTGCTTGATGCACTCCAGAATACTGTGGTCCTCCTGGCTACCTGGGAGCACTGTTGACTCGTATTTGACTTATTGTCAACCAAGACCCTCAAATCTCTTTCATCATGGCTGCTCTCCAGCATCTCCTCCCTCAGTCTGTATGTATAGCCAGGGTTGTCCCTTCCCAGGTGCAGAATCTGGCACTTGCTTTTGCTAAATTTCTTGCAGTTGGTGATTGCTCAGCTCTCTAATTTCTCAGGATCTCTATGCAAGGCCTCTTCACCCTCAACAGATTCAGTAGCTCCTCCCAATTTAGTGTTGTCAGTAAAGTTGCTCATAACCTTCTAGTCCTACATCCAAGTCTTTATGAAAACATCAAATAAAATTGGCCCTAAAATAGAGCCCTGGGGAACCCCTGGAGTAACTGACTGCCAGACTGATGTGACCTTGTTTACTATAGCACTTTGGGCATGACACATCAGGCACTCATTCACCTACTGCATTATGTTTTTGTCTAGTCGTATGCTGGACATTTTGTCCAGGATTCTGTGAGTAACAGTGCTGTAAACTTCACTGAAATCCAAAAAGCCATCAACTGGTTTTTCTAGGTAAAATGCATAGGTGACCTTGTCATTAAAAAAAAGTATAGTTAGTTAAATGGTACCTTTAAATGGTGCTTTTTTACAGCAATCATACTGTCTTTTTAGCAATCCTGGTTCTTGTGGTGTCCTTAGTGTATATTTTTCCTTAATCTTTGCTCTATGCAAATAGCAGTTCCTACTATAAAACGTTCCACTTTGTGATTCTCCTACTGTGTGCAGAAGAAAAAGCTGCAGTCTTTGGGTATTTTAACTAAAGCTGTATCTACTCTGAGCTCTTTGCTTTCTTCTAAAAGATCTTTGTTCTAAACTATCAAACTGTGATTTGAATTGTTGCTTCTTTCAGCAAGGAGTTGAATCATATGATCTCTGGATGTCAATTCCAACCAAAATTACTTTGTGATTTGCTGTAGGTTCGGCATGTATGACTCAGGCTTTGTTCACATTTAGCTAACTATAAGCTATCTATTTATGTCTATTTTTATTTAGTTGAACTGTAGTCCTCGCTGTCCTCGATGCACCCCCATCTTTTGTAATACAGCTAATACTAAATGCATCCAATAAATCATGATATTTAAAATATGAAGGTAATGTATTTTTGAATGGCGTTCTGTGCAAATCTTTAGCTTTGTGTGAAGAGCTTTATTCTGAAGGAGCCAACATCTTGAAAACTTGTAACTTACTAACCCTGGCCATTGATTTGATAATTCTCTTCTAGTGGATTTGAGCTACATGTTGAAGAACTCAGTTCTGTCCATTCATGTGGTCCCCGAGGAATTTTTTTTTTCTTTTTGCTTTATTTATTACCATGTCCAGAAACGTGTGGCTTCTTTAAGGTGGAGAAGTAGTCTTGCTTTCTTTACTAGTAGAAAATGATTACTAATAGAAATGTTGCTATTCTCAGCTGGCATTTGGTTTAGTGCTAATAGTACTCTTCTTCCAAAGCACAGTTTTATGATTATGGTAAAAGATTGGATCTTTGTATTTCTTCTTCTATTCCTTTCTCTCTAGGGATTTTGGCAATTGGGCTTATCAATGAAGCACTGGATGAAGGAGACACCAAAAAAACTCTGCAAGCCTTACAGATTCCTGCAGCAAAACTGGAGGGTGTAACCCCAAAGGTAGCTCAGCATTATCAGGACACACTACTTCGGGCTAAGAGAGAGAAAGCACAGGTGGGTGTAGTTAAAAGCACCTCTCAAAAAGCCTTTGCATCTGTGTACTGAGGGCATTCCTGATCTTAAAAGCTGGGAAACAGATCTGGAAATGAAAGGGTGAACACTACATGCTGTCAGCTGATCTTACCTGGCCAGTTTGGATCCTTCTGTATGAAGGAAAGAGATATGCAGGTATAACACGTGAATCTTTGTGAACTACAGAGATGGGCTTAAAGATATTAACTGCTTGAGATGGATTGCTCTAGATAATCTTAGGTCCAGAATGGCATATGTACCTTCTTTTTGGAGATACAAGGAGATGTGGTAAGTTTCTTTTTTTTTTTTTTTTTTTTGGTAAGAAGACGGTGTTTATTCTAATAGTTCTGAATTTCCAAATGCAAGTCTCCTTCAGTCTCACATTTTTTTAGTGTTACTTGTTAAATGTATCTATAGGTGTAGGTACATAAAGCAAAAATAAAGTTTCAAAAATAGGAAAAAAAAAAAACTTAGGTGATGAATTTGTTCAGGAGGGGAAAATAGAAAACGTATGCTCTAGCAAAATATGTATGGATGCCTGTCACTCACTAGGTGACACTACAGATGCTTTGTATTTTTTGCATGGTTTTTGTCTGTTGTGGTAGCCAAGGTCTTCTACTGACTTGTATGGAGTTGCCACTTTGAGTAACTGATTTATATGTACAGGTGAAAATGGAGAGAGAGAGAGCGATCTCACCTTACTGGTTTAGGAAAAAAGATGAAACAAACACTGTGGGTGGTGTACGTTCTACTGATTTTTTTTTTTTTTAGTAGATGAGTGGGATGCTGTTTTATTTCCTTATACTTACAAAGAGTAGCAGGTATGCTTCCTTTCAGTTGCCTAAGAGTGCTCAATTTCTTTTTTTTTTTTTTTTTGTAATATCTTTTCAGTTGTGGAGCTCATTGTTCTAATTCCAGCACGGATTTTAGCATAGAGACTGAGATGATACTGTGTTCAACATTGGTGGTTTTTTGTATGTTTGTTTGCTTTGTGTTTTTTTTTTTTTGACTAAGTATAAACCTTCATGGTGGCAATGTCTGAAAACTGCACTGGTGATGCAAATAGCTAAGCAGCTTCTTCAGTGGCCCTGAAAGGGTTAATGTTCCTGAGGAACCCATTTTGTGCTGAAGCATTTCCTCCTACTGAGTCAGAATGAAATAACGAATTCTTCGTAGTGTGCATGTAAGCTTCTGCCAGGCTGGATTGGTAACTTCAGTTGATGTGAAATTACCTTATTTAGGCATATGTTCAATTCAGGGCTCCTCCCTGCAACATGGCAGTAGTTTCAGAAATCGTGGTACAGACTAGCACTGTGGGTAGAACAGTTGCTATCCTGAGTCAACTTGCTTACTAGCTGGTGACTTCTGTACCTTCGGACTCAGAGGGATCAGCACAAGGAGGGAAGCTGGTGTATGATGCGTATATCTCATGTGATGAGCAGTGAGAGAAGCGTTTATCCTGTAATGTGTTACACCGTATGTACCTTCTGGGAAGCCTGTGACAGTAAATGCACGGGAAAGATCAGACAGCTTTGATAGTCTTTGGATTGATGACTGCTGGTAGAGATGACAGTCCAAGAGTTTGTTCCTTTAAGTCTCCCACCTTACCCCAGACAGGAATTTCTACATTGCTGAAGAAGTCATGGCACTCCTTGGACATTCAGATAAAATTTGTTAAAGGGATGTAAGTTTCAAACCAAAGCAGTGGGTAATGTGGAGGGTATGTAAGGAAATGTTAATTTTGAGTCCTGCCCTAGGACTCTTAATACAGGAATATAGTGGCTCTTTGTGCAGGGTGATTATTAATCCATGTCAGAAGTAAATATTTCCTGTGTCCTGTTTGTACAGCAGGAGTTGTTAGAGGGATGGCAATTGCTTCTTAAGATTTCTTTCCATAGTTACCTCCAGGAAGCAACAGTGGGTGTGGAGGAGCTGTGCTTGGCAGCTGCTGGACCATTGTTCATTATGTGTATTTGGGGGCTTGCTAAGCATTTTTCTCTTAGAAAATTTCTGCATGTAACATTATTTAATTAGGTTTCTTCAGCCAAAAAATAAGATACCGCGTGATCAGTACTCCACAGCAAATGGTCTGTTAAAACAGAGACTTGAAACATGCTTTTACTGTTGTATATTCATATTTACCTCCAGTATATATAGTGCTTTTTGATTTGCTGGTACAGAAATCTGCAAACTTTTGTGGACAGGGACAAGAGCAGCCTGCTGTAGTGTTAGTTACCCATCAGTTTTTAGTTGCTGCTCATGTACATGCATTTCCACTTAATAAGTTTCCCTTAAGAACTCTTTTCAGCCTTGTACTGTGAAAGGACTTTTGTTAGTCTGTTTGTGTCCACCTAAGTGGAAAAAAGCTTTTCAGAAAAAGACCTAGGAGTGCTGGTAGGCAGGCACCAAAGTGAATGTGAGTCAGCAGTGTGCTTGTGCTGTCTGTAAGGCTTCAGTAGACTGGTGATCCTTCCACTTGGCATTGGTGAGGCTGCACCTGTACTGTGTCCAGTTCTGCCCTGCCCCCCCCAAACAGGAGGCATGAATGTACTGGAGGTAGGCCAGCGTAGGGCCACTGAGGTGCCTGAGGAACTGGAACACCTCTCCAGAGAGGAAAGCTGAGGGTGATGAGACTCTTCAGTCTAGAGATGAGAGGGCTTGGAGGGAATCTCTTCAGTGTATATGAAAACCTGGAAGTGAGGATGCAGTTGAGGATAAGAGGCATTGAGTACAAATTGGGGTTCAGGAGGTTCCATTTAGACATCAAGTAGCACTTTACAGTGGAGGTAATTGAGCAGTAGCAGAGGTTGACCAGAGAGGTACTGGAGTCTTTTCTTCGGAATTGTTCAAAAGCCATCTGGATATGGTCTGTCCTGGATAACGTGCTCTGGGTGTCCCTGCTTGAGCAAGGGGTTTGTACCAGATGAGCTCAGCGGTCCCTTTCAATCTTAAATTGTTCTGTGATTTTTTTTTTTGTGTTCCTTGGAAAGGCATATGCTATTTGCAAATATAGCTTTAGGACTAACCTAACCCACTAATCATGGTGTTGAGATGTCTTGATGTTTGTTTGAGTGATACCATTGATGAAATTTCTTGGTGGGAGTTCCTTTTCCTAAAAAGTGTTTTGGCCTGGTAATGCTGTAGTTGCTTCTGCTAGTAACAAATGCACGTTATGGCCTTGTGCTGAAATTGGCTAGAAAGATACTGAAATGCTTTGTATCCCTTGAAACTGCAATTGCTCAGAACTGGTGGTTTTATTTTGCACAACCAGTGACACTCTTTTCCTCATGCTGCGAATACTTTCCTCATCGTACTCTCTTCAGGACACTCAGGATGAAACAGCTGTGCTTTGGCTCGATGAAATTCAGGATGGGATTCAGAGGGCTAACAAGGACACTGAAGAGTCACAGAGATGTAAGTATTGTGGCAAATACTGTGATTCATTGCCGTTATCAACCAGATATTTGTTACCAAATGAAAGAATATGAGCAAGAAATGTAAACATGCAAAGGAAATTAAAATACAAATGTTTGCTTCAGGTAGGTGTAGATGTTTTTTTCTTTCAACAATGAATGTCACAGTCTTTAAATTTCAGTTTTTTATATCTTTCTGGAAAGATATGTCATTGTTTCAGTTGTGCTTGTGACTGTGTTACTTCATTGGCAGGGATACCTACTGAATCTCTGTCAAATTGTTTGACATTTGCGGATAATTATATCTGTCTGTGGTTGGGTAGTCAAGTGTGAAGATGTTCATGTGCACAGTTCTGGTACATCTTAGCTTTCATTTGTGTTGTACAGTTGTCTTAATTCTATGAAATATTTCTCAAACTATTTTTTTTTTTTTTGAACTAAGTGCAGACAAAAATACATATCAGTGCAGTTGGCAGGTGGACTATGCCAAAGAACATTTGGTCAAAAGCAGGATTAAAGTATGTTTCTTTGAGCCTGAATAAGATCTTCAGATGCCCTTACCTATCCATATGTGAACAGACACTTACTCGGTGCTGAAAATGACTGTTGTGAACAAATCTTGTGTTTATTGCGTCAGTGAGATTCCTGTGGTCGATTTTGTACTGTGTTTGCAGCAGAGTTCTGGAGTAGCCCTAGGTTAGCTCTTTCCTCATCTTTATCTTGTTGATAAACTGTTCTTTGTTCAGGTTGCTGTTCTTGCTAGGAATGGTGCAGTCACTGGAAAGGTGCTTTTTGAGTCAATTGTCCGCTGTGACAGGACTCTGCAAGAAGAAACTGCCTTAACTACAGGTGTTGTCAGAGTACAGCTGAATGAATGGATAAAATGTTGTAGAGAAATACTGTCGATAAATCAGCACTATAGTAGGACTAAGAGAGCAAAAATTTATGTGCTGTCAGACACTGTACCATATACAGATGCACACTCTGTACTAAAAAGATTGTTGTACACCAAGTTGTCTTTTTTTAATCAGTATTTTTATATATAAATACAGTGAAGTATTTGTGTACACTTGCACATTGCCTTGCTGTCTTAAGTTTGTTGTGAGTCACTGAGCTCCTGACTGCCCAGGTAACCTGCCTCCTTGTGTTGTTGAAGTTTCCTTAGGAATTCTGGCCATTAATGAAGCAGTAGATCACGGAGATACCAGCCATACCCTGAGTGCCTTGCGCTCACCAGATGTGGGGCTGTATGGAGTCACTCCAGAATGTGCAGAGACGTACCAACGAGAGTTGGCAGAAGTCAAAAGGAGAAAAATGGCAACAGGTGAACCCCAAATAGCTAACTGTTAGTGCAGTAAATTCAAGATTATTGCCCATAGAATGGAAACCAGAGAGGGAAAAAAGCCTGTGAGGAGAAGTCTTGCATTATGGATATCTTGTTAGAATCTCATGTTATAGGAAACTGAGGCTGCCTTGTAAACTGAAGTCTTTATTAAAGGAAGGAAAAAAAAAAAAGGTAGGGGGGAAATTAAAAAGTTAACAGTGAAATATTCTCCACTTGTAGAATATATAGGTATTATATAGGCTTAGGTAGTTCTTGTGGTAGTTCATTGGAGTCTCAGGCATTCCTTCTATTGCTTGGAGGAAGGAGCCTCTACATGCATTTCCTTCTTGTACTGTTTGTACGTGAGGAAGATACACGTGTGCTTTCACTGTACCACCATTTCTGATTTTAGGAGGCAATGGCAGTGAATGGGTGAAACACTGGGTGAGAGGAGGCTATCATTATTATCATAACCTGAGGACCAAAGAGGGAGGATGGGATGAACCGGCTGAATTTGTGCAAAATGACACACAGCTGTCACGGGAGGAGATACAGGTAAAGTACATTCTCTTTTTCTCTTTAAGTTGAAGTTGCCACTATTTCGGGCCTTATTGCAACTTTAAGAGGTAGTGTTTCACCACAGTAGTAATGTTAACAAGCTTTGTAGCTTTTTTCACTGTTCATTGTCTACCTTTGCACGTCAACACCTCTTTGTCCAATTGTGGAAAATGTGTACACCTTTATCATCAGAACAAGACTGTGGTGTTGCTGTTTACCAAAAAGTAACTTGTAAGTTTCTCTTGAGCATAATACAGAAGCTGCTGTGTAACATCTCATTTTTGCATCTCTGTTTTCTCTTCATGGCTCTTCTTCCTACCATAACGCTAATCTAGAGCACTATATCTGGAGTCACGGCAGCATACAACCGAGAGCAGTTGTGGCTGGCCAATGAGAACCTGATTGTGAAGCTTCAGGCTTGTTGTCGAGGCTATCTTGTTCGTCAGGAATTCAACTCCAGAATGAGTTTTTTGAAGAAACAAGTTCCAGCCATTACTTGCATCCAGGTATGAAATCCCCTTAATTCCGTTTGAAACTTGTACTTGTCAGTTGCTCTCTCTGTGCACGCTTATTGACTGGTTTTGTTCAACTCAAACAATTGCCATGCACAATTATCTTCTCTTCATTTTGCAAATTGTTGAAAGGCATTTCCTTCTCCCTGAGAATCACTATATATGAATTACTTCCCTTCGTGTTCCCATTTGTCCGTGGATTTGGAGAATTGAAGACGGAATTGTGAAGTGGATGGTGAATTTGGTTGTTCAGTTAAACATTTGTTCTCTAGCTGTGTTTCTGGAGGCCCACGCTCTTCATGGGGGGTGGTGGTAAGTCCCTCACAATGACAGCTGGTGGTGAAAGAAATAGTTAAAGCTTCACTGCATATCTCTTATTGCATATATCTTGTAAGATGAGCATGTCTCTGTTACATTTTATTCAGCCAAAGGGAAGTGGAAACTGAGCAGCAGAAAGAAGCGTAGAATAGTAATTACTGCTCTTCAGTTTGAAAAGTGCCCCTTTCTCTTATATGTGTTTTCAGTCCCAGTGGCGTGGCTATAAACAGAGGAAGGCATATCAAATCCGTTTGGATTACTTACGAGCACACAAGGACCAAGTAGTGAAGGTAGCAAAGGCTCTCTGATTTTTTCTTTTTTTCTTGGTTAACATTTTAGTAGCAATATTTGTGGAAAAGTCTTTTATCTGACCTGCTTTGGGATTCTTTCCATAGATTCAGTCAATGACCAGAATGTATCAAGCCAGAAGGCGTTACAGAGATCGCCTGCAATATTTCAGAGACCACGTAAGAGATTGTTAAATGAATTCAGTATCTGACATTTTTTTTTTTTTACTCTTCTCTTAACAAGTTGAAGTGGCTGGGTTTTCTTTTCAATTCTAGATAAATGATGTTATAAAAATTCAAGCTTTTATCCGAGCAAACAAAGCACGAGAAGACTACAAAACCCTCAGTAAGTATGGCCAAAAGAATAAAACTAATATGCTTTGAATCTCTATTTGCAAGAGAATACTGTTAGTGAGATCTGCAACATCAAGACAGTTATGAAGATCAGTTGGGATGAAGTGGTGCAAAGAGTAGGTAGGTAGTTAGATAGATAGGTGGCTGAAGGAAAAATTCCCTCTGGCCGAGGGAATGGAATGCACTGTCAGCAAGTTTGCTGATGACACAAAACTGGGAAGAGTGGCTGACACACCAAAAGGCTGTGCTACCTTCCAGTGAGACCTAGACAGGCTGGAGAGTTGGGTGGGGAGAAACTGAATGAAAAAGAACAAGGGCAGGTGTAGAGTCTTGCATCTGGGCAAGAGTAAGACCTGGGTACCCTGGGTGCCAGAATAGGTTGGGGACTGACCTGTTGGAGAGCACTGTAGGGGAAAGGGATCAGGGGGATCCTGGTGGACAGTAGGAGGACCATGAGCTAGCACTGTGTTCTTGTGGCCAAGAAGGCATCCTGGGGTGTATGAGAAGGAGTGGTTCCCCTCTACTCTGCCCTGATGAGTGGAGCATCTCCCTCATGAGGAAAGGCTGAGGAAGCTGGATCTCTTTAGCTTGGAGGAGACTGAGGGGTGACCTCATTAGTGTTTATAAATATGTGAAGGTCCTGAGTGTCAGGAGGATGAAGGCAAACTGTCCTCAGTGACATCCAATGATAGGACAAGGGGCAGCGTGTGCAAGTTGGAACATAGGAGGTTCCACATAAATAAGAGGAAAAACTTCTTCACTACAAGGGTAATAGAACGCTGGAATGGGCTGCCCAAAGAGGTTGTGGGATCTCCTTCTCTGGAGACATTCAGCATCTACCTGGACATGTTCCTGTGTGACCTAATTTAGGTGTTCCTGCTCCGGCAGGGGGATTGGACTAGATGATCTTTTGAGGTCCCTTCCAATTCCTGACACTCTGTAATTCTGTGAAAATGCTTTTCACGGTAGTACTTTTGTTGCTGAGAAATAGGAGCACAGATTTTGGGGTAAGTTCAGCAAGGTGGACTCCCCATAGCTGATACTTACTTTACTCTATAGCGTTGACTTCTGTCATAATTTATTCCATACAAGAAGTTCCAGATACTGTCAGAAGTTATTCAAGCACATTGGTGTTAATTTTATCCTGGGCTGGCTGCTGCTTGACATGCTATCTATACAGAGATAACACACGCATTAATTTGTGTTTCCTGTCCTCTAATGTCTTGTCACTTATTTTTAGTTAATGCTGAAAACCCACCTATGGCTGTGGTTCGGAAATTTGTTCACTTGCTCGATCAGAGTGACCAAGATTTTCAGGAGGAGCTTGAGCTAATGAAACTGCGTGAGGAAGTTGTAACCTTGATCCGATCTAATCAACAGCTTGAAAATGACCTCAATCTCATGGACATCAAGATTGGACTGCTAGTGAAAAACAAAATTACACTGCAGGTAGGAAATGTACTGCTGGGAGACCAACAGAGTGAATTGAGACCAATGGTAATTAGCACGAGGAGCTCCTGACCCTGGATCTCAGTTATTCAGATTCAGTGGAAAATATTTCACCCAGACTTAGAGGTTTTCCTCCCAGTAAGTTCTTAACTGTTCCACTTATTATTATGTATCCCTAGAAAGATGACTGCAGAAGAAACATCAAGACTTCAAGCGTTTTTAAAAACAACACCAGAAAAGAACCCACTCTGGACCAAGGGAAAGCAATAGATTGTATGCTTGAAGGCTTTGAGAACTGTTTGGCTGTTTACTTGTGGTTACATTAGTCACGAACTTGCACACCTTAATTTCTCACATTCTGCATGCTGTATCAGAGGGGAGGGGTGATTTTAGAGCAGGAAATGTACTCAGGCCGCTTGGTGTTTGTTGGCTGATGGAAGCCCCCTCTGTCACTTTGCTAACGATTGATTTCACAAAAGAACAACAACATTGCTAATACAGCAGTGCCTTTTTCTTTTTTCAAGCTGAAGTTCTGGTCACCTTTTCCTTTGGTCCTGAATAGCGTGGCGCTAGGCTTGACCTTGTATAAAACCTGAACCATGGCAGTAAAGTCAGTACCAAAGAAGGCTCCAACTCTTGTGCTGATGCTGGCAGCAAAAAGTATCATCGTTATCAGAGTATGTGGAGGCAGTGAGTCAGCAAAATAGAAAACAGGGGTTGGGGCTTCAAGCACAGAAAGAAAGGCATTTTCAGGCATCTTCAGGACGCTACCAGCTCTGATAGTAATCCCTACTCAAAGCAATTAGTCCTTCTAGGTCCTCAACAATCTCAGGAATTGGGGACAAAACAGAAATCACTGCTATAACAGATAATGTTTCACTTCGTTATCTCCTGATGAACCTTGACTGCCTTATCCACATATAAGAAAGCGGTAGCATGTGCAACTTCTTCCAATATTGCACGTTATTTAAATGTGGAATCGGTCCCTCTCTGTTCTATGCAGGATGTCGTTTCTCATAGCAAAAAGCTTACCAAGAAGAACAAGGAACAACTCTCTGACATGATGATGCTGAACAAGCAAAAGGGAGGTTTGAAAGCTTTGAGCAAAGAGAAGAGAGAAAAGCTGGAAGCCTATCAGCATCTTTTCTACTTACTTCAGGTATGCAGCTTTTCATTCACTCCTCTTGCCATAGATGCTTACATGTATTGGAACAGTCTGTACTTATGCACTGCAGTGTTGAGGCACTGTTGTTCTTTGTGGCATTGGCTTTTGTGGACACATGCACTAAGTAATATTTCTTCTTGTTTTAGACTAACCCAACATACTTGGCCAAGCTGATTTTTCAGATGCCTCAAAACAAATCCACAAAGTTCATGGATTCAGTCATCTTCACGCTGTATAACTATGCGTCCAATCAGAGAGAGGAATATCTGTTGTTGCGGCTTTTCCAAACAGCATTGCAGGAAGAGATCAAGTATGTTGTAGCATAGGACACAGCCTTGCTGTTGCCTCAGTTTGGACCGCTGCTAAAATTGAAGCTGTTCTCGTGTGATGTCCCGTGCTAATTTGGAGATAATGCTAAACTGTCTCTGCATTCTGCTGTTTCACGTTAGTCCTTTCTGTAACCTGAAATGGAAGAATTAACTTTGTTCTTTAGGGTTTAAGCCATTTTTCTTTAGCCCATGCTTTGTTGCTCAGAGAGGCACTATTTTTGATCTCATGCTGTGCTTTCCTAAAATTCAGTCCAATCTAAATTCTCTGCTGTCTAGTAACAAGGACTTCAAACAGACTGCAAGCTTGGGCTTTACAGGCCAGAGGTGGAGCTAACGCAGAGGGGACTGTATTTTCAAAAACTGATGAGGAGGCTGAAAATCAGATACTGTATAGTTTGACTTTTTTACTGGCTGTCAGACTTAAGGATTCTGGCTGTCTGTAGGCATTTTTTAGTTGATTGGCCCTTAGGAGTTTGGTATTTATGACTTTAGTTCTGGATGATACAGAGCTGCACAACTTGCTAAGAAGACCAAATACATATAATGTTGGAGGTGATCATGCATTTTTTGATGCTTTTAAGTATGAGGATGGTATGTGCCCTCAAACAGATAACATCTAAAATATTTGTTCACTTATTATTATTTTTTCTTGGAGTAGTAGTTCAGGAAAATGCATGTATATGCTTTATTCTCTGCTGCTGGATTTCCCATAGCTGTATACTATGAATGGCTTTTGTTGTTGATTGCTTACTTGCTTATTTTAAATACTGAAAGAAAATAGTTCTTCTGCCTATGTAGAACTCCCTTTGTTTCCTTTGTATTTTTGAGTTGTGTACTCTTGAACAGAACGTACAACTGGATCTACATTCACTGTTACAAGAGGTGTCTACAGGCAAATTGTGCTGGATTTCCAAGTGGAGGCCGTAATGCTCATTGCCTCCTGCATTCTCATGTAGTGCTGTATGTTACTGCTGTATTGAGATTTTATTACCAATCCATTATCTGTTCCCCAGGGGTGACACTGAGAAGCAACCTTGTGATTCTATGATTCTGTGTCTAATGGTGACTTAAGCATACCTCATACTTCATATTGATTCTTCCTTCAGATCAAAAGTAGACCAAATCCATGAAATTGTGACTGGGAATCCTACTGTCATTAAAATGGTTGTAAGTTTCAACCGTGGTGCCCGTGGTCAGAACGCACTGAGGCAGATCTTGGCACCAGTTGTGAAGGAAATAATTGACGACAAATCACTCAACATCAAAACTGATCCAGTGGATATTTACAAGTCCTGGGTTAACCAGATGGAATCTCAGACTGGTGAGGCCAGGTATGGAAGCTGTTACTACGTTTTTTTTCTGAAAGTTGCTCAGCTGCTTTGCATTGCTCTGTTAATCATTCCAGACCATCCTTGGATTCATTGCATGCCTCTGTCCAACTGATACCAGTTTTTTTCCATCCATTCGAGATGGCTTTCTTCTGAAAGGTATAAAGAATCATCTTGCGACAGGGGTGTTGAGACTATTAGAAGTGATTCTCATTAGGACATAGGCCAAAAAAAACATTTCTTCTGTATTAACTCATAGATATGGATAATTATTGATTTGTCTTCTAAGCTGGAAGATATCATGTGGAGAGAAAGTACCCAGGGATCAGATGTCAAACTTTGTTCAGTCTTTTTCCATTTTGTGTGTAGGTAGGACATAGGTTTTATTTGCAAGAGAACAAAACCTGGAGAATAAGCATAACATTGCAGTTTCTTTTGGTCCTAATATCTTCCTAACCTTAATACTTCAACCCTCTCTTTATTCCAGGTAATAAAGTCTTCCATTTTTTCTTCTAGAAAGGGCTTGTTTTTCCTGGTTTTCCTTTTATCACTGTTGTTAACTTACAGAAGCTTTTCTTATTGCCCTTAATATCGCTGTCCAGATTCAATTAGATCAGGGCTTTGCCTTTCCTAATGCTATCCCTGGCTTCTCAGACATTTTCTCTATGTTACTCCCGGGCTTGCTGTTCTTATGTCTGTAGTCTTTCTTGTTGTGTTTAAGTCTGCAGGCCGCCTAGCATTTTTGCCTGACCTCCACTTTGTTGGTATGCATTGCTACTGCGTTTGTAGGAGATGGTCCTTGAATATCAACTAGTGTTCTGGGGCCCTTATTCCTTCCAAGGCTTTATCCTGCATTACTCTACTCTACTCTACCAAGCAAATCTCTGAAGGAGTTGCACTGGAACAGGTTGCCCAAGGAGGTTGTGGATGCCCCGTCCCTGGAGGCATTCGAGGCCAGGCTGGATGTGGCTCTGGACAGCCTGGTCTGCTGGTTGGTGAACCTGCACATAGCAGGGGGTTGGTACTGGATGAGCATTGTGCTCCTTCTCAACACAGGCCATGCTATGATTCTGTGAACATGCAGCTATTCCTGTCTGCCCATTAGAAGGTTTCATCCACTTGGTCATCCTGGTTGGTTGGCCTGTAGATCCCCTGCTATATCATCTGTCCCTGTCCTCCCTTTAATCTGCATCTATAAACTCTTGATTGGCTCCCCATCTGTCCCCAGTCAGAGTTCTGTGTGCTTCATCCTGTGTTTCTTCCAGTGCTTGATGTTCGCCAGATTTTGAGGATTCCGTTGTTGGTTGTTTTTGTTTTGTTTTTAACATACTTCAAAGGAAGTGGGGGAAAAAAAATCAATGAAGTAAAAGATAACTCTCTTGATGCAGCACACTGCATGAGTTACTATCTTAACATTGAAATGTGCAGCTTATGTTTTCACTGATTTATTTGCGATCTGAGGTACTACTACATATCACAGATGACGCTACTTTACTCTAGAGAGCGTGTCTGCATGTGGTACAAAAAGATACAGTTTTGAGTTAGTTGGGCCATTTTTCTCAGTGACTGTTGCAGATGCAGCAGAGGACGCGAGAAGTCCTTCACTCTTTCAGTGCTAGAATTCTAATTAAAGTTAACGTGCAGCTCTTTGCAGCCAGGTGAACGTGGGCTTGTTTCTGTGTCAAGCTAAAAGTTCTGCCTGGCACTGATAAAGTATGTTAGGATAAGGAGTACTCACCTTCACATTTGACTTTTTCAAATAGCAAATTGCCATACGATGTTACACCTGAACAAGCTCTTAATCATGATGAGGTGAGGACACGCCTGGATGCCTCAATCAGAAATATGAAGACAGTGACAGACAAGTTCTTGACTGCTATCATTGGTTCAGTTGACAAAATCCCGTAAGTTTGGTGTGTCACTGCGTTATCCTGTAGAAGTTAACAGTGGTTCATCCTTGACAAAGTCTCACTTGTCTTTTATTTCCTTCGAAGTTATGGAATGCGTTTCATCGCCAAGGTACTGAAAGACTCCCTGCATGACAAGTTTCCTGATGCTGGCGAGGATGAGCTTCTGAAGGTAAGGAGCTGAATAGCTCTGTGAATAATCGTCAGCCATGTTGACTGTAGCAAATGCATCTCAGTATTCTTTCTTTGGTGTACGTGTGCAGAGAAGTTTAAGTAGACTTAGGTTATTTGTTGTTATGGGTATAAAGTACTTTGCATTGTGCTTTGGATTGCTAGGTAGTTATGTCAAATGAGATACAGTACAGCGTTCAGAAGAAGTCACCCTGTTGCTTTTCCTTTTGCTTTTAATATCTTGGGCATCGTGCCCTCTAGGTTTCTTGACTTTGGGATACTCTTGCTGCTGAATAGCATACCTTGGTTTTGCTGGTATTTTCTGAGTCAGTTGCTCTTTTCTTAAAGAGACAATGCCAAGTTAAAAGGTCTGTGTGCAAAACTCTAATATTCTCACTTCCCTTAAAATATTCTAGGGTATTACAGTAACTGCAACAGAGTATATAGTGTCATTTTTCACGTGCAGGCAGTTTTGTATTGTACATTTCAGTACATTTGGAGAACTAAAAGGATTTTAGTAGTAAATGCTTCCAAATGAGCCTAGCATTGTGGCTTTCATTGAAATTGTCCTGGCTTTTTGTTATTTTAAAGTTCTTTGACTGCGAGTGCTCTTCTTATTAATAAAACAAAGATTGGATTTTGCAATACTTGACACAGTCTCTTTAAGCTTTTCTGTCTCTGCTTCATTACAAAATAATTACCAATCTGAATGCTGTTTTCTTCTCTCTTCTAGTTCTGTGCTTTCCCATTCTGAGGCATCGATTCTTTCTGTGCAGGTGAATTCATTTTTCCCATCTGTAAATTTAGGTGGAAAGCTGCAGTTTTTATTAATCTTCGTGGAAACAATGTCATGGTCCATGCCAAACTCAGAACTGCAGCTGTGTGCAGTGACTGCCTGTAGATTTATTAGGGCCTAAAACTACTCGTATGATGTACTGTTCTTGTCTTCCTACTACAAGTTTTAATATTATTAATATGATTTCTCTCACAAATGTATTTCTTATGACTGGTAGTGAACAGTTTTGACTGTTGTGATCATGTGACGGAATCTGGGATAGTACAGCAAGAGCTGGCATGAAACAGTTGTCAAAACCATGACCTCTCTGAAATTTCTGGGACAACCTAGCAATGGCTGAGCTCTTTCTTTCTGTTTTCACCATTTCTTCACACCTCTGATGTCTTCTGTGCATTCAAATCACATGTGAAGCAGGAGAAGCCAAGATTCTGTGACTTGGCTCTCCATAAATTGATGTGAAACACCAGAAGATACTGAAGTATGTGATGTGGGAACTTTTGCTGTATGTCAGCGTGCTGGGCAAATTCCTTTTTATTGTGGGAATTACTGCAGGCAAAATATCAAATACAGGTTAGAAGTATATGTATGAGCGCATGGATAACGTGACGTCTTTATCTTTGGTGCCTCAGAGTTCATTGCTGCTCACTTAGCTAGGTAAATTGGACTTTTTTGAAATGTCAAATACCACTCATCTTCTGTACTTCTGAGTTTCTTACTTCTGGATTAAATGTTTGAGTTGCTCTCAGTTGTTTTTAATTGGGGATCTGTAGCTAAAAATGTTGCTGGTTTATCAAAGAGGTATTCTGAAAGAGAGAAAAGGGCTTTGGAAAAGGGGGAAAGTAGCTGCTGTTTTCTCAACTTAGCTCTTGATTTACCATGCTTCACCATTTTTGCTTTGTTGGAGATGGTGGTCAATTCTGCACGCTTGTTAAGAATTAGCTCATATCTCTTAATGAGACTGCAATACCAGGTTTCTCTGTACTGTAGTTGTTCTGCCTTCTGTTAGACTAAATTATGTTTAATTCTCGTAGTAATTTTTACGTTTGTATGAGTAATTCTTTGGTAACTTTTAAAAATATATAGACAAGTAATACTAAAAGTTAGATTTGAAAATCTTTGTGCATAGGAATATCTGCAGTTGTGTTGTTCTGGAACTAGTTGTGCTCAGTCTTACCGCTTTTGTGTTGACAGGTTGTGTATTTATTTAGTGTATTTACATATATTTAGTTTAACACTGTAGATTCTTTGGGATAGCATGTGCTTGCATATGGCAGCACAGTAGATCCTGCGTAGACCCACAGTTAACAAGAAAGTAATTTGTCAGAACTCAGTTTCAGTAAAACTCAGTGGAAGTCTGTACCATTGCTTTTTCATGTGTTTTTTTCTCTCATCAACTTTTCCTAGATTGTTGGCAACTTACTCTATTATCGCTACATGAATCCAGCCATTGTTGCACCGGATGCATTTGACATAATTGATCTTTCAGCTGGAGGGCAGCTGACCACAGATCAACGAAGAAACCTTGGTTCTATTGCAAAGATGCTGCAGCATGCTGCATCCAATAAGATGTTCATGGGAGACAATGCACATCTAAGCATCATTAATGAATACTTGTCACAGTCATACCAGAAATTCAGGTAGAAGACTTCAGCTGATTATGTTGAGGAGTTTGGCAGAGGATACTGTTGCAAACAAAAAGGAATGATGAATTTTAAATACAATAAATTCCATCTCTGTGAAATAGGAAGTCTGTTGAAAATGAGAGATTGCACTTCAGGCTTCCATAAGCATTGATAATAATGACGTATAAAATGTGTACCTGGAACTTATGAAGTATATATAGTATATTAATGAGCTGGTCAAAACACTTGGCTTTGCCATGCAAGCCTCCAGAGTAAAGGTTGTTTTTCTATGTGTTTATTATAATATTCTGGCCATTGAAAACTAGAGTGGGCATATGTTCTTTCTTATATGAACCCTAGTTCTCTATATGCAAAGTACATGGCACTTTGGATTAAAACAGACTGGAATTTAGTTGTTTGTATGATAAGATGACTCTTGAACAAAGAGCTTATTTATATCTTTCATCTTTTGGAAGAAAAAAAACTGGAAATGGCTGGGAGTGAGGATTATTATTGCAGCTAAGACAGAAGGATGGGTGCACAAGGTCATTCAGTCCATAGACCTGTCCTGCAGATGCTTACAATGAGCTGATGCTGACATGGCCAGTAATAATAACTGAATCTTCTAGATTGCTTTTGATGTGATAAGCTATAGCTTGTCCAGTTGTAGTATGCTTGGGAACCATAGTTTAAAGAAGAATAACTTCTGGTATGCTGATTAACTTTCTCCTTTTTCTTTCCTTTTTTTTTTTTTTTTTTTAAGACGCTTTTTTCAGGTTGCTTGTGAGGTTCCTGAATTGCAGGATAAATTCAATATTGATGAATATTCTGACTTGGTGACTCTCACTAAGCCAGTTATTTATATTTCTATTGGTGAAATCATCAATACACACACTGTAAGTATACATCAGTCACAGTTGCTCCTTCTTAAGTAGTTCTTACACAGAAAATGCTGCTTCTGTTGAAACCTAAAGTAGCCAGATCTAAAAGTGATAGATTTCATTCGACTGCAGAGTGCAAGAGCTTGTAAGTTTTTAGAATTTGGTAAGTTGCTAGTGTTTTAAGCTTATTTTGGAAGTGTCTGAGTATATGCTAATGGTACAACTTTCAGCCGTGATATTGCAGCTTTAGAGTTCAGTGAAGTTAAGATTTTTTTTTTTTTCTAAAAGATACCAGCATAAAGGAATATAATTTCAATGTGAACAAAAGGATTTATGAATAACAACACAACTTATTCTTCTGTTCATTTAGCTGCTCTTAGACCATCAAGATGCAATTGCGCCTGAGCATAATGATCCAATTCATGAATTGCTGGATGATCTTGGAGAAGTTCCTTCAATTGAGTCCTTAATAGGTGATCTGTTTTACTTCAGAATTATGTAGTATTACCTTAGATGATTTGAAGTATAGTGAAGAAACTATCAAAGGAATAATCAATGGCCATTTGGAAGTTGGTGCTCTAAAAAAGCAGCGTATTTGTTCCAGTTTATTCTTCTGACCTTAGAACTTGTTATCCTGTGGAAAAAAAATATGCCTGGCTTCTTTTCTTGTCTCCAAACACCTTATGTCACACCACTTCTGTTTCTAGAAGATGAACAGAGATTTTGAAATGTATTCTTTGTTTCCTTGTGTTGGAGCCGTTTCTTTGTGCATCCTAGCATATTTGCAAAGGTCTATCCACTGTCTCGAGATCTGTGTTCCTTAAGAGTTTAGTAGTAAGTATATTAAGTGGCACACGTCACACAGGAGCAGTGCAATTTTTGACATATGGAACTTTTTTCCCTCCTTTTGGGTGTACCCATTAGTGAATATCTGATAAAGGACCAATAGGGGCAGGAAAAAAAATATCTTTTTGAGTTGGAGGGAGGAAGGATCTAACTTCACTGTTACTAATCCATGGAAGTTTTCTAGGAACGGAATCTTAAGTCAAAGTTTAGTGCTTCACCATATACAAAATGAAAAAGTTGCACAAGTCTGCCTCTCTTCGGTTTCTGTATTACTGCTGTTGCAAGCATGAAATCTAGTCTGCAGGTCTTGGGGGATGGATGGATGGATGGACGCAGCTTTCAAGTGAATGCTTTGACATCAAAATAGTTACCTTGGTGTTGCTCCTTAAGAAAAGTAAGAACTTTTTAAAGGAATGATTGCTGTCGTGTTTTCTGAGTGCACACAGAGAGCAAAGTGTTATGTGAGAGAGCCTAGCAACTGTTCTGATGAGAATTCAGCTACAGTTGGAACAGGAAAAAATCCTTTTGACAGGATGGCTTTGTTAGAAGAATTACAAGGTTGGTCACTAAGAGGCAATTTTTAGATTGGAAAATTCATTCTATTGAAAACATGGACAGAAAGGCACACTGATACTTTAGTTTATCAGATATTATTGGCAGGCCAGCTTTTCTTTTTGAGAGAAAGATGTTGAGTGACGGTGTGGAATAGACATAAACATGTGGTGCTGTCTGGTGTGTGAATAGTCTCAATTTTGTAGGAAAAAAAAAAGTCTGGTATGTTCAAGATGTTTTTAAAAGCTCTCACTGGCATATGACAAATTTGACTATAAATGGTGTAGTTTTTCTGTGTTCTGTTACATAAGGAAAAAAAATACAGAGCTGTAGCAATCAAGAATGTAAAGAACATGAGGTAATCTGTAAAATCTTTTTCCACTTGACAGGCGAAGGGTCTGGCAACATTAATGACCCGAACAGGGAGATGCTAGCAAAGACAGAGGTTTCTCTCACACTCACTAATAAGTTTGATGTTCCTGGTGATGAAAATGCAGAGATGGATGCTAGGACAATTCTGCTGAAGTAAGTGAGAGATAAACTACCTGGTTGTATTTGTTAAGAGAAGAGGGAGAGTAGAACCTGGATTTTCACGCTGTTCTGTTTTTGAAAGTAGGAGAACTGACGTTTAAATACTGTGACTCAATACATAGAGTCACATTGAGTCATACTGGTACTGTGACTCAAAATACATTGAGGTTGTAGCCATTTCTTTTAAATGCTGTAGCTGTTAAATTTGTGCTTGCTAGTTTTTTGTCAATGAAGAATTTGTGACTCTTTAAAAGTGTATCTGTGATGATTCTGGAGGAGAAAAATTACCAGAAAAGAAAATACTGTCAGTGTGAGCAAGTCTGACGGCAGCAGTTAAATTTATTTTCATGTGGGATGATTTGTTAGGATTATTGTAAATAACCCGTAGCATTCATCACAATTTAGTTTTAACTCTGAAATCTATTGATGTAAAATTAAGACGTAGTCCTATTTGTGATGCCTAAACAGTGCCCAGTGCAAATACTTTGAATAGAATACATGTAACATGGGGAAATTCCATGAGTAACTGTGTCTAGCATACGTGATGCTGTACTGCTAAAAATTGCTAGCTCTTAGAGAGCCAACTGATTTATTTACTCTATGAGCAGAATGTGTCTGCTTCCCTAACAGGGATACAGGAGACAATGATGGTAATTTATGATACTCTTCCTGTAGCTTTTTCCCTGCTGTGGGAAATACCTCCTGGTTCCCACCTTTCCTTGGTTTACGATGCATTTCTGTTCCCTCTGCACTCTATGTCCCCCAAGCTTGACTGAGATAAATAGCTTTTTGGGTAATAATGTTAACCTGATGTAAAGAGTGCAAGGGACAGTCGGTGATTTTGTTGTTGTTAGACTCTTTTTGTCTGGGAGAGCTTGGTACTAATACTGACTTTTGGCCACTTCTAAGCAAGTCCCTCTTGCTGGGGTGCAGAGAGAGCAGCTACCTGATGTTGTTACGTATTCACATGCTCTGATGCACTCTTGCTCTGATGTCAGGTGGCTTAGCTGAGAGATCACGAGGTCAGCTTACACTTGTCCTAGATGGAGCAATGATCTCTCAGAAGAAAATGGTATATCTAAAAATATTTTTACACTGAGTTGCTTGAAATATATGCTAGTATTGCCCTACCCTCCAGAAGAAGGTGACACTGATTTCAAAAGCATTTACCAGATGTACCTGAAATCACCTAAGATGTGGATGGTGAGGAGGGTGTCGATGCAATTTGTTACGCCAGAAATAATTCTAGCTTGATTGAAAAGTATTGAAGGCACACTTTAGTGTTGTCATCTGGCTCAGGGGCCCAGTTGCCTCAGACTGAACACTGGCTATGTAATTGAGCCACAGATCTTGATTCTGAATGACCCTATTTGTCACTGGATTGGAAGCAGATACCTACTTTGGCTAAGTTAGTGTACATGTAAGAAAGTGGCCCACTTCATTTGTTTATTTTTTAACACCTGTTAAAAAGCATTAAAGTGTACTTTGAATGGATAACATTAGACTTTTTCTGGCTGTGTGAAATTGCTGTTGCTGCTAACTGCTTTGTCTTTTACCTCAGAATTTGAGGCGTCCAGGTGGTAGTACTGAGACAGCCTTAATATATATGGGGGTGAAGTTCTAACTTTTTTAGAAGGTGTTAGGGAGCAATGCTGTGTACTGTATAGATGCGTCTTTTAGGGAATCAGTTTCTGATAAAAGGGTGTTAAAAAAGTGAATTAGTTCTTGGAGCTCTGGTCTCAATTAAAATCAGAAACACTGCTATTATTGCAGAATAGCAATATTGAAGGTCTCTTGGCTTAAATTTTTACCTCCTATTCTACATGGTTTTTCTGCAGCACAAAACGTTTAATTGTTGATGTAATCCGCTTCCAACCTGGGGAGACGCTGACTGAAATCTTGGACACTTCAGCTACTTCAGAGCAAGTATGAAGAATTTTTTTCTGTGTTCTTTTTAGATTGAGAATTTGTTTTTTATCTAGATGCGTGTGCGTATACTTGGGAATCTGCATTATATAGCATAGTGAAGCTGTCTCCACTGGTTTTGGAGCTGCACGTAGCACAAAGGATGAGGGGATATAATGGAAATAGAGTGCATGTGAATCTAGCTCTTTGATAGCTATTAGAAAATGCTTATTTAGAAGACTGTTTTAAACAGTAGGTGGGTGTCTGCCAGTTCCTGTACATAGTATGTTTTCATCCAGTGTATTCGTAAGTCAGTTCTGGAATGACTGAGCAAAATTCTCTGTCTGGTTATGCTGGAGGTCAGATGATCTTCTAGTTCTTTATCACCTTAAAAATAACCAGTTTATGAACTTGTAATTTTCTTATTGTCTTTTTCTAGGAAGCAGAGCATCAAAGAGCTATGCAGAAACGGGCCATTCGTGATGCTAAAACTCCTGATAAGATGAAAAAATCTGTGTCTGTAAAGGAAGATGGCAACTTAAATCTTCAGGGTAAAAAAGAGAAAATCAAGACAGGCCTGAAGAAGCTGACAGAACTAGGCATAGTCAATGCAAAAAATAAATACCAGGAACTAATCAATGATATTGCAAAGGTATGCCAGTTAGTGGTTTTCTACTAGTTACAGAGGAGTTTTTCTTTTTTTATGGCCTGCAATGTTGTGAAACTGGTGTGAGTTTTCAGGAGTAAGTTTTGCAGTAGTTAGATATCTGAAATATATAATTTGCTTCTACATCTTTGCGTTTGGAAAGTCTCTTATTTTTATGTGATTTCACAAATAATTCTGTTGCCAGAATCTTGGGCACCTTAAGTATTAGACATTGGAGGAAATCCCTGATGTGTGATCTCTTCTCCTAGTGCTTTTACTGGTGTAAATAGTGCCTTTACAAACTCACTTCCGCATGGAAGTTTTGTCCGTAACTTTAAGAAAAATCAAGTTCAAGAATAACTGAAATGCTTTATGGAGGACCTAAGAAAAACTTATGCAAGTGATATAATACCACTGCATATTGAAATGCATTATCAGCATAGCATATCATACATTTGCCAAAGTAATACATGGGAAAAGATTGTGTATGAAGTGAATGAATTACCACTTTCAGAAGTGAGATTAAGACTGATCATTTGGTCATTAATAAATATCGAAAATGAAAATGACTTGAACATACTGTATTTTGTGTTCAGTTATTAATATAGCATGTTTAAAAATGGCTGACTAGTGAAGACAGACTGTCACATTTATGCATTTTTGTGGTTATAGCTCTTGATTTTTAATGTACTCCTGCTACCCAGTGAAAGCAAAAATTGCTGTCTTCCTTAAATCACATGCTCTAGTCACTGCAATTATGACAGCACTGAAGATTGGGAAAGCAGCAGAATGTTTAAATGAACTGCTGTTGGAGTTGGTTAGGTCCAAAAACAGTCAACACAAAGAAATGATGACGCTTAAACTGGGGCAAGCGTGACTGAGGAATCTTAATACAGTTGGTGCCTGAAGCAAGGCTAATCAGAATTGAACAGTGCTTCTCAGTGTGTCTCTGTACTCTGGGCTTGAGCCGCCAGAGATCTTCAATAACCAGGAGGTCTCTGCGTCTTTTACTCTGTGCTGTAGGATATCCGAAATCAGCGTAGATACCGTCAGAGAAGAAAGGCAGAGCTGGTGAAGCTGCAGCAGACGTACAGTGCCTTGAACTCCAAGGCTACCTTTTATGGGGAACAAGTTGATTACTACAAAAGCTACATCAAAACCTGCTTGGATAACCTGGCTAGCAAGGGCAAGTAAGTATCTCTGAACTGTGCTGCAACTGTATAAATAAATGCTTGTTTCAGGAAAAAAAAAATGTGTAGGTCATTGCTAAGAAAAAATTGTAATATCATCTGCACAAAGCTAAGGGAGAGAGGCCCCTGAATGGGGTCAGAGAGACATAGTGGAAGGAATTTTGGTCCTTTTGAGAGAGAGGAATGTAGAAAGACCAGAGATAATGGTTGGGTTGCTCAGGTAATTTACACCTGCTTGGTTAGTCCCTCTCATAATTTTTTCTTGAAGCAAAGAATTAAAGAATCCTTTTTACTTACAATGGCAGCGCTAATCATGGTTTGTCCTCTCTTTGTCCCGGAAGGAGTTTGTACAGTGGAAGACAGTTCAGGTTTTCCTATAAGAAAAGCAATGTGTTCCCACCCTGAGTTTGTTTCTTTTCTTTACTTTGGCAGGCAGCACAGCTTAGTCCTCAGCCTTAGAAAATTTTTCAACATAACTGGGTTTGTTTTCCCTGTTTCTTTTTTAGTCTGAACGTAGTGTGGAAAATACCTTTCTGTTCTGGAGAAATTCCAGAGTTGGGTTTGTATGCATATGGCATGTTGTTGAAAAGAGTGAAGCACAAATATGGGAAAAAAAGGAAAAGTAGTAGGTGTTAAACCTGACATTGCTGGCATCAGACATTCTGGTTTAAAATAGAGTCCAGTGCATAAGGTAGTCCTGGTTTCTGTTTTCTCAAAAAAGCGCTTAGGATTTTTACTCTGATGCAGTGATGTGGGGTGGGCAGCAGGGTAGCAATTAGTCAGACAGGGCAAGAAGGGGAGCTGTAATGGCATGTCCCTTGAACATGTGATCAGTACACTGAATTTGAAGAGAAATGAAAAAGTCAAAATCTACCAGGGCAACAGGCTGTACACAGATAATACCTACTGTGTGTAATTTTGAATTATCTAAATAATTGGTTGCTTTTTAAAAAAAATTTTGTTAAGTGTCAAAGTAACTGTTATGGGTCTGTTTTCAGAGTGCCAGTAAAAACAACTTGTTAACTATAAGAACTTTTGCCTAATTGTATATGCAGTAGTGCTTTTTATGAAGTACTGTTGTTTTTTTTCCTACTTCTGTTGTATGAGTTTACCGGTAAATAGTAGAAAGACAGAGATCTGATCTGAGCTACCAGTGCTGTGTAGATAAACTTGGTAGTAGAAATGTATCAGCTCTGTTATTTGAACTATCTATTCTGGTTCTAGCCACTCATCCACACAGTATAAATTGCTTACCATATTTTGTTTGCTCCCTGTTTTGTTTTTTTTAATCCCTTCTTCCTTCCAGAGTCTCTAAGAAGCCTCGAGAGATGAAAGGCAAAAATAGTAAAAAGATTTCTCTAAAATACACTGCAGCTCGACTTCATGAGAAGGGAGTGCTTTTAGAGATTGAGGATTTGCAAGTTAACCAGTAAGTGTTCCTTAAAAACTCATTAGAGCTAAATAGCTTTCCCAGAGAAAGAGGGAAATGTTGCATACTGTTTTTGACTACTTAGGCTGGCAGGGGCTGAGAAACCTCACAAACTGATCATGTGCTGTTCTCTTATTTCTGGTTAAATGGGAGCAGATCTCTGGTAGATAAGTTTAATGTGATTTAAAGATGACACCCTCTTTCTCCCTGTACCCCCCACAGCCCCTGTCACGGAAGGATTCTTCCTTGAGTGAATTGCTACTGCAATTAGTTAACTTTCAAGGCTAACCTGAGCTTGTTCAGCTGCATCTTGCTGGCCTTGAGTAACTGATCTATCTTTTGCACAATATACAGAAGCTACTTGTTACTGGATTTTTTATCGGCATTGTGCTTTGCACTAAGAGGGGTGGGGGTGTCTAGGAGCAGAAGTTGGCTGCTGATATACACAGGCTAGATTACTGTGTTTTCTTACTGTGTTTGTGTGAAGATGTAACCTATCAGGTGTAGAATGTTAGGCTACATTGTTGTAGCCTATTATTCATTATTCATTTTTCTACCGACTCTCATTCCCAATGAGAATATAGGATTAGAATTTAGGAGTAGAATTAGAAATTTATCTTCAGCTTTCATCTGATGTGTCCTTTCCCTGTGTCATTAGGAACTGCATGTTTGCGAACTGTGGTTTTTAATTTCTTAAATTTACAGATTTAAAAATGTAATATTTGAAATCAGTCCAACAGAAGAAGTAGGAGATTTTGAGGTAAAAGCAAAATTCATGGGGGTACAGATGGAAACCTTTATGCTACATTATCAGGTAAGAACAAACCTATTTAATAATGACAGCTATGGCAAATGAGTTTCATGGGATGTATATGAATAGCAAATATCTCTTCTGCTTGCCAAACTCTTTATCAAATACCAATTATATGTGTTTTGCCTGAACAGCGTGAAAATGAGGGAGCATCTTTAATCTAAATCTGCCTTCTATTAGTTTGAGTATTAGCAGGAAAATCTTTACCTTGAGGCAGTGAGGCCCTGGCACAGGCTGCTCAGAGAATTGTGGGTGCCCCATCCCTGGAGGTGCCCAAAGCCAGGCTGAACAGGTTCCTGGGGAGCTGGAGCTGGTGGAGTGGCGCTGGCAGGTGTTGAAGTCCCTTCCAGCATCAGCCTGTACTACGATTCTGTGGAAAGCTATTTTGACAACAGTAGATTTGTTGCTGACCAAACAGATACAGTGCCAATGGGGAACTGAGGCTAATTTGTTTCTTTACTAATGGAAGCTTTATGTCAGTCTGTGTCTTAGTTACACTTATATAAGTATGCGCTTCACTTATATGAGTCAGTTGAAAGAGACTTACAGGCAAGTTTTTCCAAATGGTCCCCATTCTTCTTCCCACACCACTACTGTTATGTCTGGCATCTCTGTCCATGTGTGTCTACCAAAACTTGGTCCCCAAGTATTGCTAAGTATGGTAATTGTGGATGTCCCAAGCATATTGGAACAAATTGGGTACAGGAGCACTCTGCACAGATATGTTAGTATTGCAGTACCTGACTGACTGATAGGAAGGGTAGCTGCCTTACATATCCCATACATCTGCTCTGGGAACTCCTGTAGTTCATTCCAGTGCTGATCTGTTCGATCTGGTCACAGAATTCTTGGTTCATGTGGCTACTCAAGGTTACTTGGTTCTCAAGCATGTGTGGTAAAACCTCTATGAACAAACTGCCACTGCTCATCCAAGTGTAGCATTAGCAATGACTTCACTTAAAAAGTCTTGCATTGCCAGAGTTTTTACGGAAAACTGTAGAAACAGCTTTTTGATGTTCATTCTGATTCCAGGAGCAAGATTCACATTTTGGAATACATGCAATGTACCTTGCAGTAGCACTACGTGAGTGCTTTCTCCAAGATGCACTGTTTTAGAAAGGAGACTTGGAAGGGAATTAATTGCTGAGATGAATCAGTGCAGGGAGTCTTAACAGCTTTGTCAGGTGCATCACTGAGAAGAAATTGTAACTGAAACTAGTGCCTATATGAATACAGGGGAAACTGAATTGGCATAATGTAATTAGTACTAATGGAGAAGTTGTTTCCTTCTGTGACATACGTTGCATTGTTCTAAACCACCTTTCTCTCCTCTATAACAGGTGAGATTTTTAGAGAGTCATGCTGTAGAATGTTGTAATGTTTACGTAGTAAGATTAGGCAAATGGAAGAGAGATTCTAAACATTACAGCTTTACATATGTTATGTGAATGAAAAGCCTGGTATGGTCTAGAGCTGAAATTTGATCTTCTATTTATGTCTTTTGTAATTTTTTTAAAGCACAGATAAAGACAAACATCTGAAAAGTCTTAGTGCAGCTTATTTGTTCATGTGCTGTGAGCGGATCCTTAGCTCTCTCATTTTTCCTAGCTTATGCTATGCATTTTGTGATAGATATTCCACAAAACCCCACCTTATTACAATGTCTTGTATAAGTTTGTATACGCTATTGAGGATTCCTCACTCATAAATGTTTTCTCTTTGGTAGGATCTTTTGCAGCTGCAGTATGAAGGTGTTGCAGTTATGAAGTTATTTGACAGAGCAAAAGTAAACGTTAATCTTCTGATCTTTCTTCTGAACAAGAAGTTTTATGGGAAGTAACTGACCTTTGCTGGCAAGTCTGTGAAGGGGAGATAAATAGAAGCCTTGCATATATGACTTCTAGTGACTTTGCTATGCATCAGTATATGCCTGTGCCTTGCTGAAATATATCAAATCTGTTACAATTAAGGCCAAAGAACTTCTTGTGAATTGATAGTGCTGACTGACACTGCAGGGAGTTGCTTTCTTGTTCTTTTATGATGTTTATGTTCAACTTGATGCTGTAATAATTTACACGTGGCCTCTTGCATAGAGGAACTATAGTATCCATTTATTAACACTTAAGGATGGGGAGTGAAACAGAAAAATTCTTGGCAAGTTAGCTTTTAGTGTTGCTTGCAAAGGTTTTGAAGAGTAAAACTAACTTCTTTTCCCCCCAGTTTTAGATCAACGTTCCATATATCTTTACCAGATTCAATAAATGTTAGGCTCTACTTGCAGACTTATCAAAAGACGACAATTATCTTAAATAGGTTGGCTTTTTAAAAGTGTAATTTTTCTAGCTCTGTCAAACTCCTCATTTCATTTCACATATAGTGGATTTTTCACCATGGTGATTGTGCTAGCTGTTCCGCTATATCCAGTAAAAATGGAGAGACTGTTGAATAAATCCCACCAAAAATTGTTTGCCCTGCCCCCTCCTTTTTTTCTTTATTTTTTTTTAAGAAGCATCTCTAATTACAAATTTCATGTCATTTTTGCGGGGGATTTTTTTTGTTTAGATTACTGTGTTGTAGGACTGCCTTATCTCTGAACTAATACACAGTATTAGTTCATTGGCATAGATTTGTGCTAATGAAAGCCACTCGTATTTGAATTGGGTACATCCTTGAGGATAATTTTCCGTAGTCCTTCCATAAGTATCTGCATGAAATGCATGTTACTGGCATGCACCAACGTTAAAACATCATCTTATATTTTTTATTTTTATATTTTATAATAAGATATTTTAATGTTGGTGTATGCCAATAAAATAACATTTTAATGTTAGTCCAGCACAATACATCAACAAAAATTCCTTTTCATAACATAACTATACCAAAAAAGATATTTGCAGTGTAGGTCATTTGAAAGAGAGTGACCTCAGAACTAGATTTTCACTTCAGAAGTGATGTGAAATGAGTTAAAGATCTTGCCTTGACTTTTAATTTTATCTAGCTGCATGTGAGTTTGCTGTATCATAGAGGGACTTGAGAATTGTATTACTTTGATTTGGGGGTGATGAGAAAAATGGTAGAAAATTCTTAAATATTGTTAAGAAAATGCAACTGTACTCTGCAAGCTCTTGAGCTACAGAGATTAATCCCCTCTCTCCCTTCTAATTTTTTTTTAATTGAAAGCTTTTAATATTTTTCAGTGTCTGGCAGTCTTTAAACTACAACCCAGCTGGGTTAAGAAAAAGGCAGTGAGGTATTAGCGGTGATTGTACACTGATCAAGGAAAACATCCTTACCAGGTGATTTACAGTACCTGTCTTACTACCTACGCATAATGACAAAAAAATTTTTTGACAAAAATTGAAAACAAACGAAAAACAAGAGAATTATCTGAAGGAGGAGTTTGTTCAGAGACAGAGCATTTTTATTTTTTTTAGGGAAAAACTGTTAATAAAGACACAGTCTCAGCAGTGAGTTTATATGTATTTTATAATTTATTGGTGACTTAGCTTTACTTATTTCCTGTACACCACTGTATTTACAATTGGAGCAGCTACAAGTAGAAGGGTATGTCTTTCCTTGCTAGTAAAGTTTGCCTCTGTAACTCACATATAAGTAAAAAGTCACTTGTGTCCACGGATGTTTTGTGTGACCTTGACTGGAGGCAGCCCTGAACATGCTGTTAGGCCCTGGGTGCAGCGTGGCGGTGGTGGATAGACCCTGTCCACAGGAAGCATGGTTCAGCAGCTCTACATTGCTGGTGTGTCATGAGCCGACCTTCACTTTAAAGTCAGAGCGATACTGGGGGAGCTCTGGATTGGGTCTCATTGTGAAATGTTTGGGGCAGGAGGGTAGTGCTAAGGGATGCCCTGGAGAGGAGTGTGGGATGTGGGGTGTTGGGGCTATGGTGCACGTGTCAGGAGGGAGGAAAGTGGGACTAGGTAGTATTGAAATAGATCAGCTCAAATTGTTTTAACACCTCCTTTTGGTCTTTAACGTGGACTGTATGAGACTGTGGGGTGATGGGCTGCACAGATGCCCGTTGCCCTGGATGTACACTGCACTATCTTGATTATCCCTGTGATGTATTCTGCAGCCATATTGTGCTGCTTTTATGCTTTGAGTATTTCCCAACTTCCTATCTTGGTCCCACACTATGAAGTCCCTCACCTATCCCATAGGTTTTCAAGTGATGGCATGTTTAGCTATGTGAAAAGTTCCTCTGATGCCTTCTTAAGCAGTGTCATGCTGTGGTATCGTTTCTCTTTGTCTTGAAGATTTGTTGTATAACTTGACATCCCGTTCACCTGGCTTTTCATCTGAGAGGCTTCACTTTATGCAAACTCTGAAATTCAAACACTCCAAACCCATTTAACAGCTTAAAGCAGTGGTAAAAACAGGTATTTTATCTGCTATATGTAGAATGGCAAACTGTGCTTATTGCGGAATCTGAGATTTTAGTTCAGTTTGTAGAGGATTTTACCAGGAGTCAACTCTTTTTCTTTACAGTAACTTCTGAAACACAGAAAATTATATTTGAGCCCCAGAAAAATGAAGTCTTTCAGGTGTCTTAAGAAATGATGTGAAGGTGTGTCCATTTTTTTTGTTACCTCAAGACTAAAACCTGTGGGTTCTGAGAAACTCAGATCTAACTCTTAATGATGACTTATTCAAGGTGATAAGGGATGAAAACCAGACCTAGGCGAAGTGTAGACTGTGTTTTCTAAATCTTAAGCTACAGTATGTAGGAGTCCTCCTTAAACTACTGTCAGAACAGAGTAGTTGTTCACATAGAAAGCTTTGTGAACAAGTTTTCCCCCGTAGAATATGCGCTAGCTCCCTTTGTTTTCAGGTGCTGGTGTGAGTTGTCAGGGCTGTCAGATGACAAATAGCTGTTCAGATCCTCAGAGGTAAAAGTCAACAGAACATAATGTACTTGATACTGTGCCAGATGCTCATTTCAGTTTTGTATCCAGATTTTATTCATGTAGTCGCTCTTCTGACTATAAAAAAAAAACTAGCAGTGGTTTACTGATTTCTGGATCCAGTTAACAAAAGATAATATATTTCATGAAAAGACGCAGTCTGATAACGAGACACGTATCATAGACTGAAGAGTAGTTTCAGCAAATGTTTTCAGGCATTCGGAAAAATGACCGATACAGCACATAGTAACTTTCTGAGCAGCAATATGTAAGTATTCTTGCCTGCTGTTCTCTCCTCCACTGTGGTTATCTTGATAGGGGCATTGGTCAGGAGAACCTAGCATTCAGTTCTTTCCTGACAGCAAAAACTGCATGCTCAACAAGTAGTAGCCTGCAAAACTGTGTTCACGCCTTGACCACGAAACTTTGTGAACCAGTTTGGATTGCTGTTCTTCTTGAAACAGCAGGCTTTCAAAGGGAATTCATAAATGGACCGAAGTTGCAGCAAATTATGTAGTTGTAATATTTTTAACTTGGTTCGTCAGGAACTACTCAAAATGGGTGGCATTTCATGGACGCAAAGAACTGGCCAGCTTTTTCAAGAGAGAACCTGAGTGTGCAGCACTCAGTGCAAACCATTGAAGGTAAAGTGACTAATGCCAGGCACTGCTGTGGGAATGTGGCTGCGTGTTGTGAAGCTGCTCTGTACTCCACTGTGTCTCAGTATCAGCACCAGTGAAGTTCCCGGTGCTGAAGGCAACACACAGCTTCCCAGATCTAACCCACAGGTCTGCATCCCAAATTTCTCATCTTACGGCACTTTTACTCCCTCATTCTTGCCTCTCAAAAAGACAAAGTACTGAACATTGCTCTTGACGTAGAAACAGTTTGCAAGACTTGTTTAGAAATTTTAAAGGCAGTTCTTTCCCTCCCCAAGTCTCAAATATCTTTAGAGATTTTTATCTTTTTCACATGTCACAAAATCACAGAATTGCAGGGGTTAGGAAGGGGACCTCAAGAGATCAAGCCCATCCCCTCTGCTAAAGCAGGTTCTCTACAATAGGTCACACAGGTAGGCATCCGATTGAGTCTTGAAACAGTCCCAGAACTGTTGCAAGAATGTGGTAAATGAGGTTTCAGGTCCACTTCTTTCTGGAACTGTTTTTTTTTTTTTCTTTTTTTCCTGGAACAACTGGCAGTGGGACAGAGGAGTCCCAGAAGGCTTTTTTCTCTCTGCTTTAATCTCTCTCAACCTCAGCCCTACAGGGCTCCTGCCTGAGAAATGGAAATGGTGGAGATAAGGGAGAGCTGGCAGGAGGGACTGCTGCAGCCACCTGGGGAGGGTCTGCATATATCCCATGGCCTCATGATCTCTCTCCAGATTCAGCAGTGTGGGACAAAGACATTATGAACAGAAGACCTAGCAAATGAATAAATGAGCTCTGCAGCTACTTGCACCAGGTGTAAACGCACATGAAGCACCTGGCTGGTACATGCGAGCAAGAGGTGGTTACAGAGGTGTATGGGAACTGCTGAATTGGGGCCTGAACCCTGAGGCGAGCAATGAGTCAGCCATGAGAGCGCAGTGAAGGCAATTCACCTGTGCTGCTGGAAGGGGTGGAGCCTGGTTGCACCTCTCCTAGACCCATTTAAGAGCTGACTACCAGTGGGGAAAGGATCTCTTCTGGAGATCCCCTCCTCTGGAGTTTCATAGCAAGGCCAGAACACAGGTAAGCATCCTATCTATTCTGTTTGGTATAACTGCGTAGCCAAGCTCTCTGGTATATCTCATAACTATAACATCTGTACATTCATTGATTATACAGGGGGTATAAAAGGTTGTAAGCACCTACACTAAAGGTCTTCGTTCTGCACCAGCAACAGAGTCTGTGCATCGCTTGCCACAAATGGCGCCCAAACGGGGGCCCTGTATCAGGATCAGCTTTGGGAGATAATCTGCTATCAAGCTGACCGGTGGTAAGGAATTAGGGCTGCTGAAAGGAAAAATGACCCAAGGGTCGTTGAAAGGAAGCTGGACTTGAAAAAACTGCTGAAAGGAAACAGAAGCAGGCTGCACAGCCACTATCGTTTCTGCAGGACATAGGTGAGCAATAGGGGACAACGGGAACAAGTATTACAAAGGAGCAGGAGGTGGTTTGCAAAATAATGGAAACGATTTTGCAGAAGCACCATGCTGAAGTGGAAAGCTTTGATTTAAGGTGACTTTTGGTGTGGGTCTCTCGTAACTTAGAAGTAGATGGGCTGCGATCCATGGCACAGAAACATGGGACAAAGCAGGAGTGAGGCTATGGCACATGACCACGTGCTCTGACTGTGTGGGTAAAGCCCTTTTGAGGCCACGGAGATTGGTGTACCCTTCAGACCTCAGACCTGGTGAGCCCGAGGAAGGAACTGGACTTGCACTGGTTCAAGGAAGCAGAGCAGGAGGGGGACTGTGAGGCGGTTCAGAATTGCATTCGGCTCTCGCCTGTCCTAAGATGTTGGCTTTTGAATTGAGGCTCGGCTCCCTCTACACCAGTAATCTGTTGAGCTCTGTTATGAAACATTACACTATTTGTCCTCGTAGTTGCAAGACTGTGGCACAATTGACAAATACTGAATGCATGATGTGAATGGGCTTTTGGAGAGAATCTGTGCAACAAAAGGCGCTGAAGCAGAAGCTGTTGGAGCTCAGCAACTGGCAGCAGAGCGTGCAGACCCCGAGCCTGTGGCCCATCCATCACCATGAGCACCCAGCGCTCACCTCAGCACGTGGGAGCGGGAGCTGCAGAAAGCTGCTGCTGAGACGTATGGTTGGATCTGCACTCATTCCAGCTGTTGGTACTGATGCTTTTACTTGATGAACCTTTTAGCTGTTGTAGCAGTTGCTCAGTGCTCCAGAAAATTCTAAGATAAAAGATCATGGTATGCAGATTGAGAAGGCCCGACAACACTGGAAGTATGTTTGAAAGTTGTGCTATATCTGAGTTCCTCTGATGCTCAGTCAGCTGCTTTGGAGCAGGAGCACAGATGTGAAGTTCCTGATTGTAAAGCTGTTATTTTCTATAGCAGGTAGCGTAGTTTTTCTTACAAGAGAAAGAATCTTTCACTTCTGATGGTTGTAACTGTAGCAGCCTTAAGAAAATAAACGTATTTCTTTTTCCTTTCTGTGAAAACAAAACATTATGGCTGATTGATTTTACTGGTAGGTGGTGGTGAGGAGGCAAAGAAATTAATTAAGATGGGATACCTGTGGGAATCCAAACGAAGATTCTCTTCTTTACAAAAAGGATCAGAAACTTACTAGAAGAAGAAACTGAAGGTGAATGCATGTTACTAAGTTAGAAAATGGTATTTGCTATAAAATGATGTGTGTTCATATGCAGTAGGTTGGCAGCGTAGGAAGCTTTCTCATATTTGGTTGTATAACCCAACTTGACTGGCAGAATATCTTCTGGTATTGAAGACAAAGATATATATTTACAACTGTACTGCTTGTATCCTGATATCTTACCTGATATCTTACCTCCTGATATGCACCTGCCTGGCGTTCATAATTCTGTTTTTGAATATGTAATTGCAATGATTAAAAAAATAAAAAAAATCCCTATTTAAAAAAAAAAAAAAAAGGGGAGAAGAGGTTATGCTTGTGTTTCCATAAGTGCTGGACTAGGAGGGGTTCCATCCACAATCATAAGCCCTACTTGACTACCAT